CTGTACTGCATGATACTGTATGCATTATATGCATTATATACTCGAGCATCAGAATTAATTCCTTAAAGTCAGACAAATTTTGAATTTTGATTAATATTTGTTTGTGTAGTTTTCACCTCCATGCTTATTTGTAATTTGTCATTGTCAAGAAAGTCTTACATTTGAGGTAGCTTGTGGTATTACTTTCAAAATGGTGTTCAGATATACATAGAGGGTCCTTTAAATCACGTTTTTCAAGCAAGTCATTCACATACAGAAGCTTTAAAGATGCACCAGGCTCTTGGGGGGTTGTGTGACCGAGGATGGATCTATTTTGGCACAGACAGTCGAGATGAAATCGAATTACACTTTCTTGCTCTCAGTCACAAAGGTGCTGACAGCTTTATTCTTTTATAATGTCAGTACAGATGAATCTGTCTATCCACCTTTCTAATGCACTAATCAACAAGATTGGTTTCAATTCAATTTAAAACTTCCACTTGTCTCTAAAAGTAGGCTACAACACATATGGACAATCTGCATGCAATAGTCAAATCTAAATATGGACTCTGTGCCCTTTAAAACAGATTGGATTCATTTAAGGAAAACAGAAATTTATCTTGGGCAGTGTTAAGATAATTTAATTCAGGATGTTATTGATAGATATACAAGAAAATAATCTGACTGTATAATACTTGGAACAATTATTTTCAGCCTAAAATGATGTCAACTTTATCAATATTTGATGTGTTTGTCAATAGACTCACTGGTGTTAGGATCTGTGCTCCATAGTAAACATTTCAGGCTGGACGGCTCAGCTAGGTGTCCTTCAGTGCAGCAGGAATGTGACAAATGCAGGTCATGGGTGAAGAGGTACTGGTATTTTTCCAGTGTCTGTGCCACTAGCTCCTCTCCTCCAATCTTGTATATCAGGGTGCATGTTTTGAAGCGTCCCCCTTCAACACTTCATTTCAGGCCTCTGCACGCACAGTATGTCAGGTCGTCTGTAGTGGGCCACAAACACAGGTAATGTCATTTAAGATAGGTGCTTTGAAGACGCAGCTATGGTTTGATGGGCACCCTAAATAAATGCAGCTAAAATCTAAAAGAAAAATAATATAAAACACAACTGAAAGATTAAACATCTCTGGTAGTACTCATCAGGTGTATCATCAAATAGTTGGATGGTAGATGGTAAATGCCCCAATTATATAATTCCTTGAGAACTAGGTAAAACTTCTGTGTGTTTTACCTAACTATGAAGGTTTTCAAGTTTGTATCAGTGTTAATTGCTTATAGGTGACTCAGAGGAGCCTAAAATATAAAATAATTTAAATAATTTATTTACAATGAAAGGCTCAACAAAAGCTGAAAAAAACAACATCCATAGTTTTGTACCAAAAAAAATGCTAAAAATGGACAGTTAGAAAACACTGTTTGATTTATATGTTTATTATCATATCATGTACTGCAGTGGACTCCCTTGAACTCATGAGTAACACCTGATACGTTTAACATTTCTCTCAGTATGTAACTACCTACAGCTCTAAGAGCTTGTATATTTTTGTGACTGGAAAGGATTGTGTATAAGATCAATAACACTTCTACATGATATTACACATTGTCTAATGCACAATCCCACATACTAGTGTATATAATAGCAGCTGTGCAAGGCAATAGAAAATGCAGACTGTAGTCTGGAGCCTATTAAAAGCACAACCACACACACCAGACGTTTTTATCAGCTACAAATTAACAACAACAGGAAGGTTTCCTGTTGATATGGTATGTTAAGTGGCCTTTAAAAGCTTCGAAAATACATTGCAACATGCTGTTTAACACGGGCATCTCCTGCAACTCAGATAACCATATCACACAATGTGACAGCTAGAGGGAGATAGTGAGCCTTATTTCAAATACTTCAGATTAGGTAAATATACACATGAGCCTCAGATGAGACGCCATTTGACTGTCTGACTTTACTAGTTTTGCAATTTTATTGTGAAATGTTTTTATTCTCTGGTAATGTCATACTTCACTTTGCAGGTAGTAAAAACGCAAGGATACAATTGCACCCTGGGGAAGAGATGACACCAGAAGAGCCAGGCACAACCAATCTGTCACTGTGCACAGAAGTCTGTCCCAAACTTCGGCCCAAAGCTGCTGTTTGACAGTTGTAGTCCTGCTGCTGACAGTCTCCTCGAGCAGCACAACTAGAAGCCCCGATGGATCTGTCACTCCTTTGCACGGATGACCAAACACGGTCACCAGCATCTCTCACAGACAGTCAGACGGGGGGTTTAGACTCTCTTTCTCTTCTACACAGTCCTACAGAAAACATGCTGTCTGCATATGAGACAACAACAGAGTGCAGCAGCACTGCAGCAGATCTCTTAGACCCCACTGACAAATCTACTGAGGCTTCATCAAACGTTTCCAAATGCCTCTCTCAGGAGAAACGCACTGACTCAGACTGTTTAAAACGTCCATCATCCAGCTATAATATGTCAGAGTGTTTGTCACTTTGCTCAGAGCCTACGCCAAAGGAAAATAACTGCAGGGTTCACGCTTATTTTGGCTTATCTGAACCTATATTACCTCTTTTACCTCACCTCTCTCATGAACTTATTTCACCCCCATCTGAAACTTTCTCAGAGTTTTACATTAAGCAAGAGTCATCCCTCCCCTTTTCTCTCATTCAAGACAATACTGGACCCAAACCTTTTGGGGCCATGTCATCTATTTCTGAGGGCCCTTATCTACTAAGGCCGTTATCACCTGACTCAGATAGTTCAGAGGGTGATACAGCCACAGCACCTGTGTCAGACCTTTATATCTTTGAGAGTGAGACACAGGACTTCATCCTGAGCCGTAATGCGGATCTCCATGAGATTAAATGTCCTGAATGCCAGCCATTATCACAAACAGGGGAAAAAAAGACACACCATGACAGTGATAGGCATATCATGATGTGTGATTCAGCAGACGTGCCGACAAAATGTCATCACCGCTCTACTGAGAAGCGAGGTATGGTGGACTATGAGTCAGACACGGGCCAACATACAGGGCTGAGACCACCTGCTGTGGATGCCTGTGGGGCGAGCTTGATGTCAGTGAATGATGCGGGACTAGATAAAACAGAGGTCACTGGTCTAACACCACAGGCACGACGAAGTGACAGCCCAGTCGAGCTGTGGCTTGACGCATACCAGTACCTAGCAGGTGAGGATATAGAAGATAGTGATGTTTTGGGCAACACAAGTCATTCTATGATGCAAGGAGCCACCAGTGATTTATCTTTTCTCCCAGGAGAGACACCAGTGTCAGGTTACAACCATAAAGGTAGCGAGGGGATTGGCTGGGCCAGTGAGGACACCATAGGCTGGGGGCAACCGGTTGAGAGGTGGTCATCAGTGGATAGCTGGGCCAGTGCACTCTCAGACTGGACCGCCATCATCAACGCTCCACCAGAGGACATCACAGCTGCCTTCACAGAGATAGGGGCTGAGATAGATGCTTTGACACAGGCACTAGCAGAGGTAAACACTGACACAGACGCAGAGACATCTAAAGAAGGACAGAGTCAGGAGTCAGCAGTGCCGGCGCAACCGCAGCCACCCATGGGTGTCCAGGATCAGCCTCTAGTGGCACAGAACATCCCAGAGAGCTCAGTCCTCTGTGGGCAGAGCTGTCTCTCTTTGTGCCTCGAATCTCCACGACCTGAGCTCCAAGACCAGAGCACTGAAGCTTTGTGTGATTCAACACCTACCACACAAGGAGAGAAGGAGCCAGAGGAAATCCAGAGCAGCCAGGTGGAGTCCTTTATATGCCCCATTCTCCCACACTCATCCGTGGGTTCCTCCAGTGCTACGGTGGCCGCTCCTGGAGGGTATGGTGTAGATGTGACTGCAGTCACTCTGAACCCTGGATCTACTCCCTCTGCTGATTTGGATCTCTCTCAGTTTGGTGGATATGTTGAGTCCTTAGAGACAGACATTTTCATCAGCGATGACGATCCAATCATACTGAATATAAAAGAGGATACAGATTTGGAGGGACAAAATGCACCTGCAGAGCTGACAATTGGAGAGGTAAGAGGGCTTATTATATAGATTTATACTGGTTATTATCTTTTGTATTTCAAAATGTATATATAAGTGTATATATAAATGTTAGTATAAGTGTTTGACAAGTGAAAGTTTGTTCTCTGCTTGATGTGAAAAGCATGAAATATGAGTGGATATTTCACATCTAAACTTGGGGGCCGCATTTTTTTTGACATGACACACACACATATGCCTGCCCACAAACACTCAAACACACACCACTTTCTCCCAAGTGTGTGGCAGAGAGAGAGAAAGAGAGAGGGAGCAGTGGAAAGATTCACCCTTCACGTTAGGGAGAATAACAGCGATCACCTTCACATCAGTCGTGCTGGACAAATAGATAAATCAGTCACAAGCTTTGGAAACAATTCAAGAACTTTAAGAGACATTCCCGCTCCTCTCCTGCCCTTGTCAGTGTTGTCATACCTACAGTACTGACAGCCAGTCAGGAGGAACGTACGTGGAGTACTTCTGTGAGTGAAGTCTACGTATGTCACCACACATGAGACTCATGAGTATTGTCACCTTGCTTTGGTGCGGAGCCATTCGGTTTGCATCTAAAGACTTTCACCCGGGCTCCATTCTGTATTATTGGATAAGTCCATTGGCTCCCATCTCAAAGACTGGCAGCTGTGAGAGCTAAAGGAAATGAGAGTGCCTGAGAGGAAAACTTCAGATGGACAGAAATGGCATCTAATAATAGCTGAGAGTTCAATGATAATAGCACGCATCCATGGCGTGTCAGGGTGGAGGGGTGAGAGGAGAGCACAGCTGAGGACTGAAACACGACCCTCCATTGCTCTATAGCTCTCTCTCTTTTTGTACACACCCTTTAACACACCCATTCCCACCGCATCTCCTTTAAAAAACCGAGGGTCAAGGCGCAGACAGGTCCGCAGACCTGGCAGACAGCTTTTGATTGGCTAAGGTGTACAAGGCATAGCTGGAGCTCCTGTCCATGACAGTGGCACTGTACGGTTCATTTGCATGCAGACATATGGACTGTGGGACTGGATATAGAAGCATGATGTTTCATAAACTTCTGCTTTGTGGCTCTATAGAAAGGTATGTGTTGAACAGAAAAATTGAAAAGATCTGAAATTGCATGGTAATATAACCGTCTGTTGAATCTTCCTTTAAAATAAATACCCATTCAGTGATATTTATCTAGGTACTATAAATACAGTATAATTGCATATATATACTGTGACAATACAGTCTCAGTTTAGTCTGACAGTCTTTTATTCAAGCGTATGACATGCTTGTCAATAAAATGTCTCAGAAATATACAATTTCTTAAAATGAACTAACATTTTTATTATTATTTGCCCATTTTCATTACCAGCCCTCTGGAGATGAACTGTGTGAAGTGACAGATGAGCACAGTATCGCCCAGCCAGGCTTGGTGGCTGAGCAGGAAGCTAAAAGGAGCGGTGGGCCAGCCGGGGTTGATAGTGAAGGAACCAAATCTTCAGCAAATCCTCATTTCCTCGCCACACACACTCTGACACACTCACACGTGCCATGTGTGAACACAAAACCTGGCCTACATGTTAATGTTCACACACACGTGTCGCCTGACACTTTACCAGAACTTGACGGAGCACGTCAGGTGGAGCCACAGTGGGGGAGTCCTAAGTTTATTATGCCCTTAGCTCCCCTCAGTCCCCTCGTCTGTTGGACAAGCAGCAGTTTGGAAGGAGATCAAATTTGTGCCAAAAGGTCTCTCAATGACAACAGAGACCTAAGTTGTGATCACGTACAACCCTGCGTTCTGCAGCCGACCTCAGATAGGATTACTGACAAACCATCCCTGAAAGGTGATGAGGAGGCGATTCATAAAAAAGAAAATGCAATAGACTGTGCTGAGAAATCTTCACCAGAGGGACAACTGGACTTGCTCACTGGCAAAACTTCTGAGTGTTTCCTGACAGAGAGAAAAACAGTAATCGAGGATATTCATGAACTCAGCAGAGAACTATCAAACTTGGCTGTTATACCTGCAGATCATTTCATCATCTCTGAGACGAACCGTGTCGCATTCATCACTTTGGACTTAAATGACCCATTTGTCTCCAGGGCTGCAAAACCTATCACCACACCTGTACCATCTGAGAGGGCTGAGCTGACTCAGAAAACAGCCGAAAAGATGCCTCACAAAACTCACAAGAGCACCTCAGAGGGCAAAACACGCTCTAAAAAGGACAAATCAGCTGCTTATCATCATGGTGCACAGGCTTCTAAGAAGCAGGAGAATTTATCTCATCATGTTTCAAGCCATCAGATATGCAAACAGCAAGAAATCCATCCTCTTACTGGAGAAAATCATACCAGTGAGAACACTCCAGTTGGACTTGAGGACAATCAGGCTAAATTGGGGATTGAGACCGGTGTGGCACCCGAGAAGGCTCCAAGCAAACCACATGGCAAAAAGAAAAAGAAACACAGTCAGAGTGCAACAGCATCGAAGAGCGTAGTGGAGCCACTGGCTGAAGTAGAGAATGGAGCAAAACCAAAGACTGCAAGAGGAAGGATTGATATGTTCGAGGCCAAGCTGGGTGCCAAAGCTGAGAAAGCTCAAAAAGACAGTGATCAGTCAGGAGGATGTGAGAAAAAGTCCCAGCAACTGGAAGCTAAAGCTTCCCGGGGAGAACGATCTGTGCATCATGCAGAGCATAAAGACCACCAGCCAAAAAAACTGACCAGTCCTCTGAAAGATGATGTTATTAAAAGACGACGCCTGTCAGAGGATAAGTTTGGGAAGATTGTTAGTGTTTTGGAGTCTAAACTACCAAAGCCAGATGTTTCTATAAAGGCAAAGGCAGAGGAGCCCAAGGCTGATGCTGAAGCAACTCGTAAAAAGGCGTACAGTGAAGTGGTCAAACAGACAATCCCACCTAAGGGAGGTAGGGAATTTGCATTAAACAATTTCTTTTCTAAGCTTGTTTATATGACACACTGGCAACACAGCTTTTCAACATGCTCCATCATGATGGTATGTAAATACACATTCTTCACCTCATAATAAAAGCATATGATGTCTTCAGACCCCAAGGTGGTGCAGCCCATCCAGGCAGTGTCAGTGAGCGGGGACCCCCAGAGTCTGTGCCTGTGGTGTCAGTTTGCGGCTGTCTTCTCCAACTACACTGTCACCTGGAGCAGAGAGGGTGCTGTCCTCGCTGAGATCAAGAGAAGGTATTCAGTTATCTTTATTCTTACACAATACTTTAATTCACCATTTTTCCAACTCAAGCTTTTGAGACTGAAGCACCAACCAATCACCTAAACCTCCCCATGTGTTACCACATAACCACATTATCTTTGGTAACCAGTTTAGCGAAGCTATAACAGCAGTGGTTCTGTCATGTATCCCCGCAGGCCCTTACAAATGAACTTAAGTATCCCTTCCTCATCCCCACCCATCATTTTAAAAATTGTGTTCATCTGAATGAATTTTAACACTATTAATTCCGTAAAGTGTGTATTAAAGCATGTACAACTGAACTGTGGTTTGGTCGAGTTCATCTACTACTACCACTTGGAGTGGAAGAAGCTGGACAACCATTTAGCCATTGATGTTAGCTATTTTTACCTATTCTAATTGTTTATCCATTACTTTTAGCTATCTATTTCGACTCTTTCATCTACTACTTTTGGCTAACTGTTTCAACAGTTTATTCAATGCTTTAGTAAACTATTTTACCCGTATATATTCACAACTTTTCGCTAACAGTTTCCAATGTTTATCCATTGCTTTTGGCTAATTATGTCAACTGTTTCCACCACTTTTAGCTAACAATTTCAACTGTTTATCCATTATTTTTGGCTAACTGTTTTAACCCTATCTATTCACAACTTTAAGCTAACAATTTCAATTGTTCATCCATTAGGTTTGGCTAATTATGTCAACTCTTTCTACTACTTTTAGCTAACTGCTTCAACTGGTTATTCACTACTTTTAGCTAACCATTTTGACCATTTAACCCTATCTACTCACAATTTAAACTTCATCCATTACTTTTTGCTAATAAGGTCAACTGTTTTCATTACTTTTAACAAACTATTTCAACTTTCTGCTGGCTGATAATTAGTTTTCACAAACCAACATTCAGGTGTTACAGCTAACTCCATGTACGGATATATTTCTTTCAAAATAAATTGCAAGCTAACTTACTCCAGCCGTTTTTCCACACACCCACTAGCAACTGCAGAAGTACATCCTGAGATACAATTGCTGCTGGTTGGGAATCACTGACCTGAATCAGAATTTCAAATCATGTTCAGATCTAATGGCAGAAGGTGGTTGTATAGAGGTTTATGAATTTATGCCGTGCATTTTGTGACTCTATACCTCTTTCTGAAGTGCAGGGGATGAAAGCAGAGTTTCTGTCAACATTTCCAACGCTTCTCACAAAGACTTGGGCAAGTACCAGTGTCGGCTCACCAGCTTACATGGATCAGTCACCCTGGATTACCTGCTAACATATGAAGGTAAAAAAATAAAAAAAACTATAAAAAAAATAAAAAAAATCATTTAAAATGTGTGTCCAACTTGAGTTAAGGTAGTTTACCAAAACAAAACCTGCATTTCTTCACAGTGCTCAGTGAGATTGTCATTCCTCCATCTCCAAAGATCACCTCATGTGAGTTGCAATCTCAGAACAAAGAATTATTACTTTACACAGTTGAGATATAAAACAATCTCAACATTCAGTTGAGATTTATAAGTGTTTGTTTTTATTTTGTTTTTGGGTTTTGACAGATAACAGCTGACATTTTGTCTGGCTTTTTTCCAGCTGCTCCTGTAGAGGTGGGAAATGAAGAAGAGAATGTCAACTGTTCCAGGTTGATGTTCAAAGAGAACTTCCTATCTGACCAATACTTTGGAGACAACCATCCTGTCAGCATCATCACTGATAAGGTTCACTTTGGGGAGGGGATGCACCGGCGGGCTTTCCGGACCAAGCTGCAAACGGGTCAGATGCCTCTTTTACTGCCAGGACACTCCTGTGTGCTCAAAGTTCACAACGCTATCAGCTACGGGACCAAGAACAACGAGGAGCTCGTTCAGAAGAACTTTACCTTGGCTGTGGAGGTAAGGACGTCACAGCACTCTGATGTTAGGCACAACACTCCTCCACAGATCGAGGTATGATTGAATTTATTTTGTCATAGTGTCACTTTACATGGAACAGCAGATTTTTTTCTCTGCCACAAACAAACCAATAAATAAATTTTAAAAAAACTTACAATATCATTACCACATTCATTTGCAAAGCTCGAGACTGATTTTTCTGATAAACATGTGCATGAAATGATGTGACGAAATGTAATGTTAGTCTAGATATACCAGATAAAATGCTTGTGCACAAGTGTCAAAAACTTTAATTTAGCGCACAACCTGACACTGTAATTCCAAGTGTGAGGGAGAATCTGGCCTTAAGGTAACATAAAAACGCTGAAGCCCCTCTCTAGAGCTGGTGTTTGGTCTGTCCATTCTGGGCTACTGTAGAAATATGGAGGTGCAACATGACGGCCTCCATGGAAGAAGCCTACAAAAGCTGTGCTGGTTTTCTATAGATTTACCATCATTATGTCCATTGATATTCTGAGACATAAAATACATGTAATGTAATTTACTTTTTGCTCTGTAGGAGTGTCAGGTCCAGAATACAGCAAGAGAGTACATCAAGGCGTACACTGCTGCAGCTCAGTCTGTCGAAGCCTTCGGAGACGTCCCAGAGTGAGTGACATGTTTGATGAACTGTACACTTAATGCACAACATACTCATCCATGCTCTTTCAGCTGACACTTCTCTGTTTCATTGCTCTCACCCAGGATCATTCCCATCTACTTGGTTCACCGTCCGTCCAATGACATCCCCTACGCTACACTGGAGGAGGAGCTGATCGGTGACTTTGTCAAGTATTCAGTCAAGGACGGGAAAGAGATCAACCTGCTGAGACGCGACTCGGAGGCGGGACAGAAATGTTGTGCTTTCCAGCACTGGGTCTACCATAACACTGAGGGCAACCTGCTGGTGACAGACATGCAAGGTCGGAAAAGCATTACATATCTTACAATACATGAAAAATGGTTTTATCTGCTTTATTATAGTGCTTAAATATTAATCAGATTTTTGTGTTTTCAGGAGTGGGGATGAGGCTGACCGACGTGGGAATAGCCACCTGTAAGAAAGGGTGAGTATTTTATTCTATTTTATTTTATTGAAAACAAGAGCAGGGATGGATGCAAACTGTTAAAGCATTCAAACTGATATATAAGTTAATTTTACTTTTCAGATATAAGGGCTTCAAAGGAAACTGTGCCACCTCCTTCATCGACCAGTTCAAAGCCCTGCACCAGTGCAACATGTTCTGTGAGATCCTGGGCCTCAAATCCCTGCAGCCTAAGCCCAAAAAGTCTACATCTGCTCCCAAACCCAAACCCCAACCTTCTGCTGCACCCAAGAAGAAAACTTTTGGGCCAACGCTGAAGAGCAAGTCATAACAAAAGGGGAAATTCATGGACTAAAGGTGTGATTATTAATTGAAATTGTGAGTTTAAGCTGGTTTGAGTTGCTTCTCTGACCTGGGCTTCGTCATGCAGAGTCTGACCCAACCACAAGACGTTGGGCTGCTGCAGGCCAGAGGTTGGAGACAGATGTATCTGACTCTGAAGGGAGCGATTGTTACACAACCAGTAGCTGTTGTTCCATAAGAGAGCTCGCTTCATCTCATGTTGAACATTTGAGAGATATATTTTTATTTTAATTAAGATTTCACCCAAGATTTATGAGAGTTTGTGCACTGTATTTATGATCTAGGGGAAGAAACCTCACAAGTTTTTGGAAAACTGTGACAAAAGTAAGACTTGAACACTTGGAAAAGATAAATAGTGTAGTTTATCTACAGTGATGAACTGTGATGTCTTAGATTGCTTTATTGATTACGTGTGATTTTTCTTTACAGATCAATGCTGAGTTTTTTTTCCTTGTTTTTCTACTTCAGTGATGTTTTCAAACTATTAGTTCATTAAATTAATGAACTTGTTTATTTCTCAGAGGAAATGTCTTTGAAGTAGGTTGTACGATAAAATACACACAATAAAGGAGAGTTGTTATATGGATGCTGGGTTACACAGTATGAGTGGGTATATTTTGTGTGTTTGGTTTGCAAGGTATTTGATAAAGGTTTATTTAGTGAAATTCATTATTATAATATTTGCTCATTTATTATTGCTACTGTCATTATTAGCTCATGTTTATATTCTGGAAACAACAAAAAGGCATTTTTTACACAAAAAGCTCTTGTAAAGTATAACTGTGAATGTATTCACTGAAACTGATTTATCAATTTGTCACTTTATTATCTGAGACAATTCTGTTTGTAAGATTGAATTGAAACTTCTGGCATCATTTCGAGGATCTGTGCTGCACTGGTCTGGGTCAAACTACGTGAAAGACATGTAAAGCTAAAACCAATAATCACACCACAATAACCTAACAACACACTGCCAAATCTACTTTCATACACAGCTCATATGATCTCAGTAGCATGCCAGCTATTCAATTGAAGTCCCCGACTGTCTTTATATAATAAGCCTCTGTGTCCTACTCTCACTGTTGCCTTTTTAATCCCTGACCCAAATTGCTGACATGGCTCTCAGGTTGGGGCTTTGACCAGTGTGCAAACAAACTTTGTTATTAAAGAGATGTTGCTGGTTGAAAATGCTTTCTGGCTTCTTTGTCACTTCACATTTTCTGTAATGTAATAAGAAGGGAAGGGGGGGGGTGGGTCATGCAACATGACTTTGACAGTGTGTCTACGTGAACATGCAAATATCTGCTTGTCTGGTGTTAGAGCAATTTCTAAAATGCGAATTTCATGTGTTGTGTAATTCTTCCGAGTGGCTTATGTGCAAAAGGTCACAAAAAACAAACACTTGTTTATTATTTACTCAATTTGCATGGATGAAAACTCTACAGTCACATAATGTAGCATTAAATTAGACCTGTTTACATGTTGAACGATGACGGTGAAAGAAATGGTGGGGGCATGGAAACAGATAAGCCCTCTATTCCCATCCATACTTACAGGAGAAGGTCTGCAGCAGCAAGTTAGCGCCTCAAATGCAAAAGAAAGTAGGTCACACTAAGAGGCTCGAGATCATGTACTGTGTGTCATCACATTATGTCTATTTCCATCTGTGCCCCTCCTGCATGGTGCAATGTGTCCCATGCTATAGCAGCTATTGACACTTGGACACATTTGCAGTATATGTATAAGGAAACTATTTTAAATCTGAAAAAAAGATCACACAGAAGCCACAAGACAAAGAAATGACTGAAATGAAAAATGAAAAAATGAAATGGAGGGATACACTGAGGTCCTTTTCACACTGTAGCTATTTAGTGTGATAATGGCGTTTGACACACAGGACACAAACACCATTGTCACACTCCACAGCTCTGGAGGACAACGTTTGCAGTGGATATGCAGATGGAGATGTTGTTAATAGAGACTGGTGCCCCGGACGACCTGATGAAATAAGGAAAAAAAGTAGTTTGTTGACGTGGCGCAATGGAGCGAGGAAAAATGTCAAGGTTCACATGGCGTTAATGTTGATCACTCCCGTTAGACTAAAATTAAACAAAGCTGTGATTTACGATTAGCCATGTAGCTTTTTTAATTTATACGCATTCATGTGCCAAAACAACACAGAAACCATATGGTGGAAAACAATGCCAAGTCAACATTCAAGGCTTATCCAAAGTGTCCAAAGTCCAGTCCTGACTTTCACTGCTGATTGTGGGGATGACTGCAGCTGTGTTCACATGTGTGAGAAAGCAACACAGTTGGAGAACACCTGTTTGATCCCCTTTTTTCCCTTGTAAAAAAAACGATCTCGCCTTATTTTTTCAAATGTGGCTGATAAAATACTGGTTGTCTAGACTGTGTGTCGTACTACATTCCATATAATCTTCATTGTGTTTTTTTCTAGCTGTTAAATTTGTCAAAGCACATAAATGATCAACTCTACAAATAAAAGTGTGAGTTACAAACACTGTTGTAGGATTCTGACCTTTTGCAGGACAACAACTCACCTCAGGTTTCCAGAGTGGATCCATATTCATTCATTCGTACCCAACAGTCAGTCTCCTGCTCCTGCTTCTCCCTGCCACTCTCTCTTTTCTCTGTTCCTTCCCGCCTGCACCAACATGTCATGTCTTTGTGTCCGAGTCCATCTGTGCCAAACAGTTAAAAGTCCAGTAGTGCGTCCGCAGCTGCAGGTTCACGAGGTGATCCGTGGTGCTTTTGGGTTTGGCGCTGTCCCGTCCAAGTCTTTATGTAGACAGAGCAGAGTTTGGACAAACAGCCAGTTCCACATTAGTGATAAGCTACAGGGGAAGTATTGATCGACCCTGACCAGAGGTAGAGGGTGAAGGGTGGAGGAGGGGGAGACCGAAAAACTGGTGAGGCAACAGGGGCCTTAATAGCAAGGTTTCACTGAAAGTCACTGTGAGCTGAAGGCGATGGATACTCACACAGCAGACACAGTGAAAATGTATGTAAAAGAAAAAAACGATGTGGAGTTTGGTGGAGCTGAAGGGACAAAAAGCCAGGAAGGTGCACAACCAGCTGGCACACGTTGGAGTAAAACTACACACATAAAACGAAAACAAGTCAGAGTCAAGTCAGCACACTTGCATATTTGACAAATGTTTATTCCATATGTTCACAATCCTCACTGTATTTAAGAAATTGACAAACTCAAATCACTACAGTACTTCACCACATTTAGAATAACTCACACTGTGAATGCCCACATAGTTTCTTAAGTTAATGGTTAATGGATAGAATATAGTTAATAGCGGTGCTATGCCATGTCCCCACAGATCAGTTTCATAATGAAACCTGTTACCTAGAGGGCAGATTATGAAATAACATCCCTTTAACTAGTGGCCTGATAATGTGACACTGCTCAGTTTCCACCCTCTGAAACTCTAGATGATCCAACAGTCTTTTACATTAAAACCTAGTGCACGTAAACAGTATGACTCCATGATAAACTGAATGTTTTCCTGAGTTTAGTCTGATCCTATAAGACAACATTGTGATTGTGACTGTGAATGCAATGTATTATTGTAATTTACTGTTCTTGTTCTTTCTCTACATGTTTTTATTCATGACACCACACCTCAGATATAGCAATGCTCTGCATGTTCAATCATCTACAAAAATGTAAGCTACAGTACAGTACTACTGTGCTAGAAAGGATAAAGCAGACACGCTACACTTCACCATTGTGACAGCAAACAAAAATTTCTATTATCTTTTTTCACTGCCATACATTTGCAATTTATAGTGTTAAATTAAAAATAAGGAGAATTGCTTCCAGACACATGCTGCTAACACACTGACTCTTACACTTTGTATGTTAGGAAAGAATTTTGTGATTAACATAAGCCAAAGCTATTTTTAAATACTGGTGAGTTTCCTTTTTTCAAATTTTGTGTGGACGAATTTATGAATGCATAAGCTTTAAAATCATACGTCTTCTCTCTGTCCGGATGAGTCTAAGCAGATGAAGAGTTGAAAATGTGAATTATTAGAATATGTAATGTTTTCAATGTTCTTACTATCAGTCCAGCTTATTACTTAAGCGTCCCATCAGAGTTTCATTAAGGTCAGTGCGCTGACGTAACAGAAACAGAGGCCTGTCAGAGACATGACAGACAGTAAAAAGGCAGACTGCGAGGCCTCAGCTTTTATCAGAATGGTCTCGTCTTTTACAGGAAATTAAAGAAGTGTGTTTGATCAAACAATTCTCATTCGCACTTTGTGCCTTTTTTTTCTTTTTTTTTTCAAGCAGGCAGAATGTTTTAGAAGGTGGATCTACAGATGAGTTGGCTGTTGGTTTGTTTGTGACCAGATTGGGGGTAGGAGGTCTTGATAAAATGTCCCCGGACTGGCAGGGTGGCTTTTATTTGCTTGTCCTTGGAGCTGATAACTCCTAGATTGTATGTGTGAATGAACTGATGTCCCTTCACCACACCACGTGCTACTACACACACACACACACACACACACACACAAAAGAGAGTGACAGAAAAGAGTTGTAAATCTCATAGATTTCTAAGGACAGGTACATTTATTCTCTGAACTGTGATTTTATCACCAGGTGCTTGGATGTGGGGAAAGTGGGCTGTGGTTGGCTGGATTTCAAGAATCAATTGATACTGTGAATAAATGAAAACAATCTCTCTCAGCAGCAGCAGCAGCAGCAGCAGCAGCAGCAGCGCGACTCCATGTGGGAGTACAACCTTTTTTTTCTTTTTCTTTTTTAAAACTGTGTGACGTGGCACAAGTAAAGATATGTTCAGATTCGTATAACTGCTACACTTAAAGGGCCATTCTGGTATTTCTGTGATTTTTAAGACAGAGATGATTGCAAACATGACAGCACAGTTTAAAACGTCAGTTCAGATCACCATCAATGAACAGGCAATAATAAGGCAGTTTAGGTGTAGTTTCTGTGACTACGGGCAAAATTAACATTACCGCCATGACACTCAATTACATGTAAATTTACACATTCAAAATCTCACTCAAGTGAAAGTATTATTTAGTATAAGTATTGTTTACTATCATTAGTAAAATACCCATTACGCAGTGTTGTATTATTTAAATATTGTTATTGATGCAGATTAGGCCTTTAGGAATATGAGAAATCTCTAAGGAATATGTTTGTTGCTGTGAAGGAGTTCTAGGTGTTATGCAGGTAAGGTGAAAATCAACGTGGACCAAGATTTTATTTATGCTACATACTGATGGGTTAGTCTAACAGTAGTTATAGTACATTTACATGATGTTCATGTTTTAGATTTTTTATTACATTTTTGCGAGTAACTATAGCTGTCAAAGAAATTGTGTAGAATGTGAAGGTGTCAAAAGTATAAAATACCGGATGCACTAATGTAAGTGTATAAGTTAACCTTAACACAAAGTTGTGCTTAAACACACTGGTGGAGTAAATCTACTTAGTTTATCTCCACCGGTGGAAAAGACTCATTAATTACAGGCCAATGGTGGAATTGATATTTCAAAAGTGTTGAAAAAGTTTTTGTGAATTTAAATTTGATAAAACTTAATGTTTTTACAGGACTGTTACAGTTAGAATAACTGCTTACCAATCTACATTTGTCTATTGTTTATCATGTTTTTATAATTACATTTCACCTCTAACGGGAGTAAAAGTAAAAGTCCAGTCTCAATTAACTCAAACAACACAGTCTGAGAAGTTTCATTTTTATTGGACTGAAGATATATGAACCACAAAGAGTTGCAGAGAGTGGTGGTATTTTTAACAAAAGTGATATTTCCCATCATTTATTAAAAAAAGAAAACCCTCTTAAAAAAAAAAAAAAAGACTAATGTTTACAGAGTCCTTTGCAGTGGGGGGGGGGATCACAGGAGGGACGACAGGGTAGAGAAAAGGGACAAAGTAAGAGATAAAATAGAGAATACTAAAGGATGTGAAGTCTCTGCTTCACTTCTGTCAACTTTTTCTACCTTAGCAGCAGCCCAGATTTACAGACTATTTATATTGCACCAAGTGCTCTGAATGGAAAAAAAAAAGAGAATCACATTCAAGTTAATGACAAGACATACAATAGGCGACATGACCTCAGAGTGATCTATAAAGTGCCCTTTAGGTTCAATGGTGTTAGAAAAAGGAGAGAGAAACAAAAACATAAAAAAGACAAAAAAAACATTTCTTTGTAAGAAACGTGCTGCTTTATATTCAGTGGCAATCACAGCTTTTCTCTCAAACACCCACCCACGCACGCACGCACGCACGCACACACACACACAGCTTCATTTTAGTGTTGTTGATCAGTAATACTTCTGTTAAATGTAATACATACATATATTTATATATCATGAAAGAACTTAAAATGTTTTTTTTTTCCTCAAGAACAATTTACAGCATTATGAACAGCAACAGGCATGAGAATATTAATATAATCATGACGTCTCAGAGAAACTACACCCGGTTTTAGTTTTCCCTTCCCAACCTCGAGACCGGTTACACGTCCAAATTACTATGTAGTCAAAGCAAACACAAGATACAGTTTCATGCTGCTTTCATAGCACTACAATAAAAACCATTTTATTCAACACATTTGCTATCACCATAACAAATGATATGGATTAATCATTTCCCAGACTAGCCAGATTTACACTTCACACACCATGTCATATAGAATCGTCAAAATAGTAAACAACATTGTTCATCAGTACAAATACGTTGAGAGTATTTTCCTGCCAGAATTATACCAATGATTTAAAAAAAACAAAAAACAAAAGAAAAAACCTGTTCCATGATGAGAAAAACTATAAAAATCATCTTTGGGGATTATGTCATCCCCCATTCTTGAATCCTTACCAGTAGTTAAAAAAAGAAAACAAAAACCTTATTCTACAAAAGGCTGCAGCGGCGATTTCTGATCACACAACATAAACAAGGCTCTACGGAGGGGTGTGGCCGATTTCCTGAAATGTGATTGGCTAGCATTCCTAAGGTAATCTGGTGTTGGTCTAAGGATTTGAGAGAGTTGTGATCATAGTGCCATTGCAGTTTCTTTGAGAAATAGTGCATGTAGGAGCCAGATTAAGGCCATGCTAAGACCCTTCCACTGAAAGGGTGCTCAAATACTGTGCTATAGTTTACATAAAGGAGCTATTGAAATGCATTAGTGTTTTCCAGCACTGTAGATTTTCACAGGACAAGGGTAGAGGGGGAAAGAAACAGCGGATCAGGGGCCAGGTCTCGTCATTCATCGCTCATGCCTGTGGATAATAGATTTCAGCATTCGACAGTGCAATGCTCCCTTTCTTTCCCGAGCACCTTTAAGGAGTGACCTACCCACACTGAAAAGATATAAAGACGTAGGCATATTGGCTCGACAAGTCGCTGTACAGTCTCAAACCACTGTGCTGTGTTGGTGGCTCACAGTCAGGCATTACAGTACAACATGCTCGCATAGAACTGCTACAGCAGCTGGTTTGACATCCCTGTGGCTTTTTGTTTTGTTTTGTTTTTTTAAAATTGTTGGTTGGTTTGGTGCAGTCAGTTTTAGTCGACCCCCTCGAAGCCCTGCGCGTTCTCCACAGCCATGAGGAGTTTCTCTCTCAGGTCCTCAAATGATTCGTAGGTTGGCAGATCCAAGCGATTGAAACTGAGAGGGAAACGTTTAATGGACACATTTCAAACAGGTAGCAAGGGATTCTGTTTCATAATACAAAACTAAATGTATTGTGTGCTTCTAGCTACGGTAGTGGCACGGCTCTGTGCATGGCAATGTCAGTCTGTTGGTCAACACTGAAATATCTCAACAACTATTAAAGGAATTGCCATGAAATTTTGTACCAACATTCATGATTCCCAGATGATTCATCCTGCTGACTCTGATGATTCCCTGACTTTTCCTCTAGCGCCACCAGCAGGTCAAAGTTTTCCCTTTTCCAGTAAAATATCTCAACATCTACTAGATGGATCGGCATCCAGAGATTGAATCCCACTGACTTTTTCCTCGAGCTCAAGTGGGTGACAATTTTAATTTGTCCAATTCTTTGCTTTATGACCAAATACCTCCAAAAATATCATTACTACCAGCTGTACTCCGATTTTAGTTCTGATTGCCAAATGTTAGCATGCTAACATGCTAAATTAAGATGGTGTTCATGGTAAATATTACATCCGCTTAGCATGAGCATATTATCATTGTTACTGTGAGAATCTAGCTCAAACTACTGTTGAGAGGCTGTAAACTTGTTTTACAGAGTTGGTTTTTCTGTGCCTGTATGTGTGTGTGTGTGTGTGTGTGTGTGTGTTCAGTAGTGACATACCATGTGTGAGCTCTTGGCAACTTCTCTGGTGTCCCCCACTGCTCAATTGTGAACAGCTGAGGACCATTAGAACCTGGCATAAAAAGAAGAAATAATAATTATGATGGCAAAGTTGAGATGATCCAAAAATGCTTTTATGAGACCACAAATCTAACCTCTAGGTCAATTCAGCTGATAAAATCATCGCAATAGAAAGAGGAGAAAGGAGAGCATTTGGATAACTATTGCATTTTACATAACTTATTTTTCATTTTTAGTCTTTGAATCATTTAAAGCCTCATAAATAATTCTATAGTATACACAGTTCTGTGCAAAAAGTGTAGGCACTTAAGATGTTAACAGTACAGTACAGTACAGTATGACAATGAGACATATTTATCTATCTGTATGTTTAGAGTGATTTATAATTCAATTCTTGGGACTGCAATCTATTTTTCTGCCACTTTTGCATTGAATTGAGTCCCTGCAATTATAACAGATAATGTATGATTCAAAAAAATGGGTGCCGTTATGAAAGTAGTTAATAAAAAAAGCCAAACTCCTCTGGTGAATTCACCTACCATAAAGCTCTGCAAAGCCATTCATCGGCACTCGTGAAGTTCCCGTAACAAACTGAAGGAGTCGGATTCTCTTTTCAGCATCCATCAAGAGGACAACCTGATAAAAGAGGAAAGATAAAATCTCTCAGTGACAAACAGTTTACAACATTAATTTATTCAATTTTTGACAGAACGGAATTTTTTTATCAAATATCAATCGCCACTCTGAAAAAAGTAATTTAAAATTTGTACTTTCTCATTATTACAACTAGGTCACAGAGAGGATGATGAAATAATTCAAACCAAGAACACTTTTTCAGACAGTGTTTGTGTTTGTGTGTGTGTGTGTGTGTGTGTGTGTGTGTGTGTGTGTGTGTGTGTGTGTATCTGTGTGTACGTGTTGTTTGAGCTTTATCACTTAATCAAACGACATGACACTGCTGTCTCTGTGTGTGTAAAAGTGTATACATGCACAAATTATGGCCTGCAGTCTTTGCGTGTGTGCGTGTGTGCGTGCGTGTGTGTGTGTGTGTGTGTGTGTGTGTGTGTGTGTGTGTGTGTGTGTGTGTGTGTGTGTGTGTTAAAGCTCAAGTCAAGACAGATGATAACCAGGGCAGGTAAAACTACTTTAGGCTCTTTCATCAGAGCAAACAAGCCTGATCTATCCAAACAGACTTTGATCTTCAAAAGCGAGGCCAGCGAATCTGCCGCCGGCCGGATGAAGGAAAAGATGACTGGAACCAACTTTTATTATGAAAGAACCAGATTTCATGACTGACATGTAGCAACATGTGGGTGACGATGTAGACAGTACATGTTGGCAAAAACCTGATTGAGTTTTGAGTTTGAGGGCATTATCGCATGTATTTACAAGTGTGTGTGTGTGTGTGTGTGTGTGTGTGTGTGTGTGTGTGTGTGTGTGTGTGTGTGTCTAACACACATACCTTCCAGAACCACTGTATAACAGGATGGTTGGGACAGTAGCCGTTCTTGTAAACAGTGTGTTGTCTCCAGTCGTTGACGTCCACATCACCCAAACCACACATGAGCAGCTACACAGAGACAGAGGAGGAGGGACGACATGAAGAAAGAATTTTACTTTTAAACTCAGACAGCACCTCATACAATAAATGCTTCAGTAAAATGCTCTCTATCAACCAGGGTTTCCAAATGAAACAATTCATTTTAAATAACTCTGGAAATTATTTTATCATTAAAGATATCGGTATTTAAAACGAGAGAAAATTTGAGAATCTGACACCACTCAATTTTGGGGATTTTTGCTTTAAAAAATAACCAAACCAATCCATTGATTAACAAAAATTGCTGCAGATTAATTTTCTGTTGTTCATGTAATTGATTAACTGACTTATTATTTCAACTCCACCCGCAGGGTATCCATACCTCCAGTTCGTTTTCATCAAAGATCTTGATCAGATCTATGAGAATGAGCTCAGTGAATCCCTGTAAATTAAAAGAAAAGAACATAATCATCATGAAAGTACAATACAAGCAACACAAATACAAAACAACTCACTAAATATTCAAGATATCAATAAGCAGATTCATTAAAGTAGGTTCAACACATATACAAGGGGCCATCACAAAGTCTGAGGTCACACTGCCCCCACATGGTGGTAGTATTATTGCGCATAAATACCTCCAAGAAGGCGTTCATCTGCTTCTGGACCCGATTGACAAACCTCCACTGGATGACCAGGCTGTTGACAGAAGGTTATTGCGATGTGGATAAATAACTAAAATAACTTTTTCTGAATAGATTTATCTTTGATAATGTAGTTTCATGGCTATCATTATTAAATAAAAAGACAAAAGATGAAGTAAGAGGAAACACATTTATAATTTATATTTCTTACTCTATGTATTCCTTTTTGTTGTCGTTGGTGACCACCATGTCTGAGCCACTGGGCTTCAGGTCGACCTGGTATGTCTGAGAAAGAAAAAAGCATGAGGAAAATAGAAGGCCAGAACACTTGACTGCAATTAAAAATCAATATTTAGATTTTAATTATTGCAAAGTGACTGATTTTAGGTTTGTGCACCTGTCCAAAGTTGTCCTCATCAATACAAAACCTCAGGTCCAGCTCAGTGGGATCATTCTCCAGGATCCACTTAAGAGAGTTGTAGTATTCACTGTCCTGCAGAGAAGATAATAATTCCACACAAAGAAAAAGTCATTCATTGGCTTTTGTGAGATTATAGGGTTTCATTCTTAACTTGGTCAGAACTGCATTAATGTAGAACAACTTAAATCAAAGAATCAACCCCATGGTCAGTGTTCATTGCACAGTTCCTCATAGAAAATATTATTAAAACGATTCAGCAAATTAAAGGGATGTTCAGTGAATATATATATTCAGTCTATTTCACTATGTCTGCAGAATCTTTGTGACTGTGAATCAGTTAATAATCTCGTCGCAGTGAGATCTTACCACAGACTCCATGTCTTTAAGGGAGATCTGTTTTCCCAGCATCATCTTGTAGAACGGTCGGATGAAAAAACCTGAGAAAGCACAAGACAACTCAGTGCAGTAGTTGGGGGGGAAAAAAAACAACTGTTCTCACACATGACAAACCTCAACATACACAAACGCAATAACAAAAAAGACAGGGTCAAACATCAGGCTGCTTACCATCTAGTAGTTTTCCATGAAACACGGCCATTCCTGCCACACGCCCGATGAACTTGAAATAGGAGAGGTGATCCTCGTTGCACAAGCCAGAGTTGGGATTGATTTGGAGAGTGTAGTTGTCCCTGGGAAAACACAGAGGAAGAAAGTAATATCCAGGTTCCATTACCAGGTTATTCAGTAATGCTCAGAACAGTCAGAGGTAATAATAGGTTTATTTATATTTGTCCCTTTGGTTATGGAAACCTTATGAAAATAAAATAAAGAAAACCATTTTGTGATTTAAAAAGAAAGGTTGAGGATAACATCAGTGATTTTATGCACCGAGGAACACACAAGTGGAGACAAAAAACTTCAAAGTGGCTGTTAAGCATCGGCTTCTTATTCAACTGCAGCTGCATGATAATGTTAAAACTAAATAATAAAAGTTGCTGTGATGAATAATCACAATGTGGTTTAATTTTAAAGGTTTAGAGTTTTAATCGTTCTCTTATTATTTTATTGAATCAAGCAAACTGTAATTAAAGAAAGGGTTCACTTTCAACAGCACCATTTATATTATTTATTCTCTGTTACCTTTGCCCTGCGGGGCAAAACTGAGACAAAGTCAACTGAGTCATCCTCTACTGGTGCCAACAAAAGGAACAGAACATACGACACTTTGATTATCTTGACGTGTATTGCATGTGGGAAACATTTGTTCCAGGATGGCTTTTTGAATGAGAGGAAAAGTTAATCAAAGTGAAAGGAAACTTTAAGTCTCATAGGGAAACAATACGACAGTCTCTACCCCTTTATCCACATTTGTCCATGACTGCAAACATATAGAACGGTTCCTTTATGACATGAGCTTTGCGTGACACTGTGTCCTGTGTCACATCCTGTCAAATGCCTCAAGGGTTTTTTTTCCAACCAGACACAAACAAGCAGAGACTTACGTGGCTGAGTATTCAAACAGGCCGTAGTAAGGGTTGAACATCTCCTTAGATAAGAGGAAGAACCACTCTCTGGCCACACCGCCGTAGTCCAATCCTTTCTCTGACTCAAACTCGATCCACAGCCGTGCCTTCAAAACATCCGGCCTCTTCAGGGACATGATCCGACGGTACGACTCTTCAAAGATGTTGTTCCTGTGCAGCTTCATCTCAAATCGGTTGGGGATGTCAGCCTGGAACAATTCACATATAATGCACTTTAATGCAAATAAAAACAAATAAATTAATGAAAAGAAATCTGAATGCGTTCAGTTAAGTAGAGGTATGACCCTTTGTACAACCAATATATTTAGACTTATCAGGAAGTGTGAGTTTAAATACAATATTGTTACACGTCATTCACAACATTTTTATTATTTTATTGAAATTATTGAACGAAAATTGTTGTAATGTGCGGACTGCAGAATTCTGGTTGAGACAGTGAAAAATGAAGAAAAAGTCCAGGGGGTTGAAAGCTTTCTGAAAGCATATTGAAGTCATTTATCACATTATCATAGTTGAGAAATAAAATGCATCTGTTTCCTATTACCCTCAGTACACCAATCAAATTACTGACCTTAAACATGCTCTAACGAAACTGCACGCTGTGTCAACATTAGGCAATTTCTCTCCGCTTGGTTATTTTTACTGTTCACCCATCATTAAATTCCAGCATTACAAAAAAAACTGTCAGAAAATTCTGCACTCTGCACCTACCAAGTGTTAATTGCAAAGAATATGAAATGATTGCAATGAATACTTAACATCTCAAACTCAGTCATAGTGTGTCAAGACAGAGTGAAGAAAGTTAAATAAGTATGCAATCAAAATAGAAGCAAATTAATTCATCCTTTCGTCAGGGAGAAGCTGTAAGGTTTTGACCGAATTTAGCTTCGCCTTGTTATAGTTATGTAAATGTTCCCCGACAAGAACCCATAAACCCAAGACAGATGTGTATTTTATAAATCACTTCTTACAGGTTTCTTCAATTTCTTCCTGAAGTAGTCATATTTCTGCTTGAACTCTCTGGAGTAGGGAACAGCCTGCACAGAGAACAAAGAACACACACAAGAGTCAAGGAATGGTAAGGTCAACAAATGATCAATACCTTTAATAGGGAGCAGCTTGTGATGTAAACACTTTAATGGGAATACTGAACGACAGAGTGTAACTTGAGGAGGGGAGCTGGCAATGAGCGACAACAATATCTGTAGCTGTGCACAGAGTGACACGAAGGTGCTGGCATGTTAAGCGACAACCGCAGTGACAAAGTGATTTATCTCTGCTGTACAAAGACACACTGAGACTGATGAAAGTGTGTGATAGATAGAGCTACAGTGTTAAAAGAAGAAGCTGTTGTTTCTATGTAGCGACACTGCAGCAGCGACTCTTTGAACAAGTTAAGAGGAAACTACTCACAGGTCCTGTGATGGCTGGACTCTGCAGGCGAGGGTCCTCCCACTGTGTGTTCTTTGTATCTGGTTGAACCAAACACAAATAACACAAACTTTTTATGCATGAATAGGCTGCACAGTGACTTCTAGTGCTGAAATGATTAGCTGCTTAATCGATTAGTAATTTGAATGAAAATTCAACAGCAGAAATCCGAAACCTTTTCTCGTTTCACATTCTCAAATGTGAAGATTTGCTGATTGTCTCTGTTTTACATAATCATAAATTTAATTTATTCTCACTGTTAGTTGGAGAAAACAAGTATTTTGAATAGCTTGGGCTCTGGTATATGTACAGTAAATGAGCATTTTTCACCACTTTCTGGCATTTTAAAGACTAAACAATTAGTCAAGGAAAGAATAGACTGCTTAAATCAATTTTGGAGATAAGTTTATCAGTTGCACACATAGTGAAACCCATCCATTAAGGTAATAAACATACCTCCATTAAGTCATACAAAAAGATAGGGAATCAATTTATGCTGATAAGGAGGCAGATATACGGTATACACATGACCAAATACAAGCTTGGAAGAGACAGAATGTGATCTTACTGTGGTCAATATAAAAGGTGCGTCCGTCTGAGTGAACTCTTTCTTCCCATCCAGGCTGAAAAAAAAGGAGCATAACAAAGGAGGCGTGAGGAAGAAGCACACAGTCACCATTACATAGCTCTATTGAACAGACCATGCTCAAATAGTAATTAAATCCATCCACGTTTTTGTTTCCCTTTTTTTATTTCATGTTTGATTGAACTTGACTGACCATTAAATGGCCCATACACTGACAGCCCAGCACTGCAGGCGAGGCAAGCTCAATCAATCACCACAAAGGAACTGAGAGGATTTTCTCTCCTATTTGAGTCAGGTCTGAGATAGCAGCAAGGCAGGGGTACGACCACAACATGAAGTTTGATCACCACTACTAGTTCAAACCAGAACACCACCACTGACACGGTGACCACTCAGTACAGTGTCACAGGCCACACACACACACACACACACACACACTCGTAAGGCACCAGCAATCAGGCAATTAAAAGAATTACAGTAGATTGAGAGTCAAGGGGTGGGGAAAGGGGCTGAGTCTGACAATCTGTCAAACTGGCTGTACCTACACTATGTATAATATATGTGTTTCTAAATAAGCTGCAACTACATGAGTGGAAACCAGATCGAATAAATGATAACACATGCAGCATACAGCGAGATCCTTCCTCTAACATACAGCTATTTTTGTTTCTCTTTGCCCCTTTTTCAGCCAAATTTTCACTTGTTTGTTCATTCTCTGTCTTACTCTAACAAATGCCCATGCATTTCACTTTGTTCCACTTCCCCAACTCGTCTATCTGTCTCCTTAGACACTGATAAAAGTACACAAACATGGAGCAGTCTGTGGGATCCCTGGAGAATGATGGAGAGCTCCAAATGTTAAGCATCAACAGAAGGTGAAGATGGTGGTGGTGCAGGGAGGGAGCACAAAGAGAGGAAGTGGGGTAATGTATTGATGAAAAGGGAGGGAGAGGTACAGTCCATCCATGCCGGTCATGAGAAAGAAAGAGAAGAGAGAGAAAGAGAGAGGAAAAAAAAAAAAAAATAGTGCAAGGCTGTCTGCAGGCATTTGACCAGATCGGACCAGACCAGACAGGTAAGTAAGGCAGGCAGAGGGAGGGAGGCACCAACCAACCTCCTCTGGTAGGTTCTGCCAAACAGACATGGCCGGGTGTAGAAGAAGTAGCATACATTAGATCCACCAGAACGGAGTGAAAAAAGAGAAAGAGGGAGAGAGAGAGAGAACACACACACATGCACACACCACACAAGCCTGTGAGATGTACAAACCCATGAAGCTTTGATTATTCAACATCTAGCTATGGTAACGTTAGGCCCACTTGTTGGGAGATTGTCTTTGTCACAGAGATAATAGTGCAGGTGACAGACAGTCTTCACCACCTAATTAGGGATTATCACAGCCCCCAGACTCTGCTCTCTCATCCTCGCCAGTTGCATTCTCCCACTGCCCCCCTCTTTTCTAACAGGACTAAAAAGGAAATGTCTAATACTGTCTCATCACATGATCAAGTCTCATCTTTTACTGCAAAAGCCACATTCACATACTTTACATCAAACATACACTGACCATTGAGTCAAGCTAACTAAGCTGACCTGTAAACAAAAACCCAACGTTCAACATAAGTAGTCACTGATGGTGCAACAATTTGAGTGAATACTTTTTCTGTTTCAAATTTTAGCTAAGAAAAGAGATTACATGGTTATGGTCATCTAAACAAGTTGATCTGTTAAACATATAATAGAGAGCACAGTGGTAATTGCGTAACAAAGCTAAGCAATTATTGGGAACTATGAGGCTGTTGTTGGTGGGCTTTGTGGACCAAAGGTTAAATATGTAGCTGATCTTATTGTGACTGTACTTACAGGAAGAGGACCAAGGTCACCGGGCTCCATCGAGTTCTTATTCCTCATATGGACTGGATACTTCAACCTGGGATCCTCCTGGTAGTCAAAAGCAAAAGGGAAGGAAGGATTTAAATCGTAAATACAGCATTTTATAGTTGCTGTAGTTCCAGGATAAAAACAGCAACTCATAAATATTACACTACTCCCACAAAGTGGTCTGAAAAGGTGAACACTAATAAGGGCTAAAGTAAACATGCAATTGATTTTCACACCACCAGGTGCCACTATAAGATCAGTGAGATCAACACCAAACACTGCCCTAGATTTTTGGTGCCTATTTGACTGAAACAGTCAAATAATGCTCATGATCACACACAGAAACCAAACAAATAAACTACTAATCAATTTTATAACTTCATTTGCTAAGACTTTCTTCGTGAGCCTAGGATGTTTCTGGAAAGTACCATGTAAATTGGTACAAATTATAAGGAAAATGGAGAACAAGGTGCAAGACAGTTCTTACAATTTAGTTTGTTGTGTTGTTGTGCTGTTAATTCCCAGAGGATCATCCTTGAAATTTAAACCCACAATCATTCATTATTGGAAACAATGAATATATTGATAATAATCAAAAAATCATACTGTATATGTTGGATTATATTCTTATGTGCAGACTTTATGTTGACCTGCTGTGCACTGAGGTTATGTGAGCAACTCACTAGAACTGAAAATTGTCTCTATTCTCCCTTTAATTGTTACCACACAACATAGTTCATCTCTGGAGACTATTGAGAAACTGTTAGACAATTACAGACCTGTACAACAAAGCTCTATTCTACATGCATCATCTTGCCTAAAATGACATCACCCATCCTGTTATGTGTTAGCTCACCCAGGTGGTTGTTCTGCTGTTGTGGTCAATGAAGAAAGGCCGACCATTGGGGGCTATCCTCATCTCCCAGCCTGGGGGCAGGAAGCTCTGCTGTGTCTTGTGCTGTGACTTGGGGGAACTGTAGGGGGATGGCTGGGGAGACTGGGGGTTTGAGAATGTGTCCTTCACAGCCCTCCGTACCTGGATATTATTTGCTCCCTGGAAACAAAATGGAAAAATAAGGAAATTTAAGTTGTAAAAAAAAAAAAATTAAAGTTGTAACTGAATATGAATGACCGACTGCATGAGACAAATGAACAATGCAGACAATAACAAGGGTGGAAATGAGTCTTCCAAAAGTTGCCTCGGTGTTCCATTCCAAAAACTAAATAATATCAGAAAAGACCTAGGAAAAAACACCACCATCGTCACCACAACATCATAACAAAGAAAGCCGGGGGTAAATTCTTTTGATTTCCATGTAAAGCAGGAGGGAGCTAATCAACACCCATGCTGCATACTCCACCAGCCTGTCAGGCTGTCAGTCAAAATGCCAGCAGAAAAGTGCATGAATTCTTGATAAGCTCTACAGATTTCAGCTTTTTCCAATTCCCTAGATGTTGCCTCTGAGGTTTAACGGTACAATAACTGCTCTTTTTGTTGATTTTCCCTCTGCAATGGTTCCCTGAATGATGTAAAAGTCCAAGAAAAAGTGAAGCTAATTCACTGCAGCACTACCAAAACTCTTCATTCATCCATTTGTAGCAATAGAGACCTTGGTCAAGGGTAAAAGAAAAATGAGTTGCAACATGATACCACTAGTCCAAAAAACATGTATCTCCTGGAAATCTAACATTTCTGGCATCTTAAAAGCATCTAAAGCAGCATTAAACAGACTAAGGTTTGCCAAGCTTAATTAGTGTTCCCACCTCACATTGTTCTTTTAGCTGTAATTATCACTGACTGATCTGATTTTTAACAAAAGGAAAACTGCATTAATTAATTCACAGACCTTCCACCTTCTCTGGAAGTTGTAATTACAACATCCTGCTGCGAGTGTTTCACTTCCTTTTACTTCCACAATGCCTTGTGAAAACACACACACCTTAATTAAACTTCCTGCAGGTCTCTTCCCTTGGTGGTAGCAAAGGCTCCTCACCCCTGAGTGAAGCCATTAAATGCAGTGTGAGGTCAAAAAGAGACCATCTTTTTTTGGATGTGTGTTGATCCTAATTAGCAAAGTTTATGTGGTGTATTTATAGATACACTGCATAATTTAAAGTTCAAGATAAATGTTATTTTGTATAGAGGATAACAGCAGGTCAAGAACTAAATCAAATGTTTCTAAAGTTTTCTAATATTTAAGTCCATCAGCTGCTTTTAGATGCAAGTGTGTGTGTGCACATGCACACACAAAACTTTATAATAACACTAACATACACCAAAACCCACACAGAGTTACGATGAGAGTATGTTATGCAACAGAATCCAATCCGGCATCCAGAATAATATGTTATTATTTCCAAAGGTTATTTGCCTAACAGCCTTAACAACACTTGCCCGTGCAAGTCAAAACAAAAAAGTGGCAATTTCAATGTACTACGTTTAGTTTCATGTAGTTATTAATTCACACATAAATCACCTGCCCTGTTTGATTATTAAACTCCCCTGACCAATGAGTAAGAGACTGGCTTCGTGATAATGTTGTAAATTTAAAGCCAGGATGTGAAAAATGCCGACATACTGCAGAGAAATTAGGAATGAATCTACGAGCCATTATTGATCACTGACAATCAGATTATTTAAGATCTGTGATCAAAACACTCTGCAGTAATTGAACAATGGTCCACTCTTTGTCAAACAAAGCAATAATTCAATTTGTCACTGCTTGGGCTCAGGCCAACATTCTGAATGGACATGCAGTGGCTTCAGACTAAAAGCACTCCACTCATGCCTACTTGCTTCAGGGCCAAGTTCCATTAAGATATTTGGTGGTTGGAAGCTTTTTAGTTTATAACAGCTGCAGGCTCAGGACTTACAGTACCTGAGGTGTTTGAGTTAATCTTGAATGCTCACTTATTCCTTCATAAAAGACACTGCAGCTGCGAGATAAAGGGAAGGGAAAGGCTTTATGACTGTTCACTTTCTGATTTACCACTCTTTGCAAGTGATGATTCTGGAAATTCATCTCTCAATTAAGATTTAAAACAAGGAAATATATCATGCAGCTGGTATATCTATTATTAAAAAAAAAGAAAGGGTGACTTAAAAATGAAATGCACAGCTCTCTAAGGTATTCACAAAGGATGCCATGTTGTACAAATGAATCTTGAAATGTTAACCATAAGATAGAATAGAATAGAATTTTCATTTGCTTTTGTGGCTGCCTTTGTGTTAGTAAAATGGCTCTGGATCCTAGGTTTGCTTTAGCAGATTACGAAAACCATTTGGGACCTGTGATCAATTTAAATAATTTAGTCATTCAGCAGCAACTGGATGAATCTGCCATCTTGGATTTACCACAGCAGCTTCATCCTCTTATTGCTATTGCTTCAAAACAAGCTGTACTGCAGAATGAAATGCTGACTGGGCATACTGTTGACAACAAACTCATCATTGTGATTAACAAAGCTTGAGTAAAGCTCAGATCGTTTTGTGTGGTGAGTGATAGTTTACTGCTCAGCCCTCAGCTCATGATATATTGAGGATGAAAGAAAGAGCTTTATGAAGAAAGAAAATTGTCACCAAGGGAAAGATGAAAATAAGAGACGAGGAAAAAAGTCTGGTTAAATGGTGAGATTAACACTTTCATAGGGGAGGCAAGGATGGGAAGAGAGAAGAGCAGCAGCATGACAGACCTGAAAGGAAGAGAGAAAATAGATGAGAAGTGAAATATTAAAGAAGGAAATTGAGGATTCGCTGATATATAACGGTGAGGATCATGATTTGGCCATCTACTAAGGGATGGACGTACTGATACAATGAAGGATTGCGTGAAAGGAAAGTGAAAATGGGTAAGGATTGGAGAAAAAAGGAGGTAGAAATAAGTATTCCTCAGGTAGTGAAAAGAGGGAAAAGATATGGGTATGGAGGAGAGGGATGGTGCAGGTGGCTAATTCTCACCTCCATGGGGGTGGAAAGGGTGACAGTAGGGGAGCTGAGGCTACGAGGTCGTCGGACTTGGGGCTCATGGAGGTGGTTGTTGGAGGCATTGGAAGAGGAGGAGGGGGTGGATGCGGGTGCCAGGGCCGAGGCTCCTCCTGATGCCGATGCTGCTGCGGCTGCTGAGGTGCTGGCTCCGTCTTCAGTCAGCTGTCAGTGAGAATAGCACTTTTGAGGTTAATGGGGGGTTGGGAATAAGGCAAATGATGCTGTTTTGCGTAAACTTTTCCCCATCACACTGTAAGCCATGCTGTCAAGGATGCTTATCTGCACCGGAGAGGTCTGGATGCAAGCTTTTCTCTCAGGAAAATGAGCTCCTAAAATGTCAAAAGCATGGGTCATTTAGGCCCAAGAAAGCAATCATTCATGTCACTAAAAATATAATTATTAACAATTAAGATTATGCGTCCAACAGGAAAACAGGGGTAGGGAAAGGCTTGAAATTAAAGTCTGTGTTACTTTGAACCCTCACCCTGGTAGCAGGCACAAAGGGCATGTGTAACAAAGACAAAATCATTTGGCAGTGTCCTCTCCTTCCGAGTAATAACAAAAACTGATGAGAACCAGAGAATGAGAAGACTATGATGACAGACAGATGACCAGCTATAATAAAACAACAGTGTTCCAATAAAAGCAGAAATAAAAGGATGATTTCAAAGAGAAGAGACGTGAGGATCAACCATAGCACCCAGTCTCATGTAGGAGTCTCTCTCCCAGCTCAGACTATGTGGAGCTGCCTCATTTGTAGACAGAAAGAAAGGGGAAGACAAGTGGAAAAACAGGGTAGAAATGGGAAAAGGGAGAGAAAAAGTGGTGGTTGCAGTTCCATGCCACAGTTTAGGAAGATGTGACCAATGCAGAGTTGCACTTCATCCAGAGTATCAAACAAAATGCTAGACAAGAGAAGGAAGACGTACAATCATAAAGTAGGACAGTAGAGTTGGACAGAATAGGAAACTGGACAGAGAGAACGACAGAATAGGAGACTTTGAGGTTGCAAAGCTGTGTCTCTTTCCGTCATTCTTTATTGCTACACAGAGGAGAAACAGAGGGGAGGATAGAGGAGGAAGAGGTCCAGCACACAGGCCTAGGCCATGACAGGGGCCAAGGTAAGGTCCAGTCCCATGCATAGAGAGTCTCCAGGCAGCCCGACAGCCAGCCTTCAGACCTGCTGTACCTGCACAATTGGCCTAGTCCAGGTTGTGGTGCGGTTGTTATGGTTGACGTAATAAGTTCTTCCCTTGGCGTCCTTCCTCTCCTCCCATCCAGGGGGCAGGCCAGGGGTGGTCAAGGTGTAAGCAGTCGCCGAGGGAGACTGGCCAAGTGTGGAGAGAGCAAAGCAAAGACAACTAATCAGTACAGGCTAATAGGCTTAAGGACATGTGGAGGGAATCTTATTGATATCTTTAAATGATTTGTGCTCTCACTCTCTTGGGAGTGAGAGCACAAATTATTGTCTGCCCAAAAGGATAGAAACGGAGGTTTTCAATACAGTCAGGTATTTCCAGCAAACCGCTTATTTTTTTTCTCAGAATCTACTGACAAGACAAAGGCTTTAAAAACCTTTTCACATTTGAGCTGCACAATGACAAACACTTTAGGGACAGGATATGACAAGAGAAGCTTTACAACTCTAATGGGAAAACAGGTGAACCTTCACACACAAAACACAATGAAACACTAAACACTGGTACTAAAATAAGCATCACATGGGGAAAAGTAGTGGAACATTACTAATGTGAGTGACCTATTAACCGTTTGTAGCATAAAGATTACAGAAGTAGTCGACCAAATGATCACAACATAGACTTTTGATATATCTAAGAACTGTGCATAGATAGCACCATAGAACACTGGAGACATTATAAAGCTGATTTACGGCTTATTATCAATGTCAGCATTGATGTACATTTTTATGAATGTTCACACAAACTTGTACCGTCCCTCTCAGAGAGAACATTTACTGTATCATTTATTCATGTCATGGAAATGTGTCATGTTGAGCAAAAATGTTTGGATAGGAATCTGTTTGAACAAAGCTAAACAAATAACCTCTGAAAAAAAAAAAAAACAACACAATACACTGTAGTATAAATGACTAAAAGCTCTTGTGAGCTTTTCTACCCAAGTGCAGCTTTTCATCAAAGTAATTCAGTGACAAAATGAGTCAGGGGACAGATACAGCTCATTCAAAGTAGTGTCTGGGAACTAAGAGGTATAAGACTGACAGGATTTAAACTGTATATAAACTGAGATATTACCATAGACTCCTCACCACCTGAGACTGTTTGAGCTCTTGTTCTTCTGGTCTGGGAACTCTGCTGGTGGTAGACAACAGGGGAAGACTGTCTTTAGTTCACAGTATGTTATGTTTTCATTGCCAGGGTGGAAGTAAAGGGGCAAGGGAGAGTGTTTGGGCAGTAGTGAGGGCTGAATGAGGAAAAAAAAAAAAACTGATTGGACAAAGGGGGGAATTTTTATTCTCAAAGGAGGTGAGGAGTGACAAAAAGGGAGGAGATTCTTGTGATTATGGACCATGGTAGGAAAGTGCTGTGGCTGACAGTGTTAAAAAAGAAAAAGAGAGGACACCCACTGAAGCATACGCGCTGTGAGGTTGACAGGCAGCAGGAAGGAGCGCAATTCATTTGGCAAGAAAACGCTGTTGTGATTGGCTGACTCAATCACACAAAAGGTAGGTTAAGAAAAGTTTTAGGACTGTGGTGCCAGTAAGTTTTGGATAGTAAAGTGGAAAGTGAATCAACTTTAATATTAAGACAGACAAAACAGAAGGAAAATCAAGACAGTCTGAGATGCAGAAGTTCTCAGGCTTGCATTTCCCTGTTGGAGGGAAGACACAGATTCTTTTCCCTGAACTGTAAATTCAATCCCCAGGCAACTCAGCATCTTTATTCTCAGCCCAAGAAGAAAAGCTACAGAAACAACAATCAGAGAAAGCAGCTCTGTGTCCTGAAAATGTTAGAGCAGTGCTGAAGTTCACAGAAAGTTCACAAAATGAGTGAGTTTCAGATAAGAACTAGAAGAAAAACAATCAAAAGCCCAGAAAACAAAACGGAACTTGTAATTTCTTTCAAGCAATACAAAAGACACATCACATGCAGGATGACAATATCAGTGCAGTTCAGTCAAAACCACACATTTAACTATTTTGAAACTGAATGCTACCCTACAAACTACTATCAAGCTTACATAAATTCAAATAGTGTCAAAGTCCATCAGTACAACAACCAAGTCATGTCATACTCACCCCTTTGAATTTCTATTTTTTGTTTTTGTTTTTATATAAACAGAAATACCAGTGTCATTCATCCATCAATTCCAGTTTTCCACATTTCCATCTTTTTCCGATCAACGCTGATCTCCCAACAATGAAAAGGTAGACTTCTAACATTATAAGCTCACCAAGAATTTATTGTGAAAAAAAAAATCTGTGTTTTGAGATGCATTCACGGCATCTTAACATCGATCAGGAAAAATGGAAAAGTGAAAGTACAAGGATTCATTGGTGAATGCAGAAGAGAAACTGAGAGCAGCAGAGTGGTGACTCTGTTGTACTGATGGAATAAGTGTTGTGGAAATGCACCCAATACTGAATTTATTAATACAACAGGTAAGCACAGAGGACGTTTTGAAATTGCATTAGCTGGGAATCAGGGGAAATGAGAAATACAAGCCTGTCTCTAACATGAGCCTGTTTCAAATAAAAGCCTGGTATCCAAGATGCAATCACACGTGCAAAGAGTACCTATCCAATTACATACACATTTAATGTCATTAAAGGACTGTTTGTACTAACTAAATGCTTTCCTGAAGAACACTGTCTTTCAACTTCAATATAACCAATACTACCTTAAATACTAAATTGCTCACTACACCCAGAGGAAAATATTAAACCCTGGGGAGGCAGCAAACTTAACTTAAATGCAGCGTATATTTTCCCTCCGATGTTTTCTTTATGAGCCTGCTGTTCTCCATTCCTGAGAGACTTCTCATTCAAGGGAAAGGCTGACATTGGCACCTATACTTTTCCTTGGCTTAATAATGTCAAGCTCACCGCTGTGACTCAGTTGTGTGACAAACATCTGATTCAGATCTTGTGACAAAGTCAGTCGTGCTGAATCTCCACTAATGCTATGACTCAGGACTCTCTGAGGAATATCTGAACTGATGTGATTCTGTTCCTAATCTCACTCCCCCTGCCATGGCTTTTCTACTGGAATGGTCAAACTGTTGGCACATAGCTTTGGAGCCAATGTTTCTACAATACATCAAACACAGCGGCAAGTGAATCACAAAGAGCATAAAGTCATAGTGGGAGACAAGGGGGAGGAAGAGGTGTGGTATTCCTACAGAGGCAAGAAGACACGGATGAACAGTGAAATGAAGAAAGAAGCATAGAAAGCAGGAAGGAAAGGTGAGGAGGTAGCGACACCTGCCTAGTACGGACAAGTGGAAATTTTAAATGTGAGGAGGAACAAAAACGATGATTTTAATGTGTGGTACGCCAGCAGCAGTGAGACATGCCAACAGAGATGAGGTAAATAAGACAACAATACAAACCTGCTAAGGCAATCAGAGAACAAAGAAAAGGATGTTCACTACACTAGGAGTAACGTGACAAGGAAAGGGAGGAGGCGAAAGAAGAAAGTGGGCAGGATGGAGCAACATGTGGCAGTTCAGAAATATGTACCGTAAGAGGAGGAGCCTGGGCCTGTTCACTGACGCCATCCGTCATACTGGAGGAACGGAGTCTGTTTGACAGCTGGCTCTGTAATAAAAAAAATAGCAAGTGGAGAGTAAAAAAAATATTATAGCAAGCATTGGCTGTCTGACACAAAAAACACTTGTTTGATTTGACTGCCTACATGTCATTTAAATGTGGGGTGGTTTAGGGTTTGACTACTGAGAATTACAGTGTCCATGTCTCACCTGAGCAGAGCTGGGCCCTGGCACTTCCCCGTTGGTATCGGGAGTGAGCGACAGCCTCAGATTCAAATCTTCAGCAAACTCCTGGGTGACAGGTGTTGGTGGGTGCTGTGGTGTCAAGATGGAGGAGGGGCCAGGCAGAGACTGGGACAAGCTGTCGTTAGGATCTTCTTCTGTGATGAGCTCCCAGGACTACATGAGCAACAGGGAGAGGGAATCATGAAACAATAATGTTTCAGTGACCGTATCATTTCAGAAAGCTGTGACTCAGAACATGCTTGTAGTATATGTATGTGTATATTCTTCTTTCTCACATTGTCCATGTCCCTGGGCTCCAGGTGCTCGTTCTCTAGGTCTTCACTAATGTGGCGTCTTGAACGGAAAACACGGTGCGCTTCCTGATGGATCTGCCGCTGTTGATTGTCACTCTCAGTCTCTGAAATCACATCCCTGAGAAGAAAAAATTTCATGCAAAAAAAATAAGTCTAAGTCACAAAATTACTGCTAGGAAATATTACTGCTACATAAATGAAAACCAAACATTAAATTGATAGCCAAGGTAGTAGAATAGTGGAATTTTGGGTAGGCCAAGTCTACCACCTCTCACACTGATTTCTACATGCTCATTCTGACAGAGGAACAAAAGTGAATTTGAGGAAAGAATGAATTTTCCAAATGAATGGTCTGTGGGCTATGTGTCTATAAAGCTATAGTTGTGTCTCACTTGCATATTTTCTTGAAGGAATCATTTTGACATTTTGAGAAATATGTTAAATCACTTTCCTGCCAAGAGTTATAAAGCTCTAAACGAAAATCAATGAGAAGTGGTTACACAAATATATTAAGCATGGCTCATACATGAGTTTGGTGGTGTGCTGTAGTGATTTACCAAAGCATAAGATGAATAGAGGGAAAATATGGCTAAAATGATTCTGACCTATTGATTCATTCATACATACAATGACCCCTTAAACAAATGGCTTTATACACTATGTAATAAAATTTACACTTTTACTTTTAGGTGCTGTTCAGGTCTATAGTGCTGCTTTCGTGATGATTTATCATTAAACTAATGTAAAAAATATGTTTTAAAACTTGAAAACATAAAGAGGGAGATCAGGCGTACATGTTGGAGGGCCTTTTCCACTGTGTAGTGCGGTTATTGTGGTTGACATAGTAAGTACGTCCCAGGTTGTCCACCTTCTCTTCCCAACCTTGGGGCAATGGGGGCAGCAGCTGCTGTGGTCGCTGGGAGCCTGAGTCTGCAGACTCATCCCATCCCTGAAAGAAAAGTTTGCAATTTTTGACATAAGGTAGTATGAGTAACTCACTGGTAGCTCAGGACATAGATAAACAGATACTCCTGTGAGCTTGTCCGGTACACAAGCATCAGCAAATGGTTTAGGAAGTGATTCAAGTATGGAAATACATTAAAGACGTAGGACTCACTTGTGGGTGGTTCATTTTTTTCTGAGTGCTGTGTTGTGGTTTGAAATGTTTTGGTTAACATTAACTGGTGTTTATTTTTGTGTAACAAGCTGCTGGCTGGCTGGGATATCTCTCCGACCACAGGATCTGAGAGTGAGCTAATGTTAGTGCATTGTGTCACTGCCTGGGTTGACAAATTTCAACTCTCCTTTAGGCAGACAGAGAAGGTGAGCATGGGAACAGTGCGTTTGTAAAGCTGGTGAAACACCCTATTTGTAAAGGAGAAAAAAAGAACTCTAGAGAGTGAAAAAGAGGATTTTTCACAGTGGGAACGCAAACTGAAGGAAGGTTAGCAGAGTGGCATTTAAGTTTTTCGTGCTTGCTAAATGTCACCTTATCTATAAAGCCTTACACCGTCTAGCACTCTTCCACAATCCATATGAAATCCACACTTGAACACACAGACACATGCAAGAACACAAAGCAAAAGAGGAGAAGCTTCTATTTCTCCAAATAGCAGGCCATATAGTAAATGGTTTTTCCAGACCCTGACCTGGAAAAGACTTTCACCAGATTCTGGCAGCAAGATGCTGCCTGAATTCTTAGAGAAAATAATACAAAGACGAACTGTCCTTTCTCTTCTCACTCACACATTTCTTTGAATCCAAAGTGGGACATTTATTTTCATCTTTAAGCTCTTTAAAACTGTGTTTTCTTTGCGTGGAAGGAAACAATAAAACTAGAATGTGGTTTGGCTTCAGGTTGTTATGAACAGGTCAAAGAGTCACCTTAGGTAATGCATATTCAGCAGTCACAACTAACTCACTGACAACAGTGGCCAATACCTTACCTCAGCCTCCTCTCTCAACTCTCCAGCCTCCTCCTCATGTCCTCCTTGCTTGGGCAGATAGGCCATCTTCAGACGCAGGTAACCCTTCACCCTGGACTTGTGACTGGAAGATAAACATCACTAAGAATGGACCCACTAGAAAATAGTACATTAAAACCAGGTGACCTGCAGCCTCTGAGCCCCACAATGGGCTAATGCTTAGAAATATAGTGTGGTGGGGGGGGGTTTCCCATTTATTAGGGAGATGCTTAGAAATATAGGGGAGTTTCCAAACTGCCTACTAACCAGATGGTCTTTCAGCTGGAGTATTCAACCTCCACATGAACTTACCACTTTCCGCAGACATGACACCAGTCTGTATAGTGTTTCAAACCAGGATTTAAGTCACTGTGAGTTTAATAAACAGTCATTGTGTACTTGCTAATGGGGCAAAGCAGACACCATTCAAACTAAGAAGTTTCATTACTGGCATCTATTTTCACTGATTCCTTGTCACATCCTGTTTGTTACATCCAGTATAGACTGACCTTCTGGGCCGCAAGAGGAAGTCTTTAAATGTGTAGGGACGCTCCATAGCAGGGTCCTCTGTCTGCAAATTAAATGGACGCATTTGTTGACAGCAATCAATTGAACACATAAGCAAATACACATGTTGGGCAGTATCAAAATATCAGAGTCATGAGTTTCCAACACGGCTGCAACCCTCTGCACAGCCATCACATGGTCATTATGCAATGCTGAGCTTCTCCTGTTACATATTGAACAGCAGAAAGGTCTTTTGCAATTCACAGTAATCTCCCACTGCTGTCTGACTGTGCCAAACCAGTCCACACTGGCTACTTACCACATGTTGCTTTGTAATTTAACTAAATCAGACAGTTACCATATCAGAAGTACAATCTTCAATGCAAGTTTTGTAACAAAGAAATAAATAATAAAATAAATTATTACAAATAATCTCTCATCTATGTTTGGGCCAAACTGGTATGACGTTCTGAACATAATGCATCTAAATTGTTTGAAAACACTGCTCTTAAAAGCTTGAAGCAACATGCACTCCAACTTATGTGTGGCTAATGCAATCCAGGACTTGAGTGAGGACATGAGCTGGCACAAGGTTTCATGCTGTATGGTGCATGAAACTGTGTTTGGAAACAGCTGAAGTAGCTCAAGCTTCCACAAGGCAAATGCAGCTACCAGATTGCTTCTGGTGAGTCAGCGAGGCTGACCTGATTCATGAAAAGTAAAGTAATATCCAGTAACTATGAATAAGACTGTGACTCCTAAAAACATGTAGTCATGCATAAATCAAACAAAATCAAAACACACCTAAAATGCAGAACACAGCATCTACACAAACATAGAAGCAACTTACTCATGCTCAGCCAATTCGTTTAATGGCTTAAATAAGATTTTCAGCATTAGGCAGCATTAGCCGCATCAGGACCAAATATTCTCTATCCTGTCCAATGACTTCACCTCTCAACATGACTCAGCTGTTGCTTTTATCTGCAACTAATTCCCTGGCCCTGTGGGAGCCAAACAGGACATTAATAATTAACCCAAACACCTTTTACTGATATGCTTTTAAGGTTCAAACCTTAGACAGAACTTCAGAGAGCCACAATCAGTCTAACAGCACAGTGAGTAGAAGATGTGCTGCGTCAGAATGAGCTGTAGGTCGGTTTGTTTTAGTTTCAGGTCCTGCTCACTCACATCAAACATAAACTATACAAACTCCCAAGCAGCGCACACTGGTTCTGCATGTGATTGAAAATCTGTTGTCCCAGAAGTCCAGTGTAAGTGTGTGAAATTGACAAGTGTAGTTGTGTAGTGTGTTTCCATTGGCTCTTGAGGGTAGGCCGCCCTCAGGACAGTCACCTCTGTTTACATTCTAGACAGCCCGCTGCCTGTTTCAAACAAGGAGTGTGCTGTTTGATCACAACAAAACGTTGCTTGTGTGGCTCACACTTTCTCACACAAACACACTCTTTGGCTGACCTTGCCTGAGGTCAAACAGGCAGTGCAAAATTCAAGATAAGAAACAGCTGAGTATTCAAAACAGTCAGTCTGGCCACGCACGCACACACAGACACACACACACAAATAACTCACCGGCAAATGGCTGAGAGGAACATCAACTTGACCCAGGAAATCATCTCTGGTCTAGGAAAGAAAACAAGAAGGTCACCTTCGGCAGCTTAATTTTAGAAATGGCAGCTTTCTGAATCTGTCTGGGGAATACCAAAATTGCCAGTAAGGAAAGAGAGGGAAAAAACACAATGTTGAGGTGAATTAACTAATGCATCCCAAGATCCAGCAGCATTTTGTGTTTATTTCTCACAGACAGAATGAAAAAGACAAAGATTTTCATTTCATGGAGAGCCCCATCAAGGAATAACATCTAGCTTTATGATGAACACTTGTGGAGATCTGAAAATCTCAGATGGTTGCAGAACAGGAAAGCGCAATTATGTTTCAGCACTTTTGAGCAATTTCTACTTAATTTTAGTGAAAATATCAAGCAATATTTTCTTGTTTATATAGTTTATCAGGTGAAAAAGCTTTTATCTTTTTCTCTACCAATCAGTACAGATTTCCACAGGTGTCAAGGCACAAGGCTCAGTCTAGGGTTTTATCTATGGAGAGGCCTTTGGTATTACTTCATAGGAGAAGAACCCGTGATCCCAGCAAGGAAAAATAACATCCACTGCCACCAGATAGAAGCCAAGTCAGCCAGACAGAGGGAGAGAAGGATGAACGTGACAACAGGGAAGAATAAGGGAAGGTTTCAATTTAAGAGACCTGTATATTTGTTCAACCTTTTGCCATAAGTAATGTAGACTGAAAGGAAAAGGGGGAGATTGACAGATAACTGAGCTGCACTGCTGCAGCCCCCGGGAGGAGAAATGATTACCTGTCCGAGATGGAAAAGCCCATTCTTGGTAGTAGCCTGTGTGTGGGACACAACTTATTTAGACAACAGGCGTTAACTAACAACAATGTCTATTTGTAGACACTGGTTTGACAGGAAAGGCTGTGTGGAAACAATGAATAATACTTCTGTTAGTCCAGTGTTTCTCACTTGAGATGTGGTCCACCTAGTACATGGCGCGACCAAGTTCATTCACGTCTATGTCAGCTCCTGAGTGGTCAATTGAATGAAGTGCACAGAGAGGAGTGCTTGCGGAGGGATAGCCCAATCTCGCACTTGTCGGACAACACTGTCGACTCTCTTCTACAGAATGGATTTGTCCTTAAAGTCACTAGAGTTGTAGTACTTTTACTAAGTACTTTTTTGAAAAAAGTCACTGAAGGGGTCTGAAAAATTGGTAAATCTAGCAACAAAAATCATAGGTCTGTGTGGTTGGTAGTTTCTTAAAACTATTTTCTTTGAGTACAGTATTTTACACTGATCTGGTGTAAAAGGTGTGCAGCAGTCATAGTTTAATCTGATTTGTCAGAAGGAAAAAATAACAGCAGTGTTGGGGAGTGAGTGCACTAGGCTCCCACCACGGTTAACAGACCTGGAATTCAAAGGTGAAAGGTTACAAATGAGTCACATAAAAACACTGAGTTATTAATGCAGAGGCACGTAAACAGTCACAGTGAATGCATCTGACACACACATCCAACCACCTACACTCACACACAGAGACTCCTTCTTGGAAAAGCCAGAGCCACTACTGTGTGAATTACAGCGGTATCCGTTTTCATTTCCCAAACCAACAACCAGACAATTAATTTACTGCTTGCATAAGTCCAAAGAAATTCAAAACAGTGAAGCATAACGTTCATCTGAATTTGGAGAGAGCAACAAAAGCAACCTGGGCCACAGCATTCATATGACAGTATCATATTACGATCTTTCACATGTGCTGAACTGTAAACTACAGCGGGCATTTGCCAAGCACTTTGTCACTTTATTTTGAAAAGTATTGCAGAAATTTAAGTTTAAAATTATAATTAATGTTGCAAAGAATCAGCTGACCAGCCTTTCAGTACTGATGAATCACTATGAGCATCTAATCCTTACATATTAAATATAATTTTCTACCTGATTTGAACATATGAAGCAACCCTGTAGCCCTCAACATATGAAATAGGCAGTAGCAAAGGCAGTTTACTATGGGACACATGTAATCCTAGGACACATGGCTGTTTTCTGTCCTTAACCATAACAAGCATTTTAAGCTGTGGGTGTGTGTATGCGAAGGGATATAATTGCAGAGTCATCAAAGGGTCACAGTTGAGCCTGCAGCTGCCTCTCTCAGGGCCAAGTTACACTCAGAGAGGGAGGGTGCTACTAACGACTGAGAGAAGGAGGAGGGACGAACAGTCAAAGAGGCATGAGGCAGATGAAGGACTGTACATAGCTGGCTACCCTTCTGGTAAAAAGTTAGAGGATAAAACACAAAAAGGTTACTTTGACCAAATCAACACTCTTACTTCTCACATACTTCTAGTTGTATGCAGATAGTTTTGGTTTTATGTATCAGTCTCATAAAGTTCTGCCACTGTGATGGTTCACAGTGTAAGTGAGTGCAATTTAATTTTGTGGTGCTCATAGCTATCTAGAAATGACACTTAAAAAACTAAACAGCAAAATTTCTCCCCAAAAACAATGTACCAGTACCTCAATAAGCCACATAACACAGTATTAACAGTTTTCATGGGCACTGTTTATGCTTTTTTTTTTTTTTTTTTTTTTTAAATTTCCTTTTTTCAATGCTGTGAGCCGCACATATTGAAGTCCATTCATGTGTATTGGACCTGAACAAATAAAACCAAAACTATCAGCATCACTGAACACCACAAGTTGAAGATAACGTGATAAGAACTGGCAATGCTAACTGCAGCTATAATGCACTGCTGTGAAGCTACATGAAGAAGTGGTAACAGACTGAGAGTTTATGATATAGAAGAACCTGGAACAAGTCCAGGCTGACAATGAGGTGTGAAAAGGTTGTCTCACCTACTCAACAGTCTCCATGCTGACACGACTGAATTACAATGCCGTGCAACTCTGAGAGATCAGAGCTGACAGAGAAAAGCCCTTCATAACAATAGCAACTTGAATCCCTCTCACATGCTACTGGACCAAAATAAAAAGAGAGAACCCCCATCCACAATCCTGTCTCTGGGATTGTGGATGGCCCAGTGGCCTGCAAAAGCTCTCTAAATGGCAACTGGGGGCGTCGAGGCAGGGCTGTCATGAGGGCATGGCGCAGTGGCATAGCTGTCTGCAGCTAGTCTGGCTGGCTGGCACACACAAACACACACACACGTAGTATCCCATGCAGGGCTTTAAAAAGGGGCACTCCAACTCTAGGCCACCAGTTGGGGAAGACCTGTCATTATAGTCTAAATGAGGATTTCCTTGTTGCATGAGAAACGGGATGCCCTGGGGTAACACAACACCATGTGTTTTAAAATAAGGCAAAGGAGTCGTGTATACGGCTTACGTGCTCTCAAAAATATGACTAAAATATGTCAAGATTGCGGATGCATTAGTGGAGAGCAGCCAGTATTAGCAAGTCAGTCACGTCATATCCTCAGGTCTCCAACTCTGTGACTGACGAAAACAAAGAGTTATTTTACCAACTCTAACATTCATAACATTCGGTTTCAAGATTAGCAATTCTTAGCATAATGTGAATGATGCTTTTGTCAAACCTTAATGGTTAGAAAGGCATTTCTAACTGGTTTATCAGAAATGTTATTCACATCATAAAAGGTGGCACATCACCATCTTCATGACACGCAGAAATTTTAGAGACAGATGAATCCTTAGACACTGAGACATGCTACAACAAAATTTATCACTTGTCCTTATTGTGACAAATAATTATGGTGCACAATTTGTGCTGTGTTTACATTCAGTGTTTCTCGCAAAAAGGCATTGTGTGTAACCTGTTTCCAAAGCTGATATTTTGAATATTATAAAACTTGCATTTCTTACATCTATGTTAACTTGCTCCCAGTCTTCTTCTGTACTGCCTTTCCTGGTGCATTGCTGCGTATCTTGGTGTATTACAACCACCAGTTGATCACAGGAGTAACATGTCATCCGTGTGCATATATGCTGCTAGCGTTCAATTAGTCCACCAAGTACATTTAAGTTTGATTCATTATAATTCGCTGGTTTAGCACAGCAGTTCCAAGCCCCCCCAAGGGGTAGCAAGAAAATTTTTGAGGTTGTGAGATGATGAGAAGCAGAAAAAATATATTTCTGCAACACCAACTGCAGACTTTGCAGGAAATATCTGGAAAGTAGACTTGCTCTAAAGTCTAAGAGCAGTCTCCTGGCAGCAAATTCTTTATGAGAAACTACTGGGAATAATGATAATACAGTTAATGACAACTCCATAACTTAAATATATATTGTACATTATTGTTATTTATAGCTGCAGCTTAAGATTTCAGTTTATTATCCAAGTTTAAAATTAAGGAAAAAGATGGTTTAGATAACTTTCTACTGCAGAAAAGTCAAATATATAGAGCGATCTAAGAGGCAGCTTGTGAGAAATAAATTAGGTAATGACACCATGATTATGAAAGTGTAACCTTTAGATCTGTGTTGCTTCCAAAAGTTGAGCACAGATGAGCAGAGAGTTACATCAAAAGACTTCAGGCTTTCAGGAAACACTGATGCAGCCCGTGAAACTTCTTGATCACCGTTTGGGCTGTAATGACATCTTAGTTCTTAATCACTCACAGAGCAGCTGCGAGGATATGGATCCATACCAGTCTAGAGCCAAAGACGACATGCCGCCTGCCCACTCTCAAAATCAACAACCACGCTCGAAACAGACTAAAGATAGAAACAGCCAACTCTCAAAGAGCACTGGCTGTAGTTAATGGTATTACTGAACTTATGTGTCACATTTCTGTGAAACAGAAGGCAACAAGTGCATTGGGGGAAATTATCCATTCATCCATAAGCCTGTCCCTGTTTTCCTTTCATGATTGAATTGGCTGATGTGTGTAAAATTTCAAATGCCTGTGGTTGTTAAGTGAAAGAAAGCCAGTGTGTGTGCTTTAGCTCAGAAACCATGTCTAAGCTTTTCACTTCCCAGAATGTCACCACCCTCTTCCTGCACCATACGGATCTCTCCTCATCTGAGCTGGATTCAGTAAGTGAAATACGGGAAATACCAGCAACTCCGCAAATTAGATGTGAAAACTACAGACATAGTTTGAATAGGTCACATAGCATAAATTTCACTCTGCTTATGTTCCAGTTGTTATGTCCATGTACCTACTGCCTAATGTTTCTTTGCCCACAGTACAAATGAGCTATTATACATTCAACTAAATGTCATATGAGTGAGATGATCCTTCCACTATTTGTTGTATTTATTTATTATTCATTCTGAAATGGATTTCTTCACCATTAAGACAACACTGAAAATCTTCTGTTGTGTTTTTTTATAATTCTAACACAAACCATGGAGAAACACAGCTGAATCTTTTTTTCCCCATTTAAAAACTTTTTCACCCAACATTTTAGAGACAGGCTACTACAGGCAACAGTACTACAAAACTTTTCCAATAATCTTTACCTTGGGACTATTCCTCGTTGAATCATTGCCAAGACTCACATCCTGATCTCCACCTCCACCCGGGGTAAAATATATCTTGAAATGAGGCTGCCTTCTAGGAGTATCTCCACTGATTTTAAAAGTACAACCATTAGATCGGTTTCTTGCTTCCATCCTCTGTGTCTCAGTGTCTGTTTGAGTCTCCTCTGTAGCTTGGCTCTCTGCGCCAGTTTTCTGATGTTGATTCTCCAGGAACAGCCTCTGATGAGATGAGCTTCTCTCCAGTCGAATTCTGGGGTAACGCACCACATGGCTACCTCTTGAGCTGGCAGAGCCAACATCTGCACAATCTTCCTGTGATGCAGCAGCTTGTTGCCTGCCCTGGCTCTGATCCTGGTTCTGGTTCTGATTTTGCTGGAGCTGAAACACTAGTCTCTGTGTTCCACCATTAACACCTGAGCAATGGTCCAAAGCCTGCTGCTGGACAGACCAGCCAGTACCACCATAAGGGAGGATTCTGAAATGCTGGACATCAGAACCATCAGGAGAGTTCCTCTGGATACAAATTCCACCAACACTGAATCCAGATTGTCCTCTGCTATACATAGCATGGCCATTTGCACCAATACTAAAAACCTTGCGTTTGGGCAGGTTCGGCTCTGTCAGAAAAGTTTGTGAGTTTAAAGATTCTGGGCTGTAGTATGGAGGAGGCGGCTGTTGAGGAACATCTGTTCGGATCTGTGGCTCGCAATAGGCAGGCGCTGGTCCTGGGGGAGTATAACAAGGTGGTGGGACATCATCAGCATGGACACTGGAATCTCCATTACTTGATCCATTGGAACGCTGGAGGGAGATGCGCATGGAGGAGCTCTTCGTGGGCCGTGGGTCTGTGTAGGCGGCAAGCTGGGGTATGAACATGGAGGAACTGCGTTTAAGCGAAGGCTCCGTGCGCAAACCAAAAGCTCTTGGTGGGACGTGCTGCACAGCTTGCTCCTGAGAAGGCCTTGATACCGGAGGTGGCTGCATGCGCAGCGCCGTGATCACGTCATTGTCTCCCTGCTGCTCCTCAGAGTCTCCTTCCAGTATCTCCGGGGCTGTGTTACTGCGGCCTGAGCCAAAGTACAAACGCAGACGTTGTGCCATTTTCACCTCACGTCCCACAGCTCCTGTTCCCTCACACTCTCTCTCTGACTGGCTCTTTGGTTCTCTCCTCTGGCTCCTGTCTCTGTGTCTTAGTGTCGCCCACTTCTCTCCTTTGGCTGGCTAGATGACTGATCCCCTTTTTTCTTCCACTCTCTCTCGCCCCCCCCACCCCCTCCCACCCTGTCCGAGCCTCTTCCACAACTTTCCTTCCCACAGTAAACTGTACGGAGGAAAGAAGTCACACCACAGAAACTACACAGCCACTGCAAAAGAGCTGACAACTTTACACTACGCACTGAGAGGAGTGGCAGAGTGAAGGCTACAGAGAGGAAGGGTGAGGGGGAAAAACAAAAATAAAGAAGAAGGATCCCTGTATGCTGGACTCTCAGCACTACCAAGCACTAGCGACAGACAGCAGAAATAGCCTGAGCCCAGTGACGGCCAGCATTCCTGACATGATTGGATAAGAGAAGCCGGCGCTCCTGGTTTCCGAGGTGACAGTGGGTTGCCCGTCAGTCATGTGACTACAAATGGCCCAACTACCTCCTGTTACAACCTCATGCTGCCCTCAAGTGCCAACTGGCCCCTCAAACACATCCCACTTGTCCCTGTACATCCATCCCTCCATTGACATGCAAACCCCTGCCCACTTATCTACCTCCATACCTATCATAAATGTCCTAGCCACACACTGTCTGGCCATTTTCAACCTCAATAACATCACCTACCCCTCCATTCTACCCTTTACTCTCCTAAAGAAGGAGAGAGTAAAGCGTACAAACACACAAAATATCACATCCATATCCTCCTTCAACAGGTTCACTGGTCACAACATGATGTCAAGATCTTCTTGCTAAATTACCTAACAAATCCACTTAAAAGCCAACAGTCCCCCCAAAAAATGGAACAACAAATCCAGAGGATAAATTGAGCCTTGTTACTTCTCTCAGCTTGGAAACAAAAAAGAAAAAAATATACAAGGAAGTTGTTGCTAAAAATGGAACAGAAAAAAGGCGACAGCAGAGTGGGGAGTAGAATATCTGACAGATTGCAGCTTTGATAAGGCAAACAGCAGATCCCTCTCTAGGGAAAGATATCTAAGTCTACTTCAAACAGAAAAGACATTCGCTGTCTCCCATACACAGCCAAACACTTAACTGTCTGGTGGTTTTATAGGCCACTCTGTTTGCATCCAAAAACCGCCCAAGATACAACTCAGCTGTCATCCTAGTCTGCAATGCTGAAATGCTGATGCTTAAGCACTTGTAATATGTCATTTGGCCAGAGTACAGGGTAAAACAGAGAGAGACATTTCAATTACAAACTGTACATTCATGAGAGAATGCTTTATACTGCGAGACAGTTAAGTGATTCACCAGTGCATCAGCATGTGAAAAGGGGGGTTTCAGGCTACTTTCCCCTAAGGCCAGATTTAGCGGGGGAGTTGTCCACCTCCATACAAAGAACTGAAAACCCCCTATGATAATTTGGCATTTCACAGATATGTAATCCAAAGTGGCTGCCTTGTTCAAACTTCTATGACTGATCTGACTTATGGATTACCCTCAAAGCGTCACCTCATCTTTATCAAAAAGCAAGCAGCAACAAGCTAAGCCACTGATGGTGAACCACATTTGAAAAAAGAAAAAAAGGAGAGGCCATGAACAAAACAAATCAAAACTCTGCATTGTGGACAAGAGGGCATCAAGGAGGCAGGCGATATTGACTGGAGACAGAGAAACAGTCGAAAAGGAAGAGACTGTAGTGCAGGAAGAAATCACGGCTTGGCAGCCACTTACACTTTGTGATGACACACTGCCTACAGTGTTAAGCACAGTCAATAAATGTGTGTGTGAAATGTTATGGAGAATGTTCTGTATAAAAGAAACAAAATGCCAATGTGTGGTCCAATGGCAGCAAGCCCAGCTTGCCAAATGACATAACATGCCTGCTTTAAACAAAGCATTTCACTGCACTGTAAGCCTATTCAACCTATTTCTTTACATTGTATCATAACTTTCAGTATCATGGTTAGTCCTCCTTTATTTTGTAGGGACTTACATTGGATGACATTTAGGGTATCTAGAGCATCAGTATTTAACTTCAAGTACGTACACCTAATCTTTCATACATGTGATAGCACAAGCTTAGTCAATCTTTCATCTCACCTGACAAATAAACCATAAATTGATGGATGCAAGAGAACAAGCAGCCGCTTCAAAGAAATACTGGCCAGTGGTGGAGGAGCTGCCTTGGCATGCACTTAGAGATAGACAGAAAACCACCTCCTCAGACATATAAGGAGAAGACGAGGCTTGAGGCTGCCTGTGCTGTGCTTTCTTGTGTCATCCCCTTCTATACTGCAACAGAGAGCTCCCACTGTACTGAGGGAAAAATTAAAGCTGCCCTTTTCATAGCGGGCTGAGAGCTAGCAATTCCTCTCTGCAGAGACGTGTTGAACATGCACACACAACAAAAACCAGTGTATGCACTGATTTTAGCAGTACATGAAACATGCAAATGAGTAAATTATCAGGAAAACTACAGAATGTGATGTTACAAAAAGATACTAAAATCTTTCATTTTTCCATGATGGTCCTCCATGCATAAAAGCGGTAGTCCTGAACCTGTGACGAACAGACAGAATGTGCCTTATCCAGCCAAGAAGACCAATTCTGCGTTGGGCCACATCCGCTGTTTGTATTTTTAATGAACACTAAACTCCACATCCAGACCCCCAGAGTTACCATAGAGAAGCCATAAAAAAACAAACACCATCACAGTCCTAAATCCCTTTCAGGGAAGCCTTTTGCCTCTTCCACAGAACAATGTCTTCATTATGTCAACAACCACTTCACATGGCTCTGTCAGCTCTGAGAATGGTTCCCCGAGGTGAAGGTTATACGTAAGCATGAATTAGGGAATTGATTATCACGACCTACTTGTACTGTTTTTAATTGCTGCAACACTTGACAATTGTGCAGACATTTAATCTAGTTGTCATGGCAACTGAGGGCCTACAACAGGCTTAATTTTACATGTCAAGGAAACTAGTGTTCTCTTCTGTGAGCAAAATCTGACATGAGAGGAATGTGATAGTTGTTAGTGGGCTAAAGTCTTGAAGCACAGCAATGAAACTAGGAGACAAACAAGCCATAGACCGCATCTGCCCACTTTTCCTCAAAGTGTACAGCGATGTATTTCTCTTGCTTGCTTGCCATTTTGCCCGAGCCTGCAGCTGACACCCTGTGATATCAACTCTGGCAATATGTCAGAGAGATGAAAATTGTGAAGACATGGGGGTGCAGATAAAGTCAATACAATTCATTCAGGTTAATGATGATCCCTGTGGTGAAATGAAAGCAGAACTATTCAAAGAAACTGGCTGAGATTGAATATAGGTGTGTTGAAATATCAGTTTAAAATGATCACATTTTATCTGGTGGTACATTATTGTATTGCAATAAATGAGACTAAACCATAAAGAGAAAGTTCTGATGGAAAGCCGATCATAGCTAAAGAGAAGAGAGAATGAGATGGTATCAAGACAAATAGTTCCCAAATAGTTTACAGAAGAAGGAAATTGCACGAAATGAATTAAAAGAGGCACGAGGATCGTAGTGGGTGGAACTTAATAAATCAACTTCTGGTGAGAGCTGTCAAAACATGAAAGACTGAAATTAAAAATACTGTGTGATATAAGCAACAGAGGGAGTGAAGGGTAAGAGGTTATGAAATGTGAATCTTACCAATCGGTTCTCATCAAACACCTCAAAGAGTAGCCTGTGATTCTGCGGACACACCTGTGTTGGCAACAAAACAACAGGGGAGATGTTATAGCAGTCATCCATTGGTTTTGTGGCATACAAAGCCAATGCAGATGTGTATGCACACAAATACTTAAGTAGGTAACTGCTTGCTCACTTTTGCATCACAATAATTCAAAACTACTGTGGCTAGGAGGTGAATAAACACTATATCCTTATGACACAGGACTGAACTATAATTCATTTATGAATAACTAGTGAGGAAAAAAAAAACATACACATGAAGCTAAGCTTGTAAAGTCTAATATGGTCTGTCTGATTACAGTGGTGGAGGAGGTGGACTCAGCTCTCAGTTAAACTACAACCAAAGATTAACAGCACTAACACCACCTCTCTAGAGTAAACATCTGCACTAACAGACTGTAATAGGGAAGGATACTGTGAAGACAGAAAATTTCTCAAAGTATACAAAGAATTTTAAAAATCTGAACTCACTCTGAAGTAGAATTCCTCGTTCCATTTGGGATTGAGGGTCTAAAACACAAGTATAGACGTGGTTAGATAATAAATTAAAAAAGTGTGTATTAAAGCACAGTGAACATCATCATTAGTTGACAAAGTAAACAGAGCAGATGTATGAAACCTATCCTACTAAGGGTGAGAGAGGAGAACCCAAGTGAGAAATTAAACTCAGTCTTGTGCGTCAATGATCCTCTTACGTTGTTAGAGGAAGTTTGTAGCTAACAACATGTCCCAGTGATTGGCATTAGGCCCTAGATTAACAGCCATGAGGATTTTCAACCACTTTCTGGATGCATCAGCTGCACAGACACTCTCAATCTGCCTCACACATTTGATATTTTATTGGACTGTGAGCTATGTGACACTTCACATTAAAATTCCTTCTGTGATTGAAATGACTTAAACACTAGAATGTCAATGAAGTCTTAATTTCACAAGTCACTCTGATTAATAAACAATTTACGACATTTTATGGCAGCGATAAAATAACATCTCTGTTAAAAAAAAACTGCTGAGACACCAGAGTTACAGATGAACCCTCTGCCCTTTGACAATCAGCCAATTTAACACTTAAGTCTGTCAAATTCTCCCTGAACAAATGATGACTGTATCCAGAAAATTATGCCATTTATCAACGTTTGGCAAATGCTCAGGGTAACATCTACTTACTGGTATTCATCTCAAGCTGGCTCTTCTTTTTTTCTGTCATATTTGCCATTATTTCTCATGCCATTTCGCCACAAGCCAAACTCTTAGCTTCAACAACAAAGATGCCATCAAAGGTGTCCCACTTAAAGACACATAGAGCCCACAGAAGAAGCAAGCAGTGATGCTTCTTTTTCTGCTCCACATAGCAGTGCATTGTCAGCTATTTATATCCTATAAGGCAAGCATGGCCACTGGCAGCATATGTCTGCCTGCATGGAGGCCTGAGCTGCCTGACTCCAGCAGAGGGTTGGCTGCCAGCTACATGTAGCTAACAGTAACTACCAGGATAGGAGAAATTTACAAAGAAATAAGGAGCTGCTTGCAGAGTCAGGCTACATAATGGTGTCAGAAGCAGAAACAGTGTGATGGAAGTTTCAGGTCCACAATGCAAATGTATAAATGTATTTCCATAAATCCTAGCCATGGGCAGTGAATAACGTAGTGCAGAACTATTTCGACTGGATTTTCAACCACATATCCTCTTGCATTCCACAATGTTGGCAATGAATATGGACATTTTGTTCAAAATCACATAGTGTTCACAGTAATAGCAAGTAATAGCTCCCCCTGCTGTGAACAGCTTTCCACCCTAAAATAGGCCACTGGGAGAAAAGAGCTTGCCCAATGTCTCCTTCTAGATTCTCCTAAGCAGGAACAGGAACAGGAAGCACTGCCTTCTGGTGCCTTCCTTTGGTTTCCCTCTTTCAAGAAGATATGATTGCCTTGATTTGAAGGAAAGGTGGTGGTAGTGGGATTAGAATGATCTGGTGATCTCAAACCAGAGAGCGAACAAAGTCACCATTTAGGTGGCTGTACAGTAAGTGTGAGGTGCACGTGTGGGAGGAGATTACAGTGGCAGTAGTGGCCAGTATGATACAGTGCAAACGCAATAGAGTTCATTATGTTTGAAACAACAAGCCAAAGGTCCGTGCAGAACACAGGAGGGAGCAGCAATATGCAACTTAGATCAAAGCCACCATTTACCTCAGGACTTACCTTTTTAATGGTTTTTGTTTGGACTAAGGCAAGCTCTCTGTTTTCATCCGCAGCATAGAGGGAAAGTTTGACATAAGGATCGCTGTAGAAACAAAACAGAGGAATAAAAAAACAAAAGTCAGTGGTGAAAATTAAAAATGTAAAGCTACAAATCTGCTCTTCACAAGCTAAGTGCATTTCACCAAAAGCATTTAAAAATATATACAGGTGGTATTTTCCTTGGTGTTGACACTACTATATTTCAGCACTGATACCAAAACAGTTACAAGGTTATCATATATATATATATATATATATATATATATATATATACACACACACATACATACATTCTTTTTTCAATACTTTGTATTAAGACACACTTTATGCCCATTTTGTACAACAAAACAGCCTAGTGTGCCTAACCTTACTTAGTCCTATATTCAGTCTAACATCATATTAACTGTGGCCACAGGTTCCAGAGCACATATTGCCAGGTTACACTTTACCACACCGCTTGTTTTCAGACCTGAAATCTGAGTCTGACGAACATCCCAGCAGATAAAAAAAGCTTGCATATGGGTATTGTGAGATAAGGCTGTAATGTCTTATTGACAAAGTGAAGTGCTAAAAATAGAAACTGAAAAACATTTTGAGGTGAACAGTGCAAATAGTAAGCAGAGTGTTTGTGACTGTGCTATTTTAAAATGGCCAATTGGTTTATTTGAAGGTGCTGACAGGGTAGAAATCACCAGCAAGTTCTGGATAGAGACGCAGAGCTGCACTATTCACCAGGCTGAGCAATTACCCTACTGATCCCAGTCCCAACAGGCCACACGAGGTAAAGTGTCAGGTTATTGCCTTTCCAAAAACTCCCTTTGAAAAAAACAGACTTGGTACATTCTAAAATAAAACCTTCTACAATTAAACCAAACCTGGTTATCAAAGTTATCACTTCTACAAATGTGATGTTACTTGTTCTGTTCATAATTTTTACAGTTACACATCATATATATGTATATCTATATTGTCTGTATTCTGAGCTCAATAATGCCATTTTTGTTCATCATAGTATACCAGATAAAGTCAAAAAGTCTTATTTGTTTAGGAGGGTTCTTTACTGACTCAAATGACCCAGAAGAATCTAAGTCTAAATTTCTAAATGCTTCCTTTCTTATCTCATCTTAGGGTACACTGGACCATCCTTTATTAACATTTAAAGCAATGCCAATTCCAGGTCAATAGTATCCGCAGCTGCATAATTACATAGCCCAGTGTAAGTGCAGTTGGATTCTCTTAGGACTGTGGTTGTCTTTTCCTGAGCCCTTATGAATTCTCCTTCACAATTTTCCTTGACCTCATGATGTTTTCCATCGAAGTCAAGGAGAAGTGGACATTTTTTAGACTTTTCACAGAAAAATAAATTATTACAGTGAATGCTCTGAATGAATAATGGAAGGGAGATGACGGCAGAGAGCAGGTTGTGCTCAAGTACTTCAATAAAGCTACAGCTAATGTTATATTGTACACATCCGTAAGTACATGAGGGTCTATTCTGGTCCACGTGATGTAAATTTCATCATCAGAGGGTGTACATCAGGCTCTGAGGAAGATGTCCGTCATGGGTGGTCCACAAGGTCACTAGACAACAAGAGCACCAACTACACATGTGCTCCTAAAAACAGACTAGAGACAAGTATAATAAGAACAACTACACATCTGCGGTGTCCACAGGTGTCCATGTGCGCGTCTGCATGGGAGTCTAATTAAGGCCTAAGTGGATAGCAAACTCCAAGGGAAGTCATGGTGTTTAATCTGCCCGACTCCTGCTGAGAGCTAAACACAACGTGACAGGTCTGATCTGACCACACTGTATCACAGTGCATATCATGTACAATTTTCACTGTTGGAAGAATTATTTTTAATCATTTGGTCTATCAGAAAAGTCTTGCGTTTTTCCCCCAACAATGATAGACCAGGAAAAGTCACAAAATTCTCACAATTGATAACCTGAGTCATCAAATATTTGGCATTTTGACTTTAAACGATTATATGCCAATCAACAAATTGATTAACTGACTAATCAACTATCTTCTTCAGAAATGACAAAGGTTACCCATAAAGCTTAATTTCTCTGTCCTTTTCTACTCATCTACATTGTGCCCTGAGATAACTTTAATCAGTGTACTGTATAAACATAATGTAACACATGGTGTTTCTCCATTGTGGATGTAAAACAGCAAGCTGCACGCTAAAAGAAGAATAGAGACACATCCACCAATTCTTCACACCAACACATCTTTCAATATTCCCAGATGACACCAAGGAAGTGAAATTTTTCCCTATGCTCTTGGTGAGACGGCAGTGTTGTGTGTTTCATAAATGACATTTTGATTGCAGTGGCTAGACTTAACACACAAGGCTAGAAATTCAATTTGAATCGCATTTCAAACTAAAAACTATGAATGTGTTTTAAATCTGACTTGCCATAATCAATTTTCCATGGGATTTTTTTTGCCATCCAGACTTGATATAAGCAGTAATCTAATTCCAGTACGGATATAGCAAAAATTAGATTTGGGCTGCCAGTTGGAGCGCAGCCTTAAATTCATTCTAAGGAGACAGCTGGGAGGGAGGAAAGGGGCAGAAGAATTGGGAAATATCAAAAAATGAGCTGCAAACACCCCCCCAAAAAAACTGCTGTTGCTTGATTGCTAATTAACATCTGCAGAAACCCCACAGCCTCTAATTGTGTGTTTGTATGGTTCTGTGATGTGCTGTGACTAAACAAAAACAATGGGCCTACTGTTTCTCAGCCGCACCGAGACTTCTTCTTGTCTCCTTCCCTCTATCAACAAAAAACCTACTCAGGGAGGCAGACAGGCTACTTCAGGTCAACAGTGGGAGATGAAAGCTAGCATAGGACGTCGGATTTAAATGGTGGCTCGATCCACTTGTTGTTTGCTTGCATGAGCGTTCCTCGGGCTTCCATCAACACCTCACAAAAACAACAAAAACAAAACCTCAGGGTGTTTCAATTAGTCCAAAATAATAGAGCAGAACACAACAGAACAAAGCTGTTGTATTACAGAATACAGCAGCAACAGGAACAGCTTTGGAGCAAAAAGCAGAAAAGAACAAGCCAGCACTGTTTGAGCATCTTATGAGGGGACAGACTGCCAAGTCAGCACTGTCTCCTGTAGCCACACATCGAGACCTCATTCAGTGATTCTTCATTACAGTTCAGTTTTCGCCTGAGCCAGGCTGAGCTGTCCTGCCAGCAGGGTATCAGGATGCTAACACATGCACTCTGGCATGTGAGTAGCTCTCACACAGCACAAACATGCCAGGCTCTTTCTTTGACAATGTCTACTTCCTCATAGCCCAGATACAATGCATTACCATAAGCAACAGTAGGAGCAGTGTTCAAATTTAGATGAGATTTAATCAATTTTGAAACATTTCATGCCAGAGAAGAACAAAAAAAAATTCCTGTAAATGCAGTTTTTCCATAACTGCATTAAAATAATTAAATTCTGATTGTATGAGTAAAGCTTTTCTCCAAATTGCTGGAGTTACATCTACATCTATCCTTGAAGCTGCCCTTGCTTGCTGTTTACCAGCAGAACCTACTGATGAGCATACAGTTAAAAAATGATAATAATTGTGTGATTGTCACATCCGTCTCAGCAACCTTCCTTGACACCTCCTCCACATCTCATTGTGTCTCCTTAACCTGTTGTCACTTCCCCAGTTTCCCTCTACCTCCCTGTCTATGTGTCTGAGTGGAAGCAGGTGTGCTGGAGTCAGAGCAGAGCCGCACCAGCTGCACCTCATCGCCATAATCAAACCCTCCACAAGTATCCAGCTCTGCCAATACTGCCACCCTGCCAGATCATTGCCTCTGCTTCAGTCAGTCTACGCTTTGAGTCTTTCTGTTACTTTGCAAGTTGCTATTCTGCTAAAGCCCGTCACCTTTTGCCTGTATCCTGACCCTTGTCTCCTCTCCTCTGCAGTTCTGTCTCCAGCCCCTGGGTCCTCATTTTTATCTCCCTGGTTCCCCTCATCGCCCTTGTGTTTCCTTCCCCCTGCGCTGCAGCTCAAGCCTCCACCATCTCATCAGTCATCTCCCAAGCCTGGTCTCCACCATCTTCCAACATCTAACCTACTACAACTTGCCAGCGAGCCAGCCTGTTCTGAGCAGTCCCTAGGATGTTATTACTGAAATACTTCAACATTTGTTTGATTTACATTGTTGTGTACAGACTTATTCAGGTATTTCACTTCACCTCTCAATTCAGCCTTCTAAGAATTCGCTTTTCGGGGGGGGGGGGCAAGGTAACTTCTGGCACTGAATCATATGTGGATTCTTTTGCGTATTTTTGGAACCTAAAAATTTGTTGTAGTCTTGTCCTGTACACCTGATTAGCTAACCTAAAGCCTTAGTGTCATTGTAAGCTATGTCTTTGAAAACAATGGCTGCCTATGACTTCCTGAATCTGCAGCAGAAAGGAGGTTCTGACTGTTGGCATGTACATGAATGGGTTTAGTCATCAAAACTATTTTCATTTTCCATTTTAAAACATGAACAAAATGCTGCCTGACTCAGCAATGGCTAATGGTCATTCATTGTGTTATTAATTTATCAGAGAAGTAGGTAATTATAATTAGGAGAGCAGAAGTCAAAAAATAACTAAACAGATACTTCAAGTACACCTCCATGAGGGCTATTATACAAAGTCAGATAAAAGTTGTAATAACAGTGGGTTACACTGAATCGCACAAGAGGAGAGGTCCGACAGCACGAGACAAAGGCCACTTGATAAACGTAATGCAAAGACCATCAAAAGTTTAAGTTGAACAATTATCTCTTCCCACATGAGAAAATATATGTTATGTATAATATTTAGTCAAACACTTTATCTTGAAAAACTAATAGAAGTTGGTTATGAAAAGGATAGCAGAGGCAGGTAGGTAATCATTGATTAACACTTGCAGTTCAAGGTCTTTGTAAGTAGAAGGAATGTTATGAAACTGCATAACACTGTATGCTCCGAGGTTGAAAGAACAGGCTACAGGAGACCCTCTAAATTAAAAAGAAGGATACTAAATATATAGATATCCCTGACGAATCAACATCGTTGACTGACCTGATTGTTGTTATAAGATTACAAAAATGTCACCTTTAGAGTGCCAAACACAAGCAGAAAATATGAGCCTGGTTTGGCAAGAAGATGTGCAATGTTGGAGGCAGGGCCAGTGCACCTGAACTCAAGCAGTCGAGTGTCCAAAGCAGATGCACCGACCAGAACACACTTCTCACAATGATGACATGAAAGTGGTATAACGGGACAACTACTAAGAAACCTCTGATGAAAACAGCATTTTGATGCTCACCTGGCTCCAATGATGTCTTTCTTCGCCAGATCGATTCCTGCAATAACCTTAACCCGCAGCACTCTTGTTTCATGCTGTAGAAGAAAAAGAATTAAGAAAAATTATTACTTCAAATATTTGAAGCTGCTTCCTGCTCTAACCTGTCTTTTTTTAGTCAATAACCCTGACCTAGAAATGAAATGAGTTGTATCAGAAAGTTTTCAGTCCTGTGTGACTCCAATATTTAGAACCTGACAGATGACATAAGCTATACTGAAATACTACAGAGAAAAACACAGCAATGATGAGCATTCCCTCATCAGTCTTGGCAATTCATGTGTTGACCATTATGTTAATGTGTGCATGTATTCATCTTCATGCACATCCTGCATAAAAAGCTTGCTGTAGGACGAATTAAACCACCTCAAAAACATAATTGGTTTATGGCTGTACACACTCTTCTCTACTTCACTGCAATGTGAAATGGGGCCTAAAGTAAAATCCCTGACACACTGCTTCTTGGTGGGTTGTGTTTTACAATTACATCAAGCCTGACATCAAATTCTGTCACAATTTTTGTTATGACAAGTGCTAGAGAATTTAACAAAGCAGGTAGTGGGGGTCGGAGCCCAGGCCAACCCAGCTGTTACTTTAGGCCATGGCCTTGTTAAAAGGGTGTAGTGTTACTGAATGTTTACCTCATAGTCACAGGAAGTGCATTGTCTCATGGAATGTAGACCCACAACTGACTTAAAATCTTTACTTGTGGAGATTACATGCTCAAATGTCATGTCTGTAATATGGTGAATGTTAATAAAAAAATCGAGACAACCCTTTTTAAAGTCTTACGTGTTGCATTGAGTGTAATGTTATTATATGCATGCATCCCCTCCAGTAATGGCTAGGAGAGAGATAGGGTACCACAAAGCTATGAAAGTGAACAGTTACCTAGACAAGACAGCAGAAAAACACTAGCTCTGGCCGGGTTAGATTTAAGGCTGCAACTAATTATTTTCATCATGGATTAATCTGCCACTTACTTTCACAATCTATTAATATTTTTTTTCTGTAACATGTGAGCAAATACTGAAAGATCCCCTCTACAATTTCCCAAAGCACTATTCAGATTACTTGTTTCATTCGACCAACTATCTCAAATCTCCAGATATTAAATTTACAATCAAATATGACAGAAAAGCAGCAAATTATTACATCTGAGAGGCTTTATTCAGATATTTTTGGGATTTTTTGGCTGAAAAGGACTAAAACATTAACAAATTACAAATAAATGCTGATTCATTTTGGTGATCCACTAATTGATTAATTGTTGCAGCTCTAGCTGAACTGCTCATTAGATTTTATCATGACCTGTTCTGGTCTTAATAATGTAAAACGTTAAATGGCAGAAATACACATTTAAATGGTTTTTGAATACCTATCCAGATATTGGCCAGTTCCATGTTGAGTGTATCTGACAAGACCTAGTCTTAGGCTTAGAGTATGCCCACTAAACTGACATAAAAAGGCCACATGCAAGTCTCCTCTGCATCCCGGTGAAATAGCGATTTTAGCCTACTGATGTTAGCTGAGACAAACTCAAAAGTCATGAGAACGCCCCTATTTACCTCCTTGAATGAACACATGAAATGTATTTTTAGACATCAATCCGGATCATCCACAAAATCTGCAGACTTACTATTTCTGACTGCAATTAGGTAGGTGGCTTGTATGACTGCTCGGTTGGCAAATCATTTTGTTTGTCATTCAGTGATGCTCATGTTTGATTCGTGACTATCGTGTTGCCATGTAAAACAACATTTTCATTACAGCATTACTTCATGCCACAGTGGTGATTGAAGTCTGGATGTCAAAGGCGACACGGAGTTCACCACACAAGTAGATATCGATCTCAGGGAAAGATGCACATGCCTCTACTTCGGTCTTCAAACTCGTTTAGTGGTCAGTGTACCATCAAACTGACAAGAGGTGGTGTTTAAGTTTGATAGAGTGGAAATGCAGTCCAGCCCACCCACCCAAGAAATTAACCAATATCTCCGGGTCTCCAAAATAGCACTCTGGGGTACTAGTCGAGTACAAGTCGTTCATGCTTTAACGCAAATAGAGGATATAGTGGAGCTGTCACGCTTGCTTGACAGCGTAATGCAGTCGTTTCTTAAACTAAGGTAAGTAAACTACCGGACCAAGATATTGGCAGCCGCCAGTCACTTACTACGGAATGTAACCGTGGGTGAGGGCTTGTTAGCTTCGGCTAACGGTTGCGTTAGCTATCTCCGACTGAACCTACTGTGTGAGAGACACTTATTCATGACTATAGTCAACATACCAAAGCTTTGCTGAGATTAAAGCTTACCTCATCTTCTGAAAGTCCATATATTGGCTCGTAATTCGTAGCCATATAGCCTGCGGTCCAAGCTGCACACACAAAAACAAGCCGCTTAGCAAAGCTAGCTAGCTAGCCTTGAACAATAAAGTCCCACTTTCTTATCTCAGCCGTGCGGTGGTGGTCAAGTCCACAGTGAGACCAAGTCCTCGCGGGTGGGTTCTCAGCCGGATAACGTAAAAGCTCGCCAGCGTGGTCGGTCCAGGACACAACTGGGAAAATTAAAAAAAAAAACTGTATCCAAAATGTTTCGACTGAGACAGATCGCTTTTGTCAACTCCGAGCTTATCCCCCGAAACGTTGCGAGATTTGACTTCCTCCTATTAGCTCAGCCAATCGTGTGCCGGTTAGACGAGATTGATGTCAATATCAACCAATCAAGTGTGTCGAGAATTCCCCGAAGCTCTTCACGGGCCAATAAAATATGCAGAGGGCGTGGAGCTAAAATGTGTGTGTATGTGTGTGTTTGCTTTTTTTTAGGATGTGAGAGGCTGTATTTCGGAAAGCAACTAAGTTTAACAACGTCAGTATTTTTAGGTATCTATTCAATATGTAACATCACCATTTCCAGCTAACTAGTCTCGTGAAGGTGATTTCTGGCTCTGGTCATTACCATTCAGCCAGTTCATATAAGGGGTGGGGCCTGTGACAGACAGCCAATCACAGGATACACAGAACGAAACAGATAAGATCCAACAACTGATCCGTATCACGAATTTCGGTCGATGTAGCTGCAAAAGTTAGAGGATTAACCGAGGTAAATTTAATTAACTTTGTTTTTTTCAACACAGCATTTACATCTAATGCTACAATATAAAAACGAGCGAGAAAGTTGTTATGTGAAAAATAAGCACACTGGACTAAAATAGGCCTATATTGTGTGAGGTTGTAGCTACGTAAAAATACACAAACATAAATGAATGACAAAGGTACAATGACAGTTATAAGAATAAGCAATACAAATGAATGAATATGAGTGATACGTAAATATTATTGTGACAAAATAAATGTGTATTATTATTACTGTTGTTATTATTATTATTATTGATTTTGCTGTTAAACTAAAATCTTTTTACGTTTTTATTTATTTAGTTCGGATTTTTGGTATGATAAGGCATCATTGCAATGGTTAATAAATGAATGGCTTTATTACTGCATAATAAATCATTTACTAATGCTGTATAGATCATTTATAAGCCATAAATAAGAAAAACCTTTGGGTTCCAAGGTCGTGGAAGATTCTCCTCCTGCATGACACTTTGCTTGTCTTTGACCACTCACCTTCAGGAAAAGGGCTGCAAGGCATCTGGAATCCAGGAATCCATTTATGAACTGCTCATTAACATTTACAGCTGTAGATTTACTATGCAGAACAATTCATTAATCTCTACATAGATTTTGTCTAGCTCTTCATCTGCTTGCAAAACTGAAAATAGCAAAAATGTAGAGACAAGAGTACAGTAAATGTGAAATGCTATGAATACATAGAGATGTCTATCTCCTTGAAAACATGAATTCAATATCTTCAGTGATGGCTGAGTGATTGCTGTTGTTGTGTCCCAACATTGGTCGTGTAGAGTGGTCTTTCTTTCCAATCAGTGTCATGTAAACATAAAATCGAACACACAGCTACAAGACTTTAACCCTGTCTGCACGTAGGCTTTGGGATGATGCTGGGTTGTGCGTGTTCTGCTTTGGGTTGGTTTGGTGAATTGTTTGCTTAGTCAAAGTATTCCCCAAAAGCGCCGCTAGATGTCACAACATACACAGTCATGATCACCTCATCGTTTGTCCCGGTTTGTCCCTGCACAGCTGATTCCACATGTCCAGTGATTATTTAGAGAGAGAGAGAGAGCAGATGTCACACGGACACAAACCCAAGTTGCACGCTGTGTTTCGTTGAGGAAGAGGTGGGCCTCAGTCCTTCACCTCTGACTCCTGGTCGTGCCCTAGTCAGTCCTCCTCTTACGCAACAACGCCAGAATCAACGAGCAGGCACAGGCATGCATGCTGACATACCAAAAGTCTCAAACCCATCCATCAACGCAGCGAAGAGAACATGATTTTATTTTATTTTTTTGAATTCTATTTTTATTTTTTATTTTTTGAAAAACGGCAATAAATCTTTCGAGCATAATTACTGAGTTCAACTATCTAGCACGTCCTTGTTCAAATGTTCACTGGCATTCATCATGGCCATGTCGCATAATGGGACTTTTAAATCAATGTGAAGAGCAGATGGCCATATTATATAACATTATTGCTTCTAAGTAGAGCTGAAAAGGGGAGGGCCAGAGATTTCCCAAGCCACCCTTGATACGAGGCCATCATTTACTCCGCCCCAAAGCTTGTTTTAATTTTCCTATGCTTCCCCACAAATAGCTGCATTTATTACAGACATTGATGACAGCATGCATCAAGCTTTATAAAGGAACCAGCCACCATAAATACGATTATGGGTGCTTTTCATTAATAAAATATATTAGATTTTTTTTACTATTCACACACAAAGACTTCGTACCTGCCTTCATATACATGCTTCTATTGTGACTTTAACAAATAATACAGTAGGCTATAATACCTATACAGTGTTATAGTCTATTGAATATCTGATTTTTTCTTCATTTTCAAAATTTCCCCACATGATTTAATATGATGATAGGCTATTTTAATGCCAATCACACACTGCTATCTCATTTTCTATTTCCAGGAGTTCCAGGCCTCAAATTTCACATGAATGCATATTTGTGTTTTTACGTCCATCCCTGTAAGATCTCTGCAGGTGTGGCCTCACAGAAAGTGAACACAATGAGCAAAAAGGAAGTTCGGTTTAGGAGACAATGATCGGGTCAGAGACAGATCCCTAAAGATTCCTAAAGGAATCTGTTTCTGTCTCCTTCTGTACCCGCCCAGCTGTCTCCCAGAGTTTCCTTTGAAATTATGTGCACTTCGAAGTTCATTCACTTTTGTGAATTTCCCACAGCTGAAAGTTGTGGGCTTTTGCAGCCTACACATTGTCAGTGTGAGCTCATGCTTTTCATACACCTACAGTTGGTGTTAGAATCTTACAAAGAAAATGTACACCTCATGTTTTATCACAGGTTTCGTCAGCAAATGGGGATCTTTCTCCATTTTGCCATTTAGACAGAGATATGGATGGATATACATACAGTTTAGCCAGTGGGAACATCATGTTCACAGTTACATCCTGTTGTAAATACTGCAACTCAGGGTGTACCCTTCTTTCACAGGATTTGTGTGTCTCTGTATGTATGATGTGATATATTTTGTCTTTTATAGAATTAAAACATACACACATAATAATCATTTACATATTCATATCAAACAGTTGTAGAGATAAACTCACATTCATGCATGAATAAAAGAGTGAATAAGGAACAGGCTGTGCAGAGAAGGCAGTGGAGGGAGAGAGGGGATGTCAAATACTAGGAGACCTTACTATGTTTACAACTCCCAGTAAGAGGAACCAGTGAAAGAATAAACACTGATTTGGCAGGGCACGGTGTTCTGATTGTCACATCGTGTTTCACAATATTTGTTAATACGTAGAATGAGGAGCAATCGCTTAGGCAGCAAACAAGCACCATGTGTGACAGAGAGAGGTGACAGAGAAAACCACCACAGTGTGTGTATATTTATGTGCACATTTTTTGATTGATTTGCTCCCTCTCTCTCTCTTTCTCTCTCTCTCTCCCTAAACATGGAATATTATGTAATTTAAAGCAAACTGAGACTGAGAAACAAAACCATTTGCACGACTTTACATTAGGCAACTAAATTGTTACGCTTTTGAGGAATTTCATTTGGATGTTTACTTCCTCCAGCATCTCTGTCTCTCCTAGAAACCCAGGCCTCTGGCAACCTACACCGTGGGCGGGGTTTACTCTGAGGCTGGGCTCCTCTGCCCCGCCCTCCTCGGGTTCATAGACGCTCGGAGTGGGATGTTGCGATTTCTTCACTGACGGGACGGCTAAGCTAAGCTGCACGGCTCGGTCGGTAATGCATGTGCCCTTGTCTCCTGTCATCATCCTAGTAAACCAGTTACACAAGTCGGTAAGTCCGCTCTTCTGGGAGCCGGGAGCGGAGTCACCACGGCTGAGGCACGGAGGGAGAGACTAGAAACTCCTGTCAGCTGCCGGTAAGTCACAGACTCACTTCTATATCTAGATTGTATCCTGCCGTCCGGACCAGTTTGAATGAACCCAGAGGCCACAATATGGACAATAAAGACAGGAGACCAAAACACTCTCTTTATGCTTGTTGTTATAGGCCCAAGCAGTCAGTTAATGAACTTTGACGTAGAGATTCCAAAGCGTCTTTGAATGGAGAAGGTTGTCAGGTTATGTGAGTGATTTTGCACAGAGCCGTATTAAAATCTATATATCAAATTTGCACATATTGATACTTGTTGTGTCTCACTGACAACACATAAAATGACTGTAAAGGGAAATACCAATAAATATCAGCTGTGATGATTTGGTCGCAACTTACTGCAACAACAACAACAACTGTTTACACAGCCTATATGTGATGTCTTCCATGGTCGGTGACAGAGAAGAAGGGTCTTTTAATGACTCCCACAATTTGAGAGGCTATAATGTAAAATCGGGTACAAAAGTGGGGTCCGGGAGAGACCACTCCTATGATCATTTTCTCTTTGCTTTCCTCTGGGATGAAGACATAACCTATTCCCTTGTTGACCACTGACTGATTGGCGGGTTATTTCCTTCGGCCTAGGAGGATGATGATGCTAGGGTGTCAGCAGTTTAATGGGATTTTCATGGTGGTGATCTGCTCCTCTTCTGCATGCTTATTGACCTTTACCCTGGCCAGGACGAGGTGAAAGGGGCCACTGGCCATTACAGCACCAAGCTGATCAACTCAATACTGGATTTATTGTTAGGTGCCTGCAGCTTACTGACTCTTTCCACTGTTAGTCCAGCACCAGGGCTTTAAATAGGCAAGTCAGGGTTGGGCATTGCACATGACTTACAGATGTAATTATTAGGTCAAACAGCTTGATTCAAGCATTAAATCTATTTAGAAGTGTTTTAAAAGGTCATTTAAAGCAATACATTTCTTGTGTTTATATTTAGTAATGCTTGTTTATGAATAATAATGGATTATTCACATTTAAAGGGGACAGTTCTAAAAAGTGTATCAGTGATAAGTTTGATTAGATCTCCGGATCAGAAAGGTAGCGCTGGTTTTAGCCTTTTGTTAAACCTATTGAAAACACAGACAACAAAGGTTCGTGTGACATAATAGAACAGAAGGTGCACTTCAATATGGGTATTCTCTATACAGATTTACACGTAAACCCCAGCCCCTATCCCATGACAGATGTATCATATTTGTGTTAACACTGGCTGGAAATGAACCTGCAAGCTAACATTTATAATGTAGTGGTTGGTGCTTTGGTGCAGCGAGGCACACAGTGAGCTAATTGGCATTGAAATAAGTTGTGATTCATGGTAATGATTTCTCTTATCAAACACTATGACTACTGCTGTTCTGTAAATCAATTACTAATGCACTCTTCTCAGTTTTTTCAATAAAACAACAGAAGATGTATTCTTTCTTCCCTCTTACCTGCTCATGCGTACATGCACAGTTCAACTATTAAACCCACTATTTCCATTTGATAAAGACAAAGCAGGTGGGGGTGAGTTGGGATGTCATTATGCCCACCAACAGAGCCACCTACATAAAAACTATCTCATACATCAGAGTTGTGTCAGGTGAAATCAGATGTTCAAGTGCACCTTTAGAAATGTACAGTTATTGCTTCACCAGGCTAATGCGTCACTTAAACTACTGGAAGCCGCTCTCAAAATCACATCTGTACTGTTACTTCTCTCTTCTAAACACAGGAATTACAGTAGGAGCAATGGCCTCCTGTGGATACCCTTATCTGACTAACCTATTTCTTGACTTCAATACGGCCGAAGATCAGGGTGCTCATTATTGCAGGTGGCGAAGGGTGTGTCGTTTTCTGTCCTTGACACCTTTTTTTCCCCCACTGTGCAATAAAACAGAGGAAGTACAATTTCATGGGCAACACAATCACAGGCAACAATGAAAGTGATGTGTTTACTGTAGCTGGAACAATGCTGAAACAGGATGCTGTTTGATCATGTATGCATGTAAACGCCACTATATTCGCACACTGTGTGCGTGTGTGTGTGTGTGTGTGTGTGTGTGTGTGTGTGTGTGTGTGTGTGTGTGTGTGTGTGTGTGTGTATGTATGTGTGTGTATGTGTGTATGTGTTGTATGCAGAATCTGTGCACATTGTTGTATGGGTTACTTTCTGTGCATTGTGAACCCTGTGTGTGCAGTTAATTAGATCTTGAGTCTTGCCTATAAGGAGAAAATTTATTTAATGGAGCAAAAGATGGAGAATTAAGTATATCAGAGAACTACACCTGAACATATCAACTGCTGTTAAACTCATACTTATATTGTTATCATTCTACTACAGTTTTTAAGTACACAAATATTAATCCTACTGATTCTTTATGTTCTGATATTAGGGTTGTATTTACTAATGATGAAGTAAAATCTAGTATAAATCCACACTAGAAGCCACTAGAATCTGTACTGTTCATTACTCCCACTATATAAATGTATAAAACAGAAAGAAACAACTAAAAGTGCAACAGATAGAGAAATATAACAGTAGTGTGACAATAGAGAAAAGACAAAAGAGTTTATCACCTTTGGAGCAGTTTCATTGCCATGAAATTTATTCATTAACTTGAAGTTCTGGATCTTGTTTACTGTTGCTCTCTTACCTTGTCTACCCCTATCAGAAAATTAATTCCTAGAAAGGCGCTGGTGCTGGTGATCAAACCGGTTTTTTACATTGTTGGGAAGTGTTTAGACTGTTCCAGTCTGAGCAGGAGTACAGGTCAAGGTTTTTATATGAAAGCAGTTTAAGTGATCCCTGGCATCTGTTGTACACATTGTTCACCCAAACTGTGCAACAGCTCATGGTCAAATTTACAAAGTGCAATATACAGTATCTATATTTTCTGATAAGAGGACAGTTTAGTAAATGTTATGTCAATGAACCACATTTCTGTCATGCCATGACAACCTGCTATTCTGCTTGTGGGCTTTGAAATGTGGCAGTGGCTACAGCAGAGTGGTAAAACCCTTATGGATGGGAGTTTTTATGCTCTGCCTTTAAATGAAGCAACAGCTAACACGTAAACAGTCCCATTAACTCATTTTATGTGTGCTGCATATAAAGAGCAAGTTAATATAAAACTGAAATTCATGACTGTGCAGTAAATCATTGAGGATATATTGTTAACTTTGTGCCTTTGTTTTGTTCTGTACCCTTCCAGAAGGTAGAACTCTTAGAAAATTGGTCCGCTGTAGCTCCACTGCCACTGTGTTCAGCTCTGTCGGCCGGCTCTCTTAAGAATGCGGTGACCCGGAATGAGAAAGAAACATTATTAACCACGTTTGCAAAGGTGGGCTGTTCTGTACAACCATGCTCGAGGGGATAATCTTGCTTCGCTGCACACATTTTACCTCAAAGGTCATTTGACACGTCCTCTCTCCTCACCTTTTGAAATTGAGAGGCCACTGATGAACACAAACCATAAATGATTCATTTTCACTATGCTGAATTTAGGTCTTAACCCCATTTTTTACATACATCACACTCTGTACATTGCGCTTGGAAATAATGCCACAACCAATATACTGTATTCATCTGGTTTTTATTCGCCTCAAAACCAAACATCCTCTCTTTATTTTTCAGAGCCGGGGAAATATGCCATTAAATGTACCTATTTATTTACAGATCAGGCAGGTACACTTCTTGGCATCGTTCACCTGCTGTAAAGCTTGTGCTCAATTTCGAGACATGAAATCTGTATATAATTTTTTTTAAACCACACATGTGTAATTTTATCTGTAGTACATAAGGCCACCATGTTACGTACACCTGTGAAGGAGTAGATCGGAAAACAGGCAGTTAAAAGTACATTTGATTTCTATGATGAAATCAAATGTGAAGGGAGATATAATTAACAAATAAGACACGGGCTGAGTGCTACAGAGGTAAAACTGAGAAAGTTTTTTTTTTATTTGTTTGTTATTTAAGTACAATATGTGCTCCTGCTGCGGATCCATATAACATCGTTTAAATTTAACATTCAGACAATTATTATCTTTGAGGGAAGAGCTTCACACTATTGGCCAGCACTTTCCCAGCTTAGCAGCTTATTCAGTTTGGGCTACTGGTTACGTAAGAAGGCTATATGCAGCAGGAAGCTAATCCAGTGCAATGACCTTAATGCCAATTATCAGATCATGGTGACGTTATTGAAATTAAGGCACCATAATGAAGAGCTGATAACAGTCACTTGCTTAAAATCTTTGTGATATTAAGGAAGTGTAACAGCCTTAAAACAAGCTGCCATCACAGATCCTTCATCAGGTGGCACAACACGACTATGACATGGATGCGGTTTAAGTTAGCTTAGCAGTAGACATGATATAACCGCACACAGGCAGCCACACCCCTCAACAGCCTTGCAGCATGTTATTAATGTGGAAATTACCTGAGGGCTTATTTCATATTGTGAAATGCTCACAAACAAAAACACTTGGCTGCAATTCAAAAGCAGTCAGTAGTTTGTGTATGTTGGAACATGTCTTTAATGACATGTTGTGTTGTACTGACATTCTTAAAAATACACCACATCCTGTCCTGGATTTCATTGTAGTGGACCTATGTTTCCACCAAAGTTCATGGCTTATGTTTTACACAGCACGGGCCCTCTTGTGTCGCAGAATATCATGCTGGTGGAGAAGAGCACTATAAAAGCTTTGTTTTTTTTTCCGAGGGAAGAATGGCTTACTGGCTTAAATAAGAAGCAGCCTCTGCATATTCTCTGGCTTCATATTTCTGTTCCTAAAAGCATTTGATATTCCATTTCCTGGTTCCTGTGTTATCAGATTTTTTTCTGCAAAACATTCTTTTTCTTTTTCATATTATAAGATAAATTTAGAAGCTGTATTTCATTCAAGAACATTCCTGAACACAAATATACACCTGTTTCCTGGCAGTGATGGACTACAGCAGGTCTAGATGTCTCTCTTTGTTCAATATGTCAGAAAAAGTGAGGGAGCATGAGCTTCCTGCCAGCTTTCAGTTTTCACTGATGCAACATCAATTCTCCCTTTTATTTACCCTCTATATCACCTCCCCCTCCTCCTACATTCTCCATCCCTGCTTGTCTTTCCCCTGGGTTTAGAGATGAAGGGTCATGCCGAGTAATAATTCTAAACATCTGCACATGGCTAGGGAAAAGCAGATTTCCAAGTCATGCGAACAGGAGTCTGGCTGGCCGGCAGCAAACCAGCTTCCTGCTGTGTGTGTCTCTGTTGTTGAGGCAAAAGCCCCAACTCAGGTTATGCAATCAGTTATGCTGCATGTGCCAGCTGGTTGAGGTAGTCAGAAATGGAGAGGATGTTTTTTAATCCTTAGTGAAATAGCATACATTCTCTGTAGAAGATTGTTTTCCTTTCAGCTCATCACATTTATGCCCTGTATTCAGACTTTGTGTCATTTTAGTACTCATCATGTCTGTTAAGGACATGAGTTAAATGACAGGATTCATTCAGTAATGTCCTCAGACTGATTCTGTATCACTGCTGAAATGTTTTCTAAGCATCAATTAGTCTTTACCTCTGCAGTGGGGTATCCACTATTTCTTCTGTCACGTTAACCTCAGTAACACCTTGAGGGAATTTCCTCAAATTTGGTACAAGCGTTCACTCTGGACTCAAGAATGAACTGATTAAATTTCTGTGGTCAAAGGTCAAGGTCACTGTGACCTCAAAAATCATGTTTTTGGCTTCTTGAATGACCACCTTGAGGGAGTTTCATCAGATTTTGCGCAACCATTCACTTGGAGTCAAAGATGAACTGATGAACAAAACATGTTTTTGGCCATAACTCAAGAATTCATACACTAATTGTGACACTATTTAACACAAATATCTAATAGGATAAAATGATGAAGTGAGGATTTTTTATATCAAAAAGGTCAAAGGTCAAAGGTCACTGTGACATTATAATGTTGAATGCAAAAACATGTCTGGTGATTATTCAACACTGTAACTCAGGAACAGAAGTGGGGATTGTGACTATATTTCCTTCAACTTGACTGGTTGGGAGAGGCATACAACCGCAAGGCAGTAATTCTAGTTTCTCTTCTAATTGTAACTGTTCACCTTTGGATGACATCCTTTTATATTGTCTCTTCCTAATATTGTCTTCAGGGGCCTTGACTTCAGTGTCAATGTCTCAGCTGCAGTAGGCAAACATGTTGTGACTCAATACATGGTGTGCAGCTCTGCTGTTGTGGTGGACAGCATCAAACACTGTGGGCCATGTGAAGAGAACAGATCAGGCAGTTCCCCTACCTTCACCTTTCGTTGTTTGTTTTGTCTTCAATCTAACAGCCAAGGCTTTGTGGTGCCATGATGATGGAAGTCGTGGAAGCTATCCTGTTGCTGTTGCTGCTTTTCTTCGCACCACATGCAAAGGGAACGCGTAAGTGTTTGCACATAGCGAGGCTTGACACACAGCCTCAGCGTCTTCTTTCTAGTTTCTGGCATTGAGTTAAGACATCTGAGAGGTGTGTGGTGGTTGGTTGGCTGTTGCTGACAAAGGAAACAAGAGCTGCTCAATTAACAGATGATAAGTAACAGTGTTATTTATTTGTGGATGTTTTTGTGGTATATGCACAATTCACATCAAAATTATGTTATATGTTGTTACAACACACCCCCTTTAGTGTGTAATCTAGTAATTACTTTCACTTCCTCTTTTTACACGTTCCTGTCTTTCTATAGGCTTCAGCCCGCCAGGGAAGCCCGAGCTGACCAGATGTCGTTCACCTGAAAAAGAGACCTTCACCTGCTGGTGGAAGCCAGGCTCCGATGGGGGACTGTCCACCACTTACGCCTTGTACTATCGCAAAGAAAAGTGAGCGGCTCCCAGTTTCATGCAGAATTCACTCATTCACTTCATTTTGTTTAATTCTGGATTTTGTATTACTTTACCGATGAGTGACATGGATGAATCTTTCATCTGTTCATCATCATGATAGAGGTCTAGGGTGGAGGAGCTGGTTTGATCTCAGTCAAGAATGAGGCGCTCTGCATGTATCATCATCACATCAATATACATGTCGGAGGAAGAAGAATAGAGCATAGATAGAGCATAGTTGTGTTCGTGGCTGTGAATTTTAAAAATGTGCAAGGCTGAAAAGTAGCGCAATTTTTAAAAAATATAGCTAATATCTTGAAGCTCTTCAGTTGATTCTAGTATGATCAATATTCCATTACTGCTCAGACCAAACCAGAAAGATCTGAAACTTTGTGTGAAATGTCAGTATAGATAAATCTTTGGCTCTTAATATCCAACATCTGTAGCAAAGGCACAGAGGTAATTAAATCACCATGCAGTGGTTATTTAAATATATTGGAGGTTTACAAAAGAGATGATTTGGAAGAGTGATATAATTTTTTTTATTCAGTATTTGTAAGGAATGTGTATTCTTCTCCAGAGTCATAGTAAATGGAGACGATGATAGCAGAGCCCACTGCTCGGAAAACATTCTTAGTTTTTATTCCAGATTCTTTTGAAAGGTGAGGTGTGGAAAAACATCCTTAAAAAATAAGTGTCCAATAAACACTTCATTGTGTCATGGGTTTGAGTTTCTTGAGTTGCTCATCCATCCATCCTTTCATTCATTCAGTGCAGTTGTGCCTCATCCTGTTTCCCATTATTAGCTCCCCGGTATATATATACTGGTCCATTTGCGCTTGTTCTCTGCCACATTGTCTCTGTGGTACGTGCCTTAGCTTCACAGTGCTCTGTTCTTTGCTTGTCTGTTTTGATCCTGATCATGTTTTCTTTTTTTCCTCAGTCTGACACTTTGTTCTTTGATTGCCTGCTTGGATATTAGTATCCTTGCTTCTTTTTCCTACTTTTACATCTGCCCCCGGAGTCATGCTCCCTTTTCTGCTTTCCATTCTGCATTCAATTTCAGTTTACTTTTATATTCCCATAAGAAGAACGTTACTATGTGCAGCCATACAGTAAATTCACTGTGCACAAGGGCTGTTCGATATGATACATTACATGAGTCAAAAAACATCCTAGAGACGAGGCAAACCTGCAGTCGGAGACACAGTTGTGTGGGAGCTTCTAAATTTGACCTGAAAAAGAAGATACAAACCCAACATTACACAAGATGCAGATGTAATAGGACAATGTAAAATGAGTACAGCTAACAAAAAGGATATTTGAGAGTGTACAAAGTGGGAAAAAAATTATCATTATCCTTTAAACATAGCAGTTACCCACTCAACTCTTTTGTTGTAGTTTGTGGCTCAGAACTTTTCTTTCCATTCCTGTCTGCAATTCAGAAAAACATAGCCATTCATCTCTCTTTCTGTGTGTCTCATCTTTTCCTACACATACACACACACACACAGACACACACACACACACACACACACACACACTCACACATAAGCACAAAGTATCAGGAGCTCTGGCATGAAGAATACACGCTGTTCTTTAGAAGTGTAACAATACAGTTTAGTACATGCATACATAAAGTTTCATACCGTTCCCCTGTCTCTGTTGCAGCTCTGAGACAGTGTACGAGTGTCCCGACTACCACACAGCCGGGGAGAACTCCTGCTTCTTTAACAAGAATGACACGTCCATCTGGGTCAACTACAACATCACTGTGGTGGCCACCAACGCACTGGGCAGCAACTTCTCCGACCCCGTGGATATAGACGTGGTCTACATTGGTGAGGGAATGTGTGCTACCTTCTTTTTTTTTTTTTAATTTGTTGTCATGGTTTTTAGCGTGCTGTTCGAGACACAGTTTTCCCCCATGTGGTTTAAAAAAAATTATATTTTAACACACTCACGCAGCTGCTTAGTGGCACACTGAGTTACACTGCAGCTAATGCGCTCTGAGTGCACTAACCCTCCCTCTATACAGCTTATTCCTGTGTGCCATAGACCTCAGTTATTGTCCAAAAACTATTAATAAAATGGCAAGCCACAGTGTTGCGCTGGCTGACATACACAGACACTGCAGTTTATTTTGAGTCGTACATATCCATACCATCCTGCTGCCAGAAATACTCACTAAGGTTAGCCCTTACTTAATCCACAGCTGAAAATAGTCCCCAACAACTGCACTGTTCTCTCCTCTTTGAGGAATATATATTAAATTGTAAATTTAATTGTATATTTAATCAGAGACATCTGATTAAATATACATACTGGGCAGATCTACTTCACATTATGTAACAATATATGAATATTGTATGAGGTGTGGAATAAGTCCAGTGCTGTCATGCTGCTAAATACAAAACCATGTTGTTTGGTTCATGAAATATCCAAAAAGGAATGTAAAGTTAAAGAACTAAAAGACTTAAATTATCCACTTTGCCCTTGAAGCTGCTTATCTGAAAATGTTCCTCTCCCCCTTTGTCTCTCACAGTTGCACTGACCTGGTTTGTTTATCTGTCCTAAGAATGATCTGTTTCCTTGTCCTCACAATTGTCAACTTTGTATCTCCAAGAAGATAACTTAAAGCCCAGATGTTAACATTTATCTGAACGACGACGTCACATGTGTCAATAAATATTTGGAAAGCCACTCCTGCAATGACAGTGTTCAGTCGCTGGAGGTGTGCATTGGTTTACTATTACACAGCGGGAGAGACATAGACAAACTCCTGTATCAAGAAAACTGGTCTAGCCTGATTCCTTACGCGGTTACAGTTGGCTTCTCTTGTGTTTCTGTGTTAAACATTATTATCCAATAAAAGTCTCTTTGCCCTCCTCCCTCTCAGTCACACAAAACACATCCTCTCTCGTTCACATTTTCTCTCTCTCTCTCTCTCTCTCTTTCTCTCTCTCTGTCTCTCCAGTCAAGCCTAATCCCCCAGAGATGGTGACTGTCACTGTAATGGAGGACAAGGGCTGGCCCTTCCTCCGGGTGTCATGGGAACCACCACATAAGGCTGACACCCGCTCCGGTTGGATCACTCTCATCTACGAGCTCCGTGTGACGTTGGAGGGAGAAGATGACTGGGAGGTATGCAGCTCGTGGCCCGGTGGTTTAAAACATTTGTCTTTCAAATGTGAAACCTGAGTTCAAGCCACATGTTGGTGAAGTGTGCAGGACACTGAATAAATTTTGCCCAGGGGAAGTGTCTGATTAGTTTCCTCTTAAACCAGATAGTCTTAATTTGCATACCACACTATACAGCATTTACAATCCACTGTATATATTGACCGCTTGAAGGGCTGGCTGGACTGTGTCATTTGTGCGCGTTGTGTTTTCAGATGCACCTTGCAGGCCAACAGAAGTTGTTTAACGTTTTCAGTCTGCGGTCAGGTGGTAGATACCACGTCCAGGTGCGCTGTAAACCTGATCATGGCTTTTGGAGTGAATGGAGTTCCACCTCCGAAATCAAAGTTCCTGACTGTAAGATTTCAACCAATAATTATCTACAGTACACTACACTACACTCCTATGCTATAACATGTATTTTGTATAAGGTATATTAATTCATGTATTGAAGGAGTAGTTCAACAGTTTGGGAAATATGCTTTTTCACTTTCTTGCCAAGAGTTAGATGAGAATATCAATAGGCCTACTATTCTCTCCTGTTGTTTAATTCGTGCAGAACACAAAATGTAAAAATGACACATTGTGTTTTTACGAAGGTTGTGGTTATGTGCCAGACTGTGGTAGAAGTAATACCACAGTTCACCCCTGAAACCGCAATGTGTCATTTTCACGTTTGCTTTTTTGTGTGGGTAAAACTACTCACTCACACATTCGCTCCTGCTCCATTGGAGTGTTGAGGAAAACCTTCGCTTCCGCCACGCCGTACAGTTCTGGTCCAGTCTCTGGACTGTATTGTAGCTGAGTCCCAACCCCCCGCAGTCTTCCGAGAGATGGCGGTTATGTGGTCAAAACAGCATGGTCATTGCTTAAACTGGTGGCTGTGCAGTGAGCTGCAGGAGTCAGGCACTGGACACCCCTAAGGTACCACCTCAGGTCTCCTGTCCTTCACAGACAGTTGGCGTCAAAGGCGTCCACATGTCCTTCCAGGTCTCTGAATTGTACAGCAAGACAGATGGAACCAGGCTGTTGTAAAGCCTCAGTTTGATAGTCTGTCCTTAACATGGAGGTGGTAGTGGCATGACTGATGCTGGGTAAACAAACAAAACATAGAATGTTAATAAGTAATCTTAAGATATGCTGGTAGGTGTATTTTTAACCTTAGGATGCAGGCAGGCTTGCTGTTTCCCCATGTTTCCAGTCACTAACCATATCCTAACTCCAGCCCCATACTAAACAGAGAGATATAAGGGTCGTATTAATCTTCTCATCCATCATATTTCCCGAATGGGGACTATTCCTTTTAACTAAAAGTTGAAGGCACATAAGCAGGTTGACTATGTAACTATGCATTAAACTTCTTTAATATCCTATAACAGTAAAAAGAGGTTGTATGCTGTGTTGTAGCACTTATGTTGTTATGCTGTCTTACAGATTTCCATCGAGAGAAATCAGTGTGGATCCTCATTACAGTCTTTTCTGCCTTCATCTTCCTCATCCTCACATGGTTGCTACACATGAACAGCCACAGGTAAAAGAGGGATCATGAATTCCTTATGCAATTTTTTTGGTCCAATGTAGCATACTGTGATGTCGTCATATTATATGCTACAGAGGCCCAGAACAGTCATTTCTTTCTTAGCACAGAAAGACATCATTCACATTCATGAATTTTCATTAGTTTGTAAGGAAAACAGTATGTTTACAACTTTGTGGGCAAGTTCACAGGGAAAATTGTGAACTTACTGTCTAGAGATGGTGAGATATTTAAGTATTTACTTTTACTTTTACTTTTACTCTTTTACTTTTATACTTTTATTTCAAGATTTTTCAAGAATTGTCAATTTGGCATTGCAAGTTGAAGTAAAACCTACACTGAAACAGTTTAATATCTTAAGATTTCAATAGTCATCATAAAATAAAAGGGCTTATGTAACTGCTGCCACTATGGGCTTTCAGGGTATACAACAAGTGAAATGTTATTGTTATTTATTGATTTTCATTTGCTGCTCACAAGCGCTGACTTTGAAACCCTTTGTTTTTCATGTGATAAGTCTGAAGCACTGTATTCTGCCACCGGTCCCTGGTCCTAAAATCAAAGGATTTGATAAGCAGCTTCTCAAGGTAAAGCAGCAACATGTTGAAAAATGTTTTGATGCATACACTACATTAGTATCTAAATCAAATAACCATATTTAAATAAGACAAAATTATTTCTGATGGATCAAATCTTGCATTACTACTTTTCTGTAATGGAGCAATTTTCCTCTGTGTGTAGAATGGCAAGTCTGAGGAGATCTTCAGTGCACTGGTGGTGTCTGATTTCCCCCCAACTACGTCATCCAATTATGAGGACTTGCTTGTGGAGTACTTAGAGGTGTATGTACCCCAAGAGCAGGAGCTGATGCTGGCAGAAAGCAAGGACCTACTTGATAGTTGCCTCAAATCTGAGGGCTCCACGTCAGACAATGACTCCGGCCGGGTCAGCTGCGACAGCCACACTCTGCTGATGGATAAATGTGGCGAAGCAAAAGAAGAAGAGAGGCAAACAGATCAGGAAGACAGTACGTCAGAAACGAAGTCACAAAGGCGCCGGAGAGACTGGGACGAGGACACGTTGACCTATGCCCATGAAGACATGGTTAGCCCTGGCAAGTCCAGTGGAAGGGTGAAGACCTGGCCTTCTGTGTTTTCTCCACTGCCTCAGTACAGCTCAAGCCTTCCAGACCAAATGAGCTCACTTGAGATGGCCAAACAGCACTGCCACTCCGACAGCCTGTTCTCCCCAGGCTCCACTTCCTCCTACCTCACCCAACCTGGCCAGAGCACCAAGGAGGCTCTCGGACCAAGCTACTGGGAGTTCTCCTTTAGCAACAAGCAACCTCATTCACTCCTTCCCCAAACGCAACCCTGCCGGCAGCTCCAGGCCCACAGTGATGTCAACATCTCCAGCATCGGCCGCAAACAGGCACCTGCTGGTCTGGAATCGCCTGCTCTCCGGCCCACTGGCTATGTCGAAGTCCAGAGGGTCAACGAGGAGGACATGGTGCTTCTCCAGCCCGTTGTGTCGGACCATGGCTATGGGGAAGGCTACCGCCAGATGCGCCAACAGGAGAACTACAGCAGGGTGAAGGGGGTGGACAGTGGCAACATGCTGCTGCTCCAAAGAGAGGTGATGAAAGAGGAGGTGTGCAGGTGCCCTTGTGAGGACCAGGAGACTAATGGAACAACAGAGACCTGCCACACATCGTCCATCAGTACCACTACCCACAAGCCTACAGCCCTCTTTCACACTGCCACGCCGATCCAGGACGAAATGGCCCTGGCAGCGAGTGGTTATGTTGACACTGCCACCGTGTTCACACTGCCTACTTACTAGGTGCTCCATAAGCCCAGCTGGCAGGTCTAGGACATTACAAGACCTGTTTTAAGCAGGGACTTAAACCAAAAACAAAAACACTAACACTGGCAATGAATGACTCCTTCAAAAAATGGCTGCAAACACAAAATTTTACTGTCACAGAATTACTGTTATTTATTTTTCCTCTCATGTAAGAGATGACTTGTTTAGAGACTCTCTGATTTTTGAGAATCCCAAAGTATGTGAATAATAATCGTCATTCAACTTTATAAAGAATATGATTGATTGTAAAAATTATGTGGTACTACATGCTGTCATTATGAGTAATTTTATGTCTGTCACAAATCTTTTACTCAATCACAGGCACATGTTTTCATGTCATGAACTTTTTTAATATATTTCATGAGATTTTCTGATGTATACTGGTGTAATGTTCATATCTGTTCAAATTATTTGTGTAAAATCAAAATTGCAGGAAGCTCAAACAGATGTTTTTATTTTTGTTTCCGTTTTTGTATGTGCAAATTTCCTCTGCTCCCTGTGGAACACTACGTCTTAAAGCTGCTTCTGGATCCCACACAGAGATATATATATATATATATATATATATAAATGTATATATTTTGAGATTTTGTGTCAAGAAGAAGAAAACCGAACTGGAATGTATTGCTTAATTTTTCATTCAGAGACTATTTTGTGTATACATTTATTACTGCTTTAATCGGTTAAGTGGTAAATTTGAAAAAAAAAGTTATTTCTACAAAAATGTTTAGTTTTTGGTTTTTTTGGATGGGAAAATAGTATCATGATACTTGGTTGGCCATGTACAGCACTAACCTTAAGTGACTCCATCTCTGTTGTTGAACAGTGATAAATATCTGTGTGTGTATATGTATCTATGTATAGTTTTGTAAACAGTCAACCAGCCACACACAAAATGCAATTTGAAACAGCACTCAAATCTTTTTGGACAGATTGCTGTAAGAATCATGCTTGTAATAAATTTACAATATACAGTAATGGGATTTTGATTTTGATTCCGTTTCTATATGATTTCAAGTACTGTATTGATATGTACGTGCTTGTTGTAGCAGACAAATCAGTTAACTAATCACTTCAGGTTTAGAATACTGCGGTGTATAGTGGGAGAATATAGGAACCCATATAGGAACATTTTTTTCCCTGGTGTCCCATAGAGGGTTCATGCATCCATGCACAAATGAGGGGAACAACAAAACAAATGCATGAATTTCTGTGGTTCAGTCTTAAGAAGCGTGCATTTATTATCTATGTCAGTGAATTTGAAAAGTATTTGTGTTACAGGGGCAATGTGTAGGACCTGTGAATTTCTCAAATAGATATGTTTATGTTTGTGTGTGCGCACGCATCCTGTGACGTTGCACGGGGCGCTTCAGTGATTGATCGGGGGTCATTGGCTGCTTGCTGACCGCCCATTCTACAAACTTTTTACAGAGACAAAAGCCTCAAGTAAGTCTGCTGCCGCTAGTCTGAGGAAGTAGGACAACTGTGTGCCCTCTGTATCTGCACAACATGTATAAAGTTGTGTCCTGTGTAAGTGGCCGTTGCGCAGTTTTAACAGGACAGTCCTTTCTCCCCGGTTTGGCCAAATTCCACTTGGCAAGTGGTGAGTTACCATGGAGACGAACCAAATCAATATCGAGCTTGTTTGTTTGGTTATGATACATTCTGGTGCTGCTTAAACGACCTGTACTGGAGGTATATGTTATTTAAGATTGTATGGTAATGTAGAAAGGGCAAAGTTGTTTATACGATTTAAGTGGTTACGTAATATATTGCTCAGTTGTGGCCCAAATTGACGTGAATAAATCCACAAATCTAACGTTAACGTGCTTAGCTAAACATAACGTTACGCTCAGTTGACAGTTTGTTAGGTACACTTAGCTACAATTAATGTCTGTTTTGTCTGAGGTGTTGTGGAATTATATTCCGTCTTATTATCAGGTGTTTATATTGTTTTGCCCATTCCTTTTATATCAGTGAGTGTAGGCTAAATGACAGAAACATCTGTCAGTAAAACAAGACAGTCCACCAGCAACAAAAACTAGACCCTCCAAAACTATCATATAGTTAAATCAACACCTCTCTAAAACAGTTTGTTAAAAACATGATTCATGAAGATAGCATTTACTGCAGTGCTGTTGTATTAGACTGCATTAGTTTTAGTTAGGTGTACCTAATAAACTGGCAACTGAGCGTAGCCAGGAGAAATCTGTGCAATGCACTATCCACTGCAATGTAAAACATGATTCAAACAAGGTGGTGAGGTTAAAATAGGAGTGACTACATCAGATGAAACTGCAGTGCAGTAAAACGATTGTAATTGCAATACAAGACTTTAAGTCATAGTATGAAACCTCATTTAAAACGGGACTGGTTAAATGCAAGCAGCAAAGCAAAAGGGAATGGTTAAGCACATCCATGGATGAAATACAGTATGCAGTTTTGCCATGTTAATATGAATGCCGGCCAGACCAGAGTTCACTCTCCCTCGCATTCCCTCACCAAGAGTAAACAGGCAGTATTTTATCCTGTGTTGCACAATGTGAGGTCTAAGGTGAAGTTAATGTGGTTAGAGTGTCAGCCAGCTTTTAATCTAATTACCTGCTTGCAAGAAAACAACAAAAGCATCAAAACAAATTAAAATGTATACTTCTAATGTGAATGTATCTGTAGATAATAATGGTACAGAAAGAAAGGTGAAGGTTGTAAGACCTTTTGGGTAAAATGTCACTTAGTGGTGCTTTCACAAATGATTCCCAAATGCCACAGAAACGTCATAGTAGAACTTCGATCAGCTCACGCAAGTAACACAGTCAGTTCCTCAGAGAATGACTGTCTCTTTTACCTCACTATCTGAACTTCAATTGTTTCACAGGTGCGTTATGTCAGAAATCAGCCATCAGATACCCTCCCACAGACATCCCAGAGATGCCCCCATGCAATTTCAAACCAGAGGAATACAAGGTAAAAGCAGCATTCTCCAGGCATACAGTGCAGTGTCTTTAGGTCTTTGACAAGCTCAGCCTAAATAAAAACAAAAGATAAACATTGTATACTGTAACTGTTATTCTGTGTATTTGCTGTCCAGGGTATGTCCAAAGAGCGGATGATGGAGATCCGCAAACTGAACTGCAACCCTATGACCATGAAGGTTACCTACTATAAGAAACCAGTGTTCATCCACCAGGGATACATGCAGTGGCTGTGGGATGTGGATGGGAGGCGATATCTGGATCTATTTGCCGGCGTAGCTACTGTCAGTGTCGGTCATTGCCACCCGTAAGATCTTTTTTTCTTTGCTGTGTCACACAGTAATAGTGTGTTTCTAATATACAGTTTGCACTACAAATGATATTTGGTGTTATTTGCATCTGATGTCTTATATCTGTGTGCACAGGAAAGTAACAGCAGCCGCAGAGCAGCAGATGAAGAGACTGTGGCATACTACTAACATCTACGTCTATCCTCCTCTCCATGAGTATTGTGAGAAACTAGCTTCCTACTTGCCAGATCCCCTTAAGGTACTGTGGTGGATTTTTATTTTGATCACCTGAGGGCTGGAGCCTGAATCAATATGTAGGTTAAAATAGAAATGTTTGCTGCTCTGTGTTTCCCTGTCCAGGTGGTATATCTGACCAACAGCGGCTCAGAGGCCAACGACCTGGCTATGTTGATGGCTCGACTCCACACAGGCAACTTTGACATCATCACTTTCAGGTACAAGTCTTTTTATAAACTGTCAGTGGAGAGAGACATCCTAATGTGCTTTGTAATTATGTATTTTTATACATAAGAAATATGTACATATCTACATATGAAAATGTAAAATTTGATTGTAATTCCTCTCATTACATAAGATTTAAATGACTTTTTTAGGCTAAAGACTAAAATTCACAGGCAGTTTTTAAATTTTTTTCTCAGCCTGTTAATCATTTTTGATCCGTTTTTCCCTTCCACCCATTAATTCTAGATCCAGCATGACAAAAATAGACAGTTTTATATGGCACAGGCAGGAGAAGCACAAAGTATGAGTAAACAGTGAATTTGAATTTGTGAATATCAGTCTTTGAAATGATTTTTGTCTTCCAGAGGATCATACCACGGTGGCAGCCCACAGACCATGGGTCTTACTTCCAATGCAGCATATAAATATCCCATCGCCAATGGTTTAGGCTGCACGAATGTATTTATACATTAATATATTACATATTGTAGCAATATTATCAGAAAAGCATACAATGCACATTATGATTTTGTTTTTAGTGAAGGTGAATATATAATACAGCCATATAAACTGACATATGATAAACATTTCACTGAAGACAAAGTGGAAGCTGTGCTGTGCTAAAAAATTTAAATAAGATTTTCTCAATGAGTGCATACCTGCACTTAGAAGCAGAAAACACACACATACAGACAAAAACTAAAAACTAATTCAATTAAGTAAACTTATGGCTGTAAACATTTCTGATTTGAATACATAGATTAATCTGAAATTTACAGGTGAATAAATTTCATTATCATTTATTTGTGCTGTGTTAATTATGAGTGACTGTTGCTGTCAGGTTGACCCAGCTGATTACGTCTCTGCCCAATAAACAGACCATGTGTCCTGATGTGTTCAGAGGTCCGTGGGGAGGAAGCCACTGCAGAGACTCTCCTGTTCAGACCATCAGAGAATGTAGCTGTGCCCAAGGTACACAAACACTGGCATACATGGCTCAACACACTCACACTGTTAAATACCACAGTTGTCAGTGAGTTTAAGCATTTCAATCCCTTCAGCCATATGTGTTTATGTGTAAGTGTTTGACCAGTTTTATATTTTGGACCTCCATAACTGCTTAACAGTTATCTGCTGTTTTTACAGGAGCTGCAATAACCAAAATATATTCTTCTTATTCTATAAAATATGCTGAATGGTCGTGAGGGTAAAACAGGTCAGTGTAACTCTAAGCTCAAAGTCTCCTTCTGTTGATCATTTACCTTTTTTAACTTTAACCTTTTACCATTTTCAGGAATTTTAGCTATATAATGTGCCTGTCAGTTAGAAAGTTTACCTGAAAATGGTCAGTATGTAAGCATATCTAAATATCTGTCTAAGCAAAGCAAACAGCGGTTATGCTGCAATATATCAATATCAGTCAATAACAACCCTGCTGCTGTGTCTTTTATAGTATAATAATATATTTAATAATAATTTAACACACAGTAATGTTATTATAGTGGTGGGCAATATGGAAAAAAATAATATCTATATATTTATCACAGACTTATCTCAATTCACAAAATACAATATAATTATAAAAATACTTGAGAGCACATGAAAAGAATCAAATTTCTTTTTAAACTAATTATGTTCTCAAGTGTTTAGGATGTCATATTGCGACTAGTTTTGCATCATATCCAAATGCTGTATCAAATACATGAGAATGAGCAATTAAATGACTCTGTAGCAGCTACTTCCTCCCATCACGAACTTGGCTGACACACTTCCCTGGATGTGTCCTAACACCACTGAATTAGCTGTGGATGCTCCCAAAACAGCCTTCCCTTATGACGCTACTTACTGGCGCTGCATATGACAAAGCTGTTGCCAGTTATCCTCTCTACACATCCAAGTAATAGGAGGACTATTATCTGCACTGGGTCTTTTTAAATTCTGTGAAGGAAAACTTGCTCTGAGATTCTGGAAAAAAACCTTTTCCTGCTGCTGGAGAAACTGAGCGACTGTCATTCGCAACATGCATTCATCTCAGGCCCCATTCCAACCCTGGGGGAAGGAATCATATCTTTTAGGTCCTTGGCCTTAATGCATGGCTGACCTCGGTGTGCCTCACCCATGGTATATTGACAATTTCACTATTTTCAGGAAAGACCGCTTTCAACCTGACGGGGTTCATCCAAACATCACTGGATCCAGATCACTCTGTGCCATTCTGTGTCATGCTCTTGGGATGCCATACCCAAATAATGAATGTGTGGATGACTGTCTGCTCTACCACTCTCAACAATAAAGGAGTTAGTTAAAGCTGCCACACTGAAAGTCACTTAAATTGATAAACTATTACTCTGAAACAGCTGGTGGCATGGTCAAACATATCATAGTAATCACAGACCATCTGGTACCTGTCTCTGTAAAATGTGTCAATGTTCAGCTACAACCAGTCTCCCAACAGCTGAAATGAGCTATTTTTATTGTTAGATCATTGGCTAACAATTCCTTTTTGGTTAATGATCTGATAATTGAAAATAATTTACATTGTATGTTTTTGGTTAAGACCTGGCTAAACAGCACTACTGGTGTAGCAACACTGATAGAGGCTTTTCCTCTAAACTGTTAATTGTATCAGTCAGTGAGATAAAACAGGAAAAGAGAAGGGATTACAGTATTTTCTCGACACACTTTTGTGTGTAATGGCATTGAGCTGGGTGAATTCACATAATTTGAATATCTTGCCGTTGAGCTCAAAGCAGGTTGATCAGGGCTCATCATTACATTCTATCAGCCACCCAGATATTCAATGCTGAATGGAGACCTGAATATTTTATTGATAAAAACAATGACTCCAAAACTATGGAGCTTGTAAATTTACCAGACAGCTTTGAACTCATTCAACATTTATAAAGCCACTCATCAGCATGATAACACCCTGGACTTAGTGATAACAACAGGGTTAAACATTGATAATGTTTTAGATGCCGACCTAATGTTAACAAAACCCAAAAGGGGATTCTGGGTTCAAAAGCGATTCCTAGATGATGAGGCAGAAACATAGTTCTCTACTATTATGAGATCATTTGAGCCACAGCTATGACTGCTTTTTAAATGACATGGCTGAAAATTTCAACAATACAGTAAATACTGCTGCTCCACTAAAGGTTAAAAAGAGGTCAACTGACAGAATCTCCCTGTGGTTAAACAATAACCATGTTAATGAGATTAAAAGAATCTGTCAGGCAGCTGAAAGAAAATGGAGGAAAGCTCACCTGGTCAATAGTGGCAGGAAAGCTGCCTCTATTGACCTGACCAGCATACACATGTTGATGTCTGTAGTAGTTTGATATAAAGGACTTGTCTTTGTGTATCCCTAAGGTCATTGCATGGCAAATGAACAATACATCGGACAGCTCAAAGAGACATTTGCTACTAGTGTCCCGAGTCGAATTGCTGCTTTCTTTGGGGAGCCCATTCAGGTACCATATTCTGTTGTGAAGCATTTCAAGAAACAGTCTTAAAATTGTGAATGTTGCTCAGAGCCATGTCTATTGCTGAGCTGTTGCCACATTGAATATTATGATTATTAACTGTATGTCATAGATACTGTAAATTACAATGTCAGGACAGGACTCTCTGTAATCAAACCATCAATATTTATTGTTTTCTCCAAGTGCTTGGGACTATGGACTGTGAATGTGTTTGGTTTATACAGGGAGTCGGAGGAGCTGTGCAGTACCCTAAGAACTACCTCAAGGAGGCTTATCAACTTGTGAGAGACAGAGGAGGACTCTGCATTGCTGATGAGGTTAGATACATCATTTTTTATTTACAACTTAAACTCAGTGCAAGAAATGCTACATACATTTAAAAAAAATGGAGCCTGTATTTATATGAACAATATGAAAATTTGCATTTATGAATACCTATCACATGAGGGTATTGTAGCATCCGATTATAGATAATACAAGGTGGTCATTAGAGGGCTTTCTGGGACTTATCCCATTAACACAACAGGACTGGTAACCTGTGAGAATTGTAACTAGATTAATAATAAAGAAATACCACAATGCTGACAGTCACCCCTATTGCTTGTTGCTATGGCTCCCTATCGTCTTTTCTACATGTTGGAGCTATAAGCACAACATTGACATATTATCACCAAAAAAAAAACAATGAGCTGGAAGATGCTTAAACATCAAAGCTGATAATTCTCTGCAGTTTTTTTAATCATTTGAACCATTGTTAATATAAAAATATTGATCCCTGCAACTTTAAGAAAAGCAAAACACTTATTGCTCGTGGGACAACAAGTCAATGATTTAGTTGAGTTGGGTTATTACTTATCTTGACAGGATTACTTATCTTGAAAGATAAGGATTTCTACACATTTGAGCTTACAGTTCCATGACAAAGTTGCTATGTTATGCCCAAGAGAAAGCCATATAAAGCAAACACCATTGAATTGCTTTCAAAGGTTAAGTACTAAATGACTGCCTCGGTGGCTTATAGTATGTTTCCATCTGTTAAGCACTTCAATACATAAATGTAACTAAACTTAATCATCTACTCTGCGACTAACAGGTGCAGACTGGATTTGGGCGAACAGGAAGCCACTTCTGGGGTTTCCAAGGTCATGATGTCATTCCTGATATGGTTACAATGGCAAAAGGCATTGGTAATGGATTCCCAATGGGAGCTGTTGTTACAACACCAGGTGGGATAATACTGTGAGGCATAAAAATCTGCTTCTGCTTCTAAAGATTAAATACAGTTATAGTGTGTATAGTGTACTGTTAGTGTAAACCGACAAGATGCATGGGAAGAAATGAACAGCCTCAGTTTGGTTTCCCATGTAGTGACGAATCATTGAGCTTTTACTTTGTGAGTTGAGATTTGGAGCCCACACCAATAAACAAGCTCAAAACAACAACAATTGGTATACAGCCGGGCGGATTTATGAATAATGAAGAATGATTTACTGTAGCAGCTTCTTATTTAAAAAAACAAACAAACTATATTTTAACTATTTTAAGCAAATCACAGTGTTAGCTCAGACCTGAAATGATGCTTCATTTTAAAAAATATAATAAAATGTAACAGTTACACATTCAGCACCTCACTCATTAGTTTTAGGTGATTCATCACAATCTTATCTGCATGTTATACATTGAACTGCAACAGAGTAATTATAGGGTTGATCACTTGGGAACTAAATTATAGATTCTCTGTCTATGACTCACCGCTTCACCCTCAAGGGAGCTAGGCTTTCTGCTGAGGGGGGAGGATGGAGAGGGCATGTTAGTTACATTGATGACTACTTACAGCCAGAAGGTGTGCATCAATACTGGAGACCTGTTAGAATTGTACTCTATAATAATCTAATAATAATCTATAATAATAAAGAGAATACCACAGTGCTGACAGGATGCGCTCTCTTGACCCTCACCTCTATTGCTCGCTGCTGTGGCTCTCTAGCGTCTTTTCTACATGTCAGAGCCGACCTTATGTGTTAATTGCCATAAAGAACACCCTTGAAAGAAGTATATCTATTTCTGGTGGTCAATGTTGTTCCTTCCAGAAATTGCTGCCTCATTTGCCAAGGGGGTTCACTTCAACACCTTTGGTGGAAATCCTGTGGCTTGTGCAGTTGCTTCATCAGTGCTCGATGTAAGAATTCATCTTCTCTTTCTACATCAGTCCTGTTCATCAGCACAATCCAATCATTTCTGCTTATTATTGATGCAACTGCAATGGAAAACTCCATAATTAGTGAAGCACACTGAATTATAACTAAAACATAACAAACTCTTTTACTTGACAGACTATCAAAGAGAACGGTACGCAGCAGATCAGTCTTGATGTGGGCACCTATCTGATGACAGAGCTGGCCAAACTCAGAGACAAGTATGAGATCATCGGTGATGTCCGTGGAAAAGGCCTGCAGATCGGTGTGGAGATGGTCAAAGACAAGGTATTGTCTTTGTAACAGCCGTGACACTCACCTTTCCTCACATGCTTGTACAACGTGTGTCTGTGCTGTGTCTCCCGAGGGGCATGGTTCAGCAGCGCCCCAGTTAACCATTAGCCTGAGCAGCAGTGACCATCTCTAATTGTGAACAGAACAATCTCAGCTGCACTGCATGTGCTACTGACTGAAGTAATGATGCTTCTTTTCTATTCTATTAATACTGGCAGAAATTGTATTTGAAAAGAGTCAGTAAAGGGAAGAGGCAGTACAGAAACTTCTGATCACAGTTTCCTGGTAGTAAATGCAAATTTTGTGAAATGTTATTTTTGAGGCAACTGCAGTACTGTTTGGCAAATATCTTGCTGTATCAGCGTTGCTAAGGATGTTATTTTGACCATTGTTCCTCTTTGCTAATCCAGTTTTCCTGAGTTTTAGATATCACATGATTTGTGAGGCAAACTTTGCTACATTGCAGTGTCTGTGACAGTTGTGCCAGCATTTTAGGTAGCAGGATTCTGGACTCTTTAACATCATAATTGGTTCTATTTTAGCCTGAAAACACTGGAGTATTCTCTGTTAGACGTCCTGCATGTATCAGCAGTCACCATCAGAAAATGTAGTAAGCAGAAGAAACGCAAAATGTATGACATTTAGGAAAAACAGGGCAATTTCTCAAAGACTCACTGAAAGGAAGTAAACCTAACACAAACTACAGGCTCTAAAATAACTTTCAAATTGACCTAACAATTCATACAATCTCAAAAATCTAAATTTAACAAAAAAAAAGTTAGTAACTGGTTGGACATGACTAGAAATGTATAATCCCTACTGCCGTGTTTGAACTGCCTGCTTTTTACCCAACAGTTGTAATTAGCCTGAAAATTGTAGATATGTGTCTGACTAATATTGGAAATCTTATACACAAGTTATCCTTACCAGTATGCAAATGTATAGCCTCTCAAGCCAGTCAGCAATTAGAGGTTAGGTGCTTGAGTCACAATAATTATTGGACACAAGCTGTTGGACAGCGTTCATATACACTGATTAGCCAAAACATTTCTGACCTGCCAAGGCAGATTGGCAGGATATCGGAAGTAGCCCTGTGGTATCTCCTGCCAAGATGTTACCAGCAGATCATTTATGTCCTTTAAGTTTCAAGGTGAAGATGCCACAGATCAGACTAGTTCCAGCACATCCCCCAACACCAGGTTGCCAGTTCGTGGTTTGTCCCTCCCTAGACCACTATCGGCAGGAACTCACCACTGTAAAATCTGTCCATCGTCTGGCCTTAACAATTTGGCCCTTGTCGAAGTTCCTCAGGTCTTTATACCTGCCCATTTCTCCTGCATCCAACATGTTGACCACGAGAACCGACCATTCACTTAATGTTAATGTATCACGGACCTTGACATGTGCTGTTGTTATGAGATATTCAAGATTATTCGCATCATCTGTGAGTGGTCATAATGTTTTGGCTCCTTGGTGTAGGTAATTACTTAAATTACTGTGGTAACTGTAACACATTCTTCCTAATTCATCATTTCACCTTTTCTCTATCATCCCCAGGCCAGCAGAGACCTACTGCCTCCGGAGGCAATGAATGAGATCTTTGAGAACGTCAAGGACATGGGAGTCCTGATAGGGAAAGGAGGAGTATACGGACAGGTAACACACACCTACATCAGTAAGCTTCTTGTTTTGCTGAAAACAAGTTAAATAAACAAGCACAGCATTTCAAATACAGCTTTTTCACCCTTTATCAATAAAGATCCATGTCCATTGTTTTTTGTAGTGATACAGGCTTGATTCACTCTGATAATACATGTATGATAATACCTACAAAATACTGTTGGTATTTCAAGTTGTAGCTGCATCGTGATTATTACCCCTAGGAAAAGACACATCAACTACTACAGTTAGAATGCATCGCCACAATTATTTACTCATTATCTTGTTAAATGAAAAAGAAGAAATCTTCAGAACATGAAAATCAAAAAAATTGTATATAAAACTGTTTCTTTGGGTTCCTCTTTTAAATTTAGGTTTCTCAGATTTAAAGATTCATCATCACCTCAGTCTTGCATTGAGAGCATGTTCTGTAATTTCAGCTGCAATCATAGCACAATTTTCATTATGTTATTGATAACAATATGGGTTTTTTTCTAAATTGCAGTACCTGGAATTAAGACTAGTTCAGAAACCTGACATGAGCTTCAGTTTTCACAAAAAAGCCTCACATCAATCACTCCAAATGATAATCAGTGGTTGTTTTTTTTTAAAAAATTACTTTACCTTTACCATCTTTATCTATTTCTACTGTGAATCATATGTTCCAGACTGAAGTACATGCTCTTCCACCATTATGTGACAGAATGAGGCACTTGAACTGGTTACACCTTTTTCCTGGTAATCAGTATCTCTGGTACGCCATAATCGCCCCTTTTATTTTCTGTTTTTCTCACCATTTCAGACCTTCCGTATTAAACCCCCCATGTGCATCACAATGGAAGATGCAGATTTCTTCCTGGCAGTTTTTAACAAGGCCATCCACAACTACATGGAAAGAAGATGAAAGTCATTTTGACCTTTTGATTAAGAGTACTTATGTTATTACCTTTGCATAGCCATTGTAAAAGGGAACTTTTTAAACTATTTAATCATGTTGTAATTACAGAGACTAATTTATTAACTCATTAATGAAGAAAAGATATTGTACAGTACATTTCTAACAACTCACTTGAAGTTCATGTTGCCTTTTTTGGATCTACAGAATCATGCTTTCTTGATGAATGTAATAATAATGAATCTGTGAGCTTGAGGAACAACTGTCTCCTGCAATTATTTTTTCTATAGTTATAGCTATTTGTGGTATGGAAGCTGAGAGTGACTTTAATGATCTTTTTAATCCAGATATCCCATAAATAACGTGTTAATTACTTCATTATCTTGCGATAAGGAACACACAGAATGAATTATAACTTTGGTGATACTGTAACTTTTCATGAAGCGCCACCATATGATCTATTTTTTTGTTACCAAATATTCTTCTATGACCAAATGCCTGCACAACTAATGACCTTCCCATCAGCCTCAGTACTGTGTATTTAATTACTAATTGGTTAGCATGCTAGCATGCTAAACTAAGATGGTAAACATTGGAAACATGCCCGCTAAACATCAGTATGTTAACATCTCATTGTATGTATATTAGCCTGCTGACATTAACATTTAGCTCAAAGTACTGCTGTGTCTGAGGACTGCTTCACAGAGCCTCTAGTGTGGCTGTAACTTGTAGTCAGCTTGCACAGATACAGTATAAGGACTCAATTCTTGGGAAAGGAAAGGGATCTTTTCTCATCTTTTCAGTCATCTAGTCAGTGTACTTTTGCAGGCTTTATGACAAATAATATAAACCCTCCATCTTTCTTCTTGTATTAATGAGAGTGACACAGAGGCAACCCTCATTAGACTTGAGGGATTCAATCAATAATTCAATTTGCTACAGCCTACACAGCTGTTTTGGGAACACAACCCCACAACATGATGATATACAGTATATAATACACACACACAAACACACACATATATATATATATATATATATACACATATATATATATACATATATATACATCACCCTGAAATCCAAGTCAGTGTAACCTAGTAGACCATTCAGAGTTTGTCATGGTTAAAATTTCCTAAAGAAACTAATTTATCTAACAAACGTGACACACACCCAACCCAAGTCAACATCCCCCTCATCGTATTTACCAACTACATGACTGATGTCACGTCCAAATTTTTACTGCTGTTAGCCTTATGACTGCCTCAGTAGTGCGTGGTTCTTCACACTGGTGGGCTCTAGTTTGGATTGAATATGGTAAAGGGTGGAGCTGTGGAAGGAATCGGTGTATTAAGTTATGTATGGATGAGTGCAGGTTTTTATGCACAGCCACTGCCACCCCCACCTCTCAGGTGCTCTGACAACCAGCTGCTCTGGTCATCAAAGCACTTGCCTATTTTCCTTTCTGTAAGAGGGAAAGCAGGCATAGTATGAGTACTGAGGAGGGTGGGTTGTCACACTTAAGGCATATCAAACTCCCACTCACTTCAGAGTGAGGCAAGCGTCTTCTGCAGCCTCTAACAGGAAAGAACCGGCACCATCCAACATATTTGGTCTTTTCTCTAAACTCTGTGAATGTAGTGGAAATCTCATGACCAGGTGCCACTAGTTATATATTTATCTATGTGACGTTGCAGAGAAATCATTGTAGTTGGGTAAGATCAGGGTACCATTGGCTGTGCTATGTCCACCCATCATTGTGACCTTTTAGAAAAAGCCGTAGACAAATCTGCTGCTGAGTGTCAAACAGCGAAGGGAGAAGGATAGTGTCCCGTCTGTACCTACTCAACATGTACAAAGTAGTATCCTGTCTAAGTGTCCGCTCTGCAGGTCTCACAGGACAGATCTGCAGTTCACCTGGTTTGGCCAAATTTCACGTGGGAAATGGTAAGTTACCATGGAGATGATCAAAAAACATAATTTGTTGATACACATCCTGTATAGGAAGTATTTTATTTAACCTTATTGTTTGTCACTGAGTGTAGAAATTTAGGTGAATTTTATCAGATAATCCACAAAGTTTACAATTTATGTCTGAGTAAAACCCAGGAACCAGAAATAAACATTAGTTTGCATGTGTTACTACAGACTACGGTATAAATCACTGCTTAATGTATTCACTGCTGTTCATAAACAAATTGTCTCAAGTACATTATGGAAACAAGACGTAATATAGCGACATCAAAATTAAGGCAATTACATCAAATAAAATGACTGCAGAGAAAGATATAGTCCTGCACACATTGTAAAATACTTTTAGTCATATTTATTTTGAAATGTGAGTTATTATATAGGAAGTGCATGGCAAGGCAAATTTATTTGTATAGCATATTATCATACACAGAGGTCATTAAATGTGCTTAAGACAAATAAAAGAAGCATAAAAAATAGAAGTAAAAAGCAAAATAAGAAAACAGTATAAAACACAGATTATAAAACAGATAATATCAAATTGAAGTGCAAAATGGTGAGGATTAAGAACATGTTGTCTAGACCTGTGCATAACTGTTTCTGTGGTTACATTACATGTTCCTCCAGGGGGTAACAGCTATTTGATAAAATAAATTGTATATTTGCCAGTCCTACCAGTTGTAACTAACATTTTCCAGCCATGGTTAGAAAACAGGGAGCATAGTTTTTCCTGTGTTGCACAATGTAAAGTTAATGTGGTTAAACCATCAACCAGGTTCTAATCAGATTAAATATTGACCAGATAATTCAGAATGTCATGAAAACAAGAGCAGGTACAACCATAATTAACCATCATTGACTTGCTGCCACATCTATCTTTAAATAAATAACAATCTCCTTTGCCTCTCTTTCTGAATTTCAATCGTAACCATTTCACAGGTGCAGTATGTCAGAAATCGGCCCTCAAATACCGTCCCACAGACCTCCCAGAGTTGCCGCCATGCAATTTCAAACCAGAGGAATACAAGGTGAGAGTATTATAGCATCCAGACAGAGTCTATTCTGCACTGTTCAGACTATGCACGATGCACTTAAATATTCAACTTAACCTGACAGGTGCTGCATATGTGACATTACCCTAAAAATTGAATTATCAGCAGTAGCCTACAGTACACATACCACAATATGTGGCAGGTAATTAAAGGTACCCCGTGTAGCTTTTGGCCACTAGTGGCAGAGCAATGTTTTCAGGTCCTGTATTATTTGTGCTGTGTTCTGGCATCTTGAAGACAAATTTAAATCACTGCCGACTGCAGAGGGTGGTGTAATAATATGGACTGCTGGTGGCTTTAAAAAGAAGCTATATAAGATGAAAGGAAGAAAAAGACTGTAAGTGGATTAAAACATGCAGGTTTTACAGAACCAGCAATGTCAGGAGTTGATTCAGTAGATGATACTTCACTGGTGAAAGACCCAGTCTACCCAAAACATAGCAACTTGGTGTTCTGAGAATACTCAAAGGGCTAGTTGATGAACTACAATAGCTGGCAAGCCAATGGCTAACATGGTAGTCAGCAGAGAATATGCTAGTGTATGTCAATTAAGGTCACATTAGCTCTCTGAGTTAGCTACCTGGCTACTTTCAGGGAGCAAGCTTATTAGCTTGGTTTTTAATGGGACAGTAAATCCACACAGTTTATTCAAGAGACATTTGTACCAAGTTCTCCTGTCTCATAACTCTCTATGCCTGTTCTTTGGAGCACCTTGTACCCCCTGCAGGGACCTTCCTCAATTTTGGACTTGCTTAAATTTCAGCACTGCCAGACAGTTTGCTATGGGTCAATTTGAATGTCAAATTCACCTAAGTGCCCGCAAAAAATGTTTTCCATTTTAAATGCTGGTGTGACCTGGCATTAAGAAAAATTTTGACCTGAAGAAGCAAAAAGAACTTGGCTGGATTATACTTCATGGCAATCCATCCAGTAGTTAGACATTTCACCCAGAACCAAAAACACACACATCTCTTCCTGTACTGTAACTTCTACCTTTACTGTATGTCTATCCAGGGTATGTCCAAAGAGCGCATGATGGAGATTCGCAGGCAGAACTGCAACCCCATGACCATGAAGATTACCTACTATAAGAAACCAGTGTTCATCCACCAGGGACACATGCAGTGGCTGTGGGATGTGGATGGGAAACGATATCTGGATCTGTTTGCTGGTGTGGCTACTGTTGGTGTGGGCCACTGCCACCCGTAAGATCTTGTCTTTTTCTTTCCCGTGTCACGCGGTGATAGTATGTTTTACTGTGATCTGTTTTCAGTCAAAAATGACTGCTCATTGTTGTTCCTATCCTCATGTGTGTGTGCACAGGAAAGTAACAGCAGCCGCAGAGCAGCAGATGAAGAGACTGTGGCATACTACTAACATCTACGTCTATCCTCCTCTCCATGAGTATTGTGAGAAACTAGCTTCCTACTTGCCAGATCCCCTTAAGGTACTGTGGTGGATTTTTATTTTGATCACCTGAGGGCTGGAGCCTGAATCAATATGTAGGTTAAAATAGGAATGTTTGCTGCTCTGTGTTTCCCTGTCCAGGTGGTATATCTGACCAACAGCGGCTCAGAGGCCAACGACCTGGCTATGTTGATGGCTCGACTCCACACAGGCAACTTTGATATCATCACTTTCAAGTACAAGTCTTTTTATGAACCTTCAGTGGGGAGAGACATCCTAATGTGCTTTGTAATTATGTAAAAAATATATGACAAAGTAAGATTTAATTGTAATTCTTGACATTATGTAAGATTTAAATAACATGACTTTTTCATAAAGCTAAAGACTAAAATTCACAGGCAGTTTTTAAATTTTTTCTCAGGTGGGTAATTGTTTCTTTTTTATTAGTCTGTGGTAAGAGATAATGTTCTTATCAATAATTGATGGTAACATCTGTGACACAGCTTTAATATTGTAATACAACTAAAAAACAGGGTTTTTTTCCTGGCCTGTTTGGCCTGTTTTTCATTGGCTTTGCAGTAGCTTGTCCTTCATGTTAATTCTAGATTCTACTTAGAAAAAAATAGATCCTTCCATGGGCCATAGACAGGGGAGGCAAACAGCTTCAGTAAACAAAAAGGCCCCTGAGTCCATCCTAAAAAATCTCTATGGATGTCATTGTCATAGATTTTGTATTACTCTCCTGATTCATTCAACATACCAAAGCTTGATAGCTTGATTGATAAGCAAACTCTCTCATCTAAGTGCTGCTTTTTTTTCTCTGTCTCTTCTAGTGGATCATACCACGGTGGCAGCTCACAGACCATGGGCCTTACCTCCAACTCACCATATAAATATCCCGTCCCCACTGGTTCAGGCTGCACAAATGTATGTATATATGAAAGCATTGCAGTTTCATACCATAAGAAAGTCATACAATCTAAGAGTAAAATACATATGCAACTCCAGCCATCCAGATCTTTGCTAACTAACACTACACACAATTGCTTAACATAATTTAACATTTAAAAGCACTATTTGATATGTGCTAGGTTACTACAGGAATTTTGTATTGAATTTTATATTCCTGACCTTCCACCTGTTTGTCCTTCATGAGTCCTACATGAGTATAACAGCTTTCTGACTTTTCCTTATTTTGCATGGATTGGTGACGGGGAATAATGTGATTGACCCAGCTAATTATGTTTCTGCCCAACAAACAGACCATGTGTCCTGATGTGTTCAGAGGTCCGTGGGGAGGAAGCCACTGCAGGGACTCTCCTGTGCAGACCACCAGAGAGTGTAGCTGTTCCCAAGGTACACACACATGCATCCATGGCTCAACAGACTCAGGTTAGCTCTCTTGTTTCTCACAAACAGGAAATACACCACCATTATCTGTGAGAGTAAGCACTACAATCCCTTTTGCAACATTCATACAAGTTCAACTTCCACAAGAAACTGCCAGTGCTGTTAGCATGAATATTTGACCTTTGAAAACACAAGTTCTTGGTCTGAGGTGAAAGGACATTTAAAGTGTATACAGAATTTTATATTGACTTCTGTATCAGCTGAAAGGATAGTGTATTTTAGTGAAATTACATGTTGTCTGCATGGAAATGGTCAGTATGTTAGCATGACTGTTATATAATATCAGTATATATTATGATATAAGGCACACCAGGGTTAATAAAAATTAGTATTAATAATATCAATTAATTAATTAATTAATTAATAATAATTAATAAAATTAATAAAATTAGACTGTTTCAGTGTTTCAGTGGCCATATGTCCAAAATTTCTATCATGGTAATGATCGCAGCATTATCTTGGTTTAGGAAAAGACAAAATAGAAAATAGAAATAGAAATATCCAAACTCACATTCACATAAATTCATCCTCATCGCTTGAAATGGTTTTATAAGAACAAAATCCTACATATTTACATATTTAGAAAAATGCCTGTTCTCATGTATTTAAAGTCTCATGCTATAGCTGATTTTCCTAAAATTTAATGTGTAATTCATTTAGACATCAAACTGTAAACAACAGTTTTATGATGTGAGACGTTTTCCATCATACTGTTGTATAGAAAGACATTAAACAATATACTGAATAACTGCTCAGCTCTTAGCTGTTGGAGAATGATGGGCATTATTTTGGGAATACTGCTAGTTTGTGTATTATTAGTTTCACCAAAATACTTTTTCTCTGATTTCACAGGTCATTGCATGGCAAATGAACAATACCTTAGACAGCTCAAGGAGACATTTGCTACCAGTGTCCCGAGTCGAATTGCTGCATTCTTTGCAGAGCCTATTCAGGTACCATATTCTGCTGTGGAATATTAAATTGACTTGAGTTACTGTACGTCATCGATGTGATATTTACAAGTAAGAACTTTATTTATTGAGTACTTTAACTGTACATTTTTATCATGCCATCCATCTTCAATGTTTTCTCATGTTCTCATCTTCAGTGTGTCTGCTTGTGTTATTTAGGACCATGAGGATGTGAATGTGTTTGCTTTATACAGGGAATGGGGGGAGCTGTGCAGTACCCCAAGAACTACCTCAAGGAGGCTTATAAACTTGTGAGAGAGAGAGGAGGACTCTGCATTGCTGATGAGGTTAGATGCAAAGAAAGTTGTTATGTTATGTTCAAAAATAAAGGACATGAAGCAAGCACCATGAAACAATACTAAGAACTACTGGCTTCTATTATTTAGCCGTAAACGTAAAAGACAATGCAAGAATGTGATCGAAATGTGTGATGCTTTTGGCGAGTAAGTGGGCAGTGCCTGGTTTGAAATTTGAATTTAATAATGTAAAGAAACATAATCAGCTATTTTGCGCCTAACAGGTGCAGACTGGATTTGGGCGAACAGGAAGCCACTTCTGGGGTTTCCAAGGTCATGGCATCGTTCCTGATATGGTTACAATGGCGAAGGGGATTGGTAATGGATTCCCAATAGGAGCTGTTGTTACAACACCAGGTGAGATACTGCTGTAAGAGATAAAAGAGAAAAAGCCTTTTTTAGAACCTGCAAATGTCTCCTTCAAACATCAAATGTGCTTAAAAAAAGAGGCTGAGCGGTCAATCTTTTCCTTATTATTTCCACCATCTGGTCTGGTAAAATGTTTTCCGTATGTACTGATAGTTCATTTACTAGCTGGAAGCCACTCACCAATATCTGTGGTACATTTTGTAATACATGTACCAGAATAATCATGGGGTTGATGACTTCAGTTGACTGTACAGTACACTGGCTCTCCACCTCTTTTTTCACGTTTGCACCGACCTGATGTGAAAGAATTTTAACCTCTTTAGTTCTTAGTATTAGACAGTGTTTCCACAGGTTACTTAAAAGTTATTCCAAAAAGAAATAATTCATTGTCTCAAAGATGGCTGTGAAGATACTTATAGTCTAGATGGCCCAGTCCCCAGTATCAGTTGCCTATCAACCAAGGTCATAAAGATAATGATGTGTGGAGGCTCCAGTCAAGGGAGTGAACAGTCATTGAAGGGCAACACTGGTGCCCTTCAACTCCATGACAGACTTCTTCAGTCTTCCCTGGGGAAAGTATTGCATGAAATACAAACTGTGACTCAGGTGAATATAATTCATTGATCAATAGGTGATATGGTCCCATGAAGAAGAATTATTTGGACATATAGTAAGTTTTGTATGAGTTTTGTATGGGTTTAAATACTCGCTGCGATGAAGATGATCTTCAGATTTGGGTGACATTACGTACATACATACACACATCTGCTCTCTCTTCGATGCATTGAGCTTCAGTAATTCCGTCACACCTGATTTCAAGTTCTGTCATTTGATCCTTAAACAAATACAGCTGAATGTGTTATTTCTGTGAGTGGGTGTGTGATCACAGGTTCCTCTTTGTGTGATTTATTGAGGTAGCTAGTTGCCATAGCACTTAATAATCAGCCTTTAGATGTGGGCTACTAACAATTACTTCACTCAGAGATCCCACTGTTTTCTATTTCACTGTCACTGGGTGACATTTATTTAAAGGTTCCTAAACCAACATGAAAACAGTTGGATATTTACACAAATCATTTGTAAATATAGTTTTAATTTGAGGCAGCAGTGAGTGGAGGTATGAGTTTCTTTATTCATGTGTTCTCCAGAAATTGCATCTTCCTTTGTAAAGGCGTTCCACTTCAACACCTTTGGAGGAAATGCCATGGCTTGTGCAGTCGGTTCATCAGTGCTCGATGTAAGAATCCATCTTCTCTTTCTACATCAGTCCTGTTCATCAGCACAAGAGAGCTCAGTTTGTTCAAATCCAACTTATTTCTGCCTATTATTAATGCAACTACATTGGAAAACTGAAGCTTTGTAATTTCTGCAGCACACTGAGTAATAACTAGAATATGACTCTTTTACTTGACAGACTATCAAAGAGGATGGAACGCAGCAGAACAGTCTGCATGTGGGCACCTATCTGATGACAGAGCTGGCCAAACTCAGAGACAAGTATGAGATCATCGGTGATGTCCGTGGAAAAGGCCTGCAGATCGGTGTGGAGATGGTCAAAGACAAGGTATTGTGTTATACCAGCAGTGACACTCACCTTTCCTCACGTTTCACATGCTGTGTGCATCTGCAGCACATAATAAGGTGAAGCTTGAAATGTTCAATTTTGTTACAACTTTCTTTTGAATGTAGCAGTGCCGTTAGGCAAATATCATGCTGTGCCTTTCAGTCAGTGTTGGTTAGGGTCTAATTTTACCCTCTCTTCCTCTTCCACTGCAGCTTCTCATGTGGTTTGTGAGATTCGCCCTTACATATTAACAGTAATTTAGGCAGCAGCATTCTGGCCTCTCTAACTGTTTAAATTGCTTTATTTTGACTTGACTTTGCTTACTCTCTTCAACTACCTGCTTTTTACCACTCTTCTATTATTAGCCTGGAAATTTTAGATGTAGTTCACTAATAGTGAAAATCTTTTTCCTGCAAACATCTACAAACACTTGACTGTGCCAATGTTGGTCTGTACTTAGAGCTTGTGCAGAATTTGGTCCTGCCAACATCCAGATTTAATGCCTCTCAGGTCAATTGGCAGCAAGTGCTTAATGTCTTGGACACCGGCAGATGAACAATGTTCATATTGATAGTTACTTCAGTATTGTGTCTAGACCATGTCGAGCCTCATCCAAACTTTCACCTCTTGTCTATCATCCACAGGCCAGCAGAGACCCACTGCCTCCGGAGGTAATGAGTGAACTCTTTGAAGACATAAAGGACATGGGGGTCCTGATAGGGAAAGGAGGAGTATACGGACAGGTAACAGCACTCACCTTGAAGTAGCCTGTCCCTCTGTCAGTTTATGTTTCGCAGGGTTTAAGAATAAGACCATATAGTATTTAGGAAAAATTCTTATAATACATTTGAATTGTTGAGAAAAAAGTCACAATATAGCATTTTTCCTCCTCAAAACCTGGGCTTTAAGGATAGAAGGTGATCTTTGGCTATATAAATACAAATGGGTTGATTTGAATTCATTTCAGAATAAAGTTGTAATTTTATGAGAAAAAGTCAGAAAAAAAGTTGCAATATTTCATGAATCAGTTTGTGTTAGATTATTATTTCAGTACAGTTAGATTTCAGGTTTAATGAGGGATGTGTAGAACCTGAACTTAAACCCCCTTATTCATCATTATCATCATCATTATTATTCTTTACAGGGATTTACTTTACCATTTATCGGTCTAATAAATATTGACCTTGTATATAACCTTGAAACATGTGCTAGAAATGTCTGAAGTGAGTGCTGTGCCCTAAGTATGTACCACAGAATAAAGCAGCTGGGCCGATTACGCACATCTTCCTAGTAACCAGTCTGTGTGGCGCTACATTATCTTCCCTCTTATCCTCTGTTTTCTCACCACTTCAGACCTTCCGCATCCAACCCCCCATGTGCATCACAAAGGAGGATGCAGATTTCTTTGTGGCAGTTTTTAACAAGGCCATCCACAGCTACATGGAAAGAAAATAAGGTCAGTGGAGTAACTCAATGCCAAGGACCAAACCTGGACACCCGCTCAGCAGTGAATCCTGCATTTGTTTAAATCTGTGACTGCAACTGTGAAAATGTAATTGATAATGACTTTGCTGTTGTGGAAAACAGTTTCCTTCTGTAAAAAAGGAACTTTTAACACTTAATAATGATCTGCAAGTTATAATTATCAAGACACACGTGAAGCAGTCAGTCCTGCTTTATTGCTTTTTTCCCCTTTAGTGAGGACTCAATCCTTCAATACACTGAGCAAACACTACTGTGATGAACACAAATGGATGATTTTATAGTCAGTCTGCAGCTGAACACTGTTACCAACTATATGTTTATATATAAATATATAAATAAAAGTAATAATTATCTTTTGTTTGAAAAGAAAAAAATATTTGTGCTTTTAAATATTTGCTTAAATGTAAAATTTGTTTTCTAATTTGTTTCTCAATAAAAACAGCATATAACATGTACAGTTGCATGTTTTGAACAGACAAATCCAACAAACAGTAATTTATTGTTAAACATAATGATCAGAGGCATTAATGAGAATCATTCCAGAGTTGTTGTATAAATACCAACGTGCAGTATCACCTTTATTTTTTACGATGCAGTAATACCACTACAGAGCTCTTCATGACAAACAAAGAGAGATGGGTCTTAAAACAGTAAAGTATTTGATAATGGGGATGAATATGTATCTGTTTTATCATTCATAAGTTACTGTGAAAGATACTGGAAAACTGCTCAGAACATTTTAGTCAGTCCAATGTGGAAGATTCAATCTCTCGCATACACAGCTGTCACACTGAACATGTTTAATGAGTAATTGAAAAAAAACTATCTGCTCTCTGGTCAGCCAATCCAGTCCATTAAAGTCCACTTCAAAAGGCTTTTTTTTTTTTTTTTTTTTTTTTTTTTTTTATATAGTTCATCTCCCTCCTGAGGGATTTCTCAGAGTGCTGTTTCTTGTGTCCTTACTGAATCAAACTCTCAGGTTCATCATCTGCCCAGATAATGATGTGTTATCTGTTTTTCTTCTTGTCTTTTTTACTCTTGCTCATGGAGCTGTGAGAAGCATTTGAGGAGACAGCAATGGCATGGCCGCTGGTCTTCAGATGGTCAAACAACTTGTTTCTCGTCGGGAACTCGTTGTTACAGGTCACACAGCAGAGGTTTACTTCCTTCTGGGGGTGGAAATGAAGAAATGTGATTAAGTAATGTAAAAAAAAAAAATGTGTGTGGGGGGGGAAACCCAACACAAAAAAAAAAACGATGTTAAACTAACAAGTGTGGAGAGGTGTATAGGCAGAAGAGATTTTTAATAGTAAAAATGATTAAATTGACACTGAAAAAGATCAATACAAACCTCAGGAAACTGCTCTCCTCCTGTGTTTGACTTGACGTTCTTCGGTTTGTCTTTTCCTCCTCCCTTCTTTCCCTTCGTCTTCCCGGAGCTGCTCAGGCAACATTTAGGTGACGATTAAATAAAAATAAGATTCTACAAGGCAAAAACTATCACATTTTTTTTTTACTCTCAAACAGTGGAGTCACTTCTCTATGCTCCTGCTCAAAACTGTCACTTATTGGTTGGCATTTCTGTCATGCTCCGTGCTCATGAGAGGTTTCTAAAATCTTTGATATGATGGACGTTCCTGTTTTTCCAAAACGCTTGTTTCCCTTGTTTTGAATGTTATGTCAAAAGCTAAATAAGAATGTTTGAAGTTTATTTAAATGTAGTGTGGCTAAAATTGTTTTTAAATCTTTCTTTGTTTATCTGAAAACAGGAACCTAATCTGAAGCAAGCAGGGACTCCAGGAACAAGAAGCTAACTGGTATTCACAGGTTTAATGACAGGGCGTAATTTTAAGTTCTTTTAGTTTTTAAAGCTGCATTAGTTCAAATTTTCACATTAACAATAGATCAAAATATGAACCAATGGGAATCGAAAGGTGTTGTGATGAATCCACAGGGAATTATCAACCGAGTGTGCAGTTCTCTACATTCTCAATGGAGCATTTTAATGTCTCTCAGCTCATTGTTTTGGTTTTACGACCCACAGACTCCTTTTCCCGCAGGAAGCCGTTTTCACTCTGATAAACCTACTGCACACTACCTGTGCATCACCAAACAGCGACGTACACAGTTAGACTAACTGTACTTAGGGAACATAGTATAGTGGAAAATCTAGGAAGTTAGACAGCTAGACACTTTCCTCATAAAAAAGAGAGGACTCAGATTCATTGGCTGGCCAGAAACACAACTCCTAATGAATGCCAATATCTGCTAGGTATTCAAGGTGATTATGCCAGATGTTGTGTTTTCAGCTTCTTCTGCTGCCCCAAAGTGGCCATAATAAGGACTCAATGTACAATTGTACCCAACTGGCATTTTTTTCTGTCTCTGAGCATAATGGTGTGTAATTAGATACTGTTGTCCCACTGTTGTCCGATAGCATTAATAGCTGGTAGTTTCAGCCAAGAAACAAGAGTGGACATGCATTTGGTCGAATAAGGCTTAATTTGCAGCATCACTTAAGGTTCACTAGCAAAACGGTCACTTCTGAGCAAAACCAGAGAACCAACTGAGTGACATACAGAGTGACTGTACCTGGTAGCAGGAAGAACACTTGGTCAGAAAACGGAGGCGGACATCTCAAAAACCTGGACCTACCTCTTGACCTCTGTGGGAGGGAGATCATCCTGCTTCTCAGGCTCTGTAGGGTCTGCTGACTTCTCAGGGGCATCTTCCTCACAGGTGGTGGGTGTTGGTGTTGGTGTCTCCTCCTCTTCCTCTGGAGCAGTCCGCTACAGAAGAGGAGAGCATGAATAGAGAACAGAGAAGGCTTTTAAGAAAGGTTAACTTGATAGGCATTTAGAGTAAACCAAACCAAGCACAGTTGTTGAAAGAAAGATTAAGATATTACTCACATGTACTGCTTCCTTCTGTTTCTTTTTCCTCTTTTGTTTTTTGGACAGCCTGTGTAGGGGGGAACAGAAAAAAAGTTACATTAAAAAAATGACTCAATTCTGACCACCCTGACAACCAGGTGAAAAGTAAGTTACATACTTTTGCCTTGGCTTTTCCTCCTCCTCCTCTACTTCCTCCTCCTCCTCCTCCTCCTCTTCCTGCTCATCTTCCTCATTTCTTCCCTGCTTTTCATTGAGGTTCAAACCAAGCGAATCCTCTTCCTCCTTCAGCTGTTGCCGCAGCAACGCCACCATCTCCCGGTGCTTTTTGGATTTTTCATGGTTTTTCATACTGTGGAGAAGAAAGGAAAACAATGTCGATGTAAACGCATTAGGAACACAGATTTAAGTGTGTGAATTGTATTAAAGCCCTTTACAGATTTGTAATATTAACAGAATCATTAAAAATAATTACTGATGGTCCTTCAAGGAAAAGTTAAATTAGCTAAAGGAATTATACCCATGGCAATGAATCATGTGTAAACAACGGCAAAGGCAGGTCTTGTCATTCAGGCTCTTCTCCTTTTTTCAGATGCATTGTAAGGAGCAAAAATCCCTTCCCCACCCACAGCAGAAAGGCAAACAGAGTCAGCAACGTCCACACCAGCGGCAATCATGGAGTGGTGAAAATAAAAATGACCACAAGGTTTTAGGCAGTCTGTTTACTACTTCAAATCTTTCCTATAATTTACATCAAACAGTGTGATTTTCTAATGCGGTGCTGAAATCAAAGTGAATACATTTGAGGTTGTGAACACTGAATCACTGCATTTGGAGTCTTTAAACTTTGGCCCCTGTGCTGATTAAATGTCACTAAAATCATTCGTAGCTTAGCGAGGTGAATTAGCATGTAGCGTGGGAGGATACTCACGCTTTATCTGATTTGAAGGATTTGTCACAGGCTGGGCAGTACAGGTCATCATAGTAGTCGATTGTCAGTTCATCTCCGTCAGGCTGGTCTGCATCTGTGAAAGGATATTTATATTTACAGTGGGGAAAAAAGGCTCACAAACACTTCACACAACAACTTCACATAAACATCACTTTTCAATTCAAATCTGTGGAGACTGCTATAAACATCAATGGCTTGCCTAATGGTGTATGCCAAGTACTACCTGCTTGAGATAAATAAAAATTAAAAAATAAAATGTAACCTCACACATAAACTACAGCTGTTTTGCTGTGTCTTCAATGTTTTTTTATTTAGTGAAATAGACCGGAAGAAAACCACAAGATAGTACAACATAATCCCTTAACACAGAAGTATAAATGAATCTCACGTCTCTTACACGCTGTCTCACTAACCTCCTCCCTCTTCACTGTTCTTCTCCCGTGTGTCCATATCCTGCTCTTCTTCCTCACTCTCTGATGCATCTCCAAACTCTTCTCCGTACTGAGCCTCTATCTGCTGCAGCTCCTTCTCGAGTTCAGACATGGCCGCCCAGCTCTGCTCTTTGTATTCCTCTGCCAGTCTTAGAGGGACATAATAGCAATTAGCAACTAGCAAAAAGTAGCAATAGAGGGAAATAAATGTCACATTTACGCAAATATCTATCCACTACTCACTTGGCCTGGCTGAGCTTCTGCTTCCGCCTCAGCTCCTCCACCTTCTTGATCTTCTCAGCGTTCTGCTCCTCCACCAGCTTCCTGTGGGCCTGCACACGTCGGTCACGCTTGCGAACAAAAGCCACTAGTTGTCGCACCAGTTCGTTGCGCTCCTTTCGAGCCTTGTCTCTGGTCTTCTTGTTCTCCTTCTCCATGGCCCTTTTTTCCCAGCGGTTGGAGGCCTGCCTCGTATCATACTCCTCCTTCCAGGCAAAGTTTTTACGGGTGCAGAAGCTCTGCCAGTAGCCGTAAAACACATGTACGACCTGTGATATGGAAACAGAGGCTGTTTAAGTAGATCGTTAAGTTCCTTCTTTACCGGTTTACTATTAATATTTTAGTGTTTATGCTTTTTAGTTTTTGTTTTTACAAAAACTTGCTTACTAATTTAGTCATGTAATTGAATTGTACAAAGAACTCTTACATCATCAATAAAGGAACAACTCAACCTGAAGTGTCTTAAGTGTGGAGCTGGCTTACGGTATCATAATCACTCTGAGAGTCTCCAAAGGGAGGAAACTCCTCCTCGTCTTCCTCGTCCTCCACCCTGCCTTGCTCCATCTCCTCTTTAACAATGGACTCAAAGAGATTCTTGTAAACGGTGTAGAAACCCTGGGGAGAGAAAGTGGATAAAAAAAAAAGAGAGAATACTAAATAATAATGTTCTGAGATGCACGCATAATTTCTGTCATCCCAAAGAACGAAGCAGCCTCCACCAACCTGAACACCAATTGCTGTCGTTGAGGTGGTGGCCTCCAGAGGTTCTGTGCTAAACTTGGTTTGTGGAATTTAGACCAAAAAGTTCTACCTGGGTTTCATGAAATCTCGGGACTATTC